AATCCCTAATTTCGTAACTTAGTATAGATTATAAACTATTGATATTATTTTATTTGCAAACCGATAGATAAATAAAAAAGATTAACTAGATCCTCGAAATATACTTTTATTATTATATAAACTACGACTAGGATAATTAAGTAGTACTTTTATTAATAACTTAATTCGTATATAATAATATAGTTAGTAAAAGTATAAAAGAATCTCTATTTTATTTTAATTACGGATTTTAGTTAATAGCGTATAAAGAAGTATAATAAGGATTATAAACTATAAAAACTATAATAAATATAAATAAACTTAAAAAGATTTATAAGTAAGCCTTATTAAACTTCAAGTTTATATAATAATATATAAAAAAGAATGCGAATAGATTAAGGATTAGAGGACTATTTTTAAAAGAGGGGAATAGTACTTATTTCCTTCGCTATAATATTAAAACGAAATAACTAAGTAATAAATTAGACTATAAAAAACTTAGACTTTTTAAGATTATTAAAAAGGTCTTATTAATTAATTACGAATTAAAATTACTAAATATAATACAATACTATCCCGTTTTTTATATTTTACTACTTAAACTTATATTAAGAGGTTTATATATAGAAAATTATATTATTATTAAACTAAACTAACTAGAGTACGAAGTTAAACGAATTATTAACTATAAAATTAAAAATAAAATACGAGAATTTCTTATTAAGTAGAAAAACTATAGATATAAAGAAAATATATAAGAACTTATTACGAACTTTTAGAACTTTTAGGAATCCCTTTTAAAATACTAAAATTAAAATTAAAACTAAAACTCCTAGCTATTATAATATCCTAGTTAATTACTCTAAAAGTATTATTAAATTATACCTCTCGCGTAATAGCTAACTTATTTTTATTAATAATATTAAGAGGATTAGGAATTATTTTTCCCTTTTTAAATACTATTTTTTTTTTTTAAAAACGATTTAACTTTAATAAAGACTAATTTATTTTAGCTTATATATAACGTAAGGCCTCTACCCGTTTTTAAAAAAAAAAGCTCTTTTACTTCTTTTTTACGTTTTAGCTTATTAGTTTTAAATAAAAAACGATTTATTATAAATATAATTAATATAAAAAATACTAATAAAAAAATAAAAAAAACCTACGATCGTATATAGTATTAGTAATTATATTATAAGAACGACTACGACGCGTATACTTATAATATTTTAATTTACTTTTTAATATTTTATATTTTCGCTTTAACGAATAATAAAATAAGTAAAGTATTATAATTTTAAATCCTCGCTCTTTAATTTTAAGAATAAGTTTTAGTTAACGATATATTAAAGATTTAGTAAATATTTTAATATTTTTAAAAAAATTACTTAACGAGCCCTAACCTAAGCTATAACGACTTATTTATAAGTTTATAAGGATAAGACCTTTAGAAAAAAGACTTAATATTACGACTTAATATATATAACTAAAACTAAGGCCCGCCCCGTAAGTTTATAATAGCTACGGTATATTATATATATAAAAATATAAAAATATAGGGTAACTTTTATAAAATAAAAGAATTATAAATAAGTTACGTATAAATAAAAAGTAGTAATTATATAATAAGGTAATTACTATAATTACTTTAAATAATCGCTTATTAATATTTATTAAGTAATTACTTAACGAATAAGAGTAATTACTAATAAAAGATATATTTATAAATAAACTTATATATAATATAGACTTAAGCCGGGCTTAAAAATAGACTTTTTATAACTTCTTTAATAATTAACTTAGTATTAGATCTTATAATCGCTTTTAACTATCTTTACTAAGAACCCTTTTTAATAAGACTACGATTAATTACTAAAGCCTTACTTACTTTATAACTTATAAATATAGCTTTAAAAAAGCTATTTATAACTATAATACTATTTACTTAGTACTCGTAGCCTTAACTTTTACTAACATACTTACTACGACTAGCTAGCCATAATAATTAAAAAGGGTATAATATAAACCTAATTTAGTATAATATAAAGAGCTTTAGGTATATATTAATAGTACTCTAAGCGTTTTATTATTAATACTTAATTATTAAAAACTTATTATAGAACTTAAATATATAAATAAAAGCCGCTATAGTTAGTAATTTATTATTATTAAGAGATAACAATAATACGATAGTAGTAATTATAACTATAAATTTATTAAAATAAGGGGTAATTTAGAGGTTTATTTTTTAATATTATAAATAGCGCCCTTTAATATAAAAGGGGGGGTAATATTATAATAATAAATATTAGGGCCCTATAGGCCCTATAGCTTAGCCTTAAGCTACGAAACTAAGCTCTTAATAATTACGTAACGAGCTAAACCGCTAAGCCTAAAGGGCTAGCCTATTAGCTTTTACTTACTATTCTATTTTTTCTTTTTTTATATTAAGTCTTTAGTTAATTAAGTTAATATAGTAGCGTTCTAACCTACTTCGAGATCCTTTTTATAATAAAAGAGCCCCTTATATATTCTTTTATATTTATAATATAGCCTATATTAAAAAATTTTTTAACTTTATAAATTATAATTTCTAAGCTAGTATTAATATACTAAATCTTAACGTCCGTATTAGCCCGGCTATTTATAATATTTATACTATTACTTAGCTAAATTCCGTATTATTAAAAAGTACTTTACTAATCCTTAAGTATACTTATATTAATTACGATAGCTATAGCGTCGAGCTAGCTAAGGGCGCCTAGCTTAAGAAAAGTAGACTTATTAATAAATATCTTTAGTTCTAACTTACTAATTACTAATTATATACTAAGAGTAAAGTAGGTTCTTATTAAAGTAGTAATTTATATATTAATAAGTTTATTTAGTAAATTTATTTAGTAAATTTATTTAGTATAAATAAAAAATAGCTTTAGGTAATATTAAAAGTAATAAGGATAAAAAAATTTTTTATAAGCTTTAGTATAATAAAAAAGTAGTAAATATTAGCCTATTTAGCCCTTTTTTTAAAAACCTCTACGTCGCTATTAAAGTTTAGAACCTCTATAGTTAAGGGCCGCTTTTAACTATTATAACTAACTATTATAGCTAATTATTATAGCTAACTTCTATTATTAACCTTTTTAATTAGCGCTACTACGTAAATATATTACTTAGCTTATTATTAATAAGTAGTAAAGTAGCTTACTTATCCTAAATTATATAGCGGTTTTTATATTAAAATTATTATATTACGTTAAGCGCGTACTTAGGGTATATTATATATATTATATAGTTAAAAAGTATACTATATTATATAATTTCTTTTAAAAGGGTAATCCTATTAAAGTCGATCTTTTATGCTTATAAAGCCGGAAAAAAAAACCACTATATACTAAGTTATAAATATAAGTTAATAAAATATAAAAAATAATACTTAATAACTACTTATTTGAATTATTTTTTATAATACTAAAGCGTTATTAATTAGTAATTAAAGCTAATGAAATATATATTAAATACTAATATCTTTATATAAATCTAATTAATCCGAATGTTCGTTAATTATGTTAGCTATTGTGCCTAAACTACGCTATTAGTGATTAGGCCCCTGTCTGTGGAGCAGTACAAGGCCAGGGGTTAAACTTACCCCTAACACCACAGTAGGGTTATATTGGTACATGGTTGGGCCTCTTGAAGAGAGGGATGATCTCATATCTATCAAGAAGTTCATCAAGGAGAGTCATGACTGGCTAGGGTCGACCGTGGGGTTGTGGGCTTGGTAGGACTGACAAATTGACAATGAGATTGGCTAGTAGTGTCTAATGATAGCTGAAACAGGAAACAGAAGCAGCTCTTAATTCAACCTTACTTGCACATTTCTCGCAATAGGGGGAAACGCCAGTGATAATAATGAGAAGGGACTCGGGAGTAGGGTAGGTGTGCCTCGGTGAACATTCGGTGATTTACAGCGTGGGTAGTCTCACCCGTGGGTTGGAACGACAACACTGCTATGAGTGGAGGACGATGGGACAGCCTAGTAGAACCGCGCCAAAGACCTCTCTGGTACTGCAGTACACGCGATATCGAACCATATTTCGAAATTTTCTTTCACACCCTTCGTTAGCCGCTGTTTGTCCCGCCGACGTTGAAGCTACCAAGTCTACTCCATAGTTGGCCAGAGCCTAGGTATAAGTCGGCAGACGCTATTCGAGGGACCGGGGGGTGGACAGTCATAGTCTGAGATAACGCCAAAACGTTTAGGCCCTTGGTGAGTCCCCTATCTGTGGATCTGGGAACGGGTACGATCTGCTCCGCAACACCAGAGATAAGTGAAAAAAGCACGGACGAACGGGGGGATCCATCGGAGACTTGAGGAAGCACGATCAAAGGCTAAAAAAAGGGAAGAAGATGATTGGTGTAGCATTTCTCCAGAGGCTTGGATCAGGAAGAAAACGACGAGCAGATGAATGAAAAAGACTCATTGCCCAAAGGTCAAGAGTCGAGACCTCGGCGAAGCTCCGGCCAGATGATGGATCGTGGCAAACCGGTGAGTATCACCTGTCTCCAGCCAAGTGGGCTCATTGAGGGTTTTTGCCTCGTCTTCCGTGTTCTTGTCAGCTTGAGAGTCTCAAGTGCTCTCGTGAGAACTGAGCATCCCACGCCGGCGATGCAGACAATGCCGAATGGGGCAGTTGAGCGAGAGCAGAGGTATTCCGCTTGGGTCAAACCCTGTGAACCACTTATTGCCTTTTGCTCTGTGGGATCATGTTCAACCCGCCAAGTCTCATCACTTGAACATATGATACTCAACTCGTGAATGATGATCCAACGTCTTCCCGAAAAGGTGTGCGATGCTGTCATCGGTGTGCGCGGTGACGATGACCGACGTACTGTACCTGCCAATACCTCCCATCTGCATGTGGTGTAAGCCGCGACCGAGTATTCGGGGCACCAAGCTGGACCGATCTGCTCCTTCGACTCCTAGACGCATCGCTAGCAGGCTGAGGAGGTGTCACAAGTCAACCGTCGTCGGGAATTTGTCGTCGCCGCGACGTCGCCCAACCCATGCTTCTCTGGCGAGTCAGGTTTCCCGACCTCTCTAGGTCGTCGATTTGGGGGTCCATGACCAGCTCTAGCAGCAGCAGGACGCTTAGAAGCGGCCAGGCGAGGGACTTCGCAGACTTGGTACTGGTAGGGTGACATTTGGACGCGGTTGCTGGAGGGATCGGATCCCAGGTTGCAGCTCTGGGATGGGGGTTTTGCGAGTTTGGTCTGGATGCAGCGGCCGGGTTGCGGGAGGGGAATAGGAAGAGTGGGATGGGGGCGGACTGTGGGATTGCTGGCCGAGAGGAGCGGGGTTCTCCATGCGCCCTCACAAGTTGACCGAGAGTTGCGCCGTCTAATTGGAGCCGTGGGCGCTCGCCGGCAGGTTGTACTCTTCCCAAGGACCTGTCCATCCCAAACACCTGTCGTTCCTCCTTGGCCCGGCTTGTCGATAATGGGAAACCCGGACGTCGTAGCTGCCACGGCATCTTGCAGTAGCAGAAAGCAGCCGTCCTATTAGTAAGGGGGGTTGACGCAGTACCTACAGGTATTGGACCAGGTATTCCGCCGTATTAGTGAAATTCTTCTGGAGGGAACCCATGCTTCTTGCTTAACCCCGATGACTTTGTGCATGGAGCGCCGATTTCGAAGCAAATCAGAGAGGCCAATTGAGCCAGTTGCACGACCAGAAGGGAAAGGGTTCGGACAAGGTTCAGGAACCGTTGTGATCTGCGGGGGGTCTGGTCCACGGTCCATGTCGGACCTGGGGGAGAAAGGAAACGAAGAATTGCTTTTTCCTCCCTCTTCTCGCGGGCCGCTACACAGGCACGCACCGTGGGCTGGCTGAATCTACTGGTCTGACGCAATGGCGTCGGAGATGAGGTGGGGTGTCGAAGCTGAGGACTGCTGTTGTGAAGCTGAAGTAGCGTATTCGAACGAATAGTTAGGCTCAAGGTGTTGTTTGAGCATGAGCATTCGGCGGGATTGAGGGGTTCAGCTGAGAGGATCAAATCCACAACTGCCGTGAATGCCGCTGTCTGCAGACGTGTCATTGTCGAAGACCATCTTCAAGAACCTGTTCCATGACCTGACGTGTAGACCCGATTGAGCATACGGATGCTCAAAAGCGCGGTTGTCGTAAAACCCCCGCGGGGGTTGACAATGGTGAATCGTGATGGCCTTTTTTTCCTCTTCGTGTCTTTCAATCAGCAAGTCGATGCGCATGCCGAGGCCAGCCGCTGTTATGCTGCTCCAGGCAATTGGGCGCTCATGTGCGTGTGTTGGTACAGTATCTGTGGGAGAGACGCCCGTCAGCGTTGCTTCCCGTGTGGTGGTGAGAGTTGATATATGAGAGGTGACGGGCGAGGTAGCAGCAGACCCCAAGTTGAGGTGAGGTGAGGTGAGGTACGTAGTAAAGGGCACGGAGAAGTGGCCGATGCACCCATCCATCCATGATCACCATCCCTTGCCTACCTCACAAAGCAACCTGGAAGCCAGGGCACCTCGTCGTCTTACATCATTTCCATCATGGTTTGATTTGGGAGGGGGCACAGAGTGGCAGAGGGTGAGAAGTTAGAACCGAAAGGGGAAATGGGAAACAAACGTGACTGCTTCACGAGTTACACAAGATGTAAGCGACTTCCCCAGTCGTTCCCTAAAGGTCATGGTCTAATGCAGGTTTTCCGTGCCTTGTCTTCCCATCTTGTCTGTCTATGGACTCAGAGAGAGGCTAGCAATGCCGTGTTCATATTCAGGGTACGGATACGCCTGCTTTTGATCCAAGGCCAAGGAGTTATTCTCTGGGGTTCTGTAGTCGCTGGCAACCAGCTAAAGCAAGAAGAAAGCAGGCATCTCGGCTACCACGCGAACTACTAAGGAGTAAAGTACCGGAGAACCGCCCAGAGTTTGAGACCCCCACGCTCCCTATTCAACTAGTCTTATGCACGTCGCCCGAAACGGCACTTTGAACCTTTTTCCTTCTGCAGTCTAGCTTCCAGCTCCGGCCGGTTCCTCTTCGTGTACTTCATTGCTGTCCTCCGTCCTTTGAGCAGTCTTCGGTAGGGTAGGTAGGTAGCTAGAGCAAGTCAAGGTGAGGACAAGGCTTCAAGAGTAGTCATCTTAACCGCTCGTTTGCCTGTCTGCCCCATGCCAACCCTGAACGACTCACGACTTGGACATGGACATGAACATGGGCATGGAGGTCACGGTCCAGCTGTCGCGATGGATGGCGAGGTGCAAAGCCAGCATGGCGCGGCAAAGCCCAGTCTCATCATTGGTGACACGATTTTACACTTTTGTTGACCATTCCAAGTCACCATTGTAGTGTCGCAATATCTGGCTCGGATGTCAAGGACCAAAGTTAAAAAAAGAGAACAGAAAAAAAAAACGGGAACGCGAGGGTTAGGTTTTCTGATAGTGGAGAGAAGATTGGCAGCGGCTCAACTGTTGACTTACACGGGGTTTCCCATGTTTGGAATGGAGAGAGGGACCCCTTCCCGAGGCGCATATGCCTACCTGACTCGAGAGCGCCCGCCGAACCGCGCTGTGTCTTCACTTCCTCACGGCCGAGGATGGAAAAATCGCGAGAAAGCGCCGCCGATGCCCGATGGAAGCACATCTCTTTACCTTTGACGCAACACCCGCAATCAGATAAGAAAAGAAAGAAGACAGTGTGAGACGAGATCTGAGTAGGAGTAGATCCCCGTGAAACTCCCAGCCAGAAAAAAAAAAAAAAGGCATAACATCACGAAAAAAAAAACCCCACCCGCTTCACCAATTTCGGTCTTACTCGCCGTGGACGCGGCGACAGCGGCGGCGGCGTTGAGGAGAGACAGGCTGGCCGTAGTGCAGACGCCCACTTCCCAAAGATGCAATCATGGGTCTTTCAAAACCTTGTACTTCCTTGAACCCCTGCTCAACCCCGCCATGTCATGCTGCCCATCTCCGCCCACACCCTTTTCCCTCTGACCTGCAGAACCAACGGAACAATACCCAGTAGCTCACGGCGATGATGGGTAGGTAGCCGCGTGGGTTTTGGGTTCAAGACAATTGCGAGTGAAATCACACCGTCCTCGTCATAGTTCGAGACAATACGTTCCAAGACATGCCATTGTCCGCATATAGCCACGCACGAGCTAAGCTTCTCACGAGTTATCCCACGCATAGCACGTAATGTGGTACAAGATAGACGATGGGTTCTTTCATGTATCACATTCGAATCTAAGGGTATAGCCCTCATTCGAAGTATGCGTCGTCAGGTCAAGACTCGGCTTTTGCCGGTGTACTGACCGAGTCTGGCCGTCTTTGAGAAGTGACGATATAAGTGAGATATAGAGGATATCGTCGAACCAGAAGAGAGCACGGCAGCAAAAAAAAACTGCGACTGGACGGAAACGATACAACCTTTGACGGAATATTCCACTCGACAGTCTCCACAGAGGGTCATGATCCTTCAATGGATTCACGGGAACGCGGTCGATCCCCGAACCCAGAACCGGTGATAGCCACAACAAATGATGTTTCGTCAAACCAACGAGATATGAGGAAATTAAATCACGAAATGCCATCCGCCATCTCGGCGCAAAATCACCGAATCGTCGTCACTCACCCCTCTGGGCCCTGGCTCCAAAAAGCACAGGCTTTCAAGTTTCAACGCTACTGTGACATTACGGACCTCACCTTATCTGCAACCCCTCCAGGCCCTCCAGTGGCCCGGAATATCGCGGCAAGAAAAATGAACTATGGGCAGTGAGCAGGCAAAGCCGCAAAACCCATGTTTTTTTCCCTTTCCATGCTCAGGCTCAGTGCCCATCTGGCTCCGTCCCGTCTCGTCTCAGCCCCCCTTCCTCCCACATACTGCGTGAAGTACATTTCGTTACAGCTTATCTTGCTGTGTAGACTAGGTACCGTGCTCGTCGGCATGTAGACGCACAGATCGTGCTCTAGTGCGCTTTTTGGGACGGCCGCCGCCGCCGCAGAAAGTACGCTGCTGCTGCTGCTGCTGATGCTTCTACTGCAGCACCACGCCGCACTCCTACGTACCAAGGCCCATGTACTTTCTCTTCCTTCTCTTGAACACCCCTCCCACCCCTCCCCTCACCTCATTTGGGCTGTAAATGTATCATGCCCAGCCTGAGGTGAGAAGTAGGTGCCAAAAGTAAGTAGGTAGGCAACCCCCAAAATCAAAAGTGAGTACGGAGTAGTGCCCAGCTTCTGTTGCCTTGCCTTACCCTGCCCACCTTGGACAGTAGCTCGTCTTCAGGGTCCTCCCATACGAACCTAATTCCTCTTTTCCCCTTCCAACGTCTCCTCTCGTGCACTTCCTTTTAACCTTTCCCCATCCCCCTTCCCTTTTTCCTAGTTTTCACTTTTGGGGATTCTCTCTCCCATTGCTCATTTCCCCGGCTTACACATTTCCTCTACCTTGCCTTGGTAAAGCCTCCCAGTCCTCTTCCTTTTCTTAACACCACCAAGGCATCTGTTTCCCCGCAAACCCATCCGTAAATCAGACGCAAGGGGAATTACAACATCAGAGAAAGAGAGATAACAAGAGACGACTCCCCTGTCAGCCCACGACTACCGAAAGCTTAAACTTTTCCAACCACTCTTGGACTTTTCAAGAGGGCCCAAAAGAAAGAAAAAGAAAAAAAAGACAGACATCGGACCCCGCCGGTTGTGACCAAGGAAACTCCCAACGACACCCGAACCCCCGAGCAGCGTACACTCCGTATGAAAAGATCAAACCGAAGCCGGCTGCAGGAACACCTTTAGTCGCCCCCGTCCCCCTCCGATATCATCCCCGGTGCGCGCGCAAACTTTCAACAACCCATCCGTGCACCGGCGCATCGAGCCTGCTATTTCTTCCTCTTCTTTTTCCCTTTTTCTCGTCAAGAGAACTGTGGCGCACGGGAAAGCATTCTTCTGGCTCTCCAACTGCCATCGGAAGTTTTCGCGTCACAATGAATGCCCAGGTCTCGTTTCTCGTAAGTTTCCCCAACATCCTGTGTCGCTCATTGCCCCCCTCCATCTTCATACTGCGCACACGACACCCACACACGACCGCAACACGGGAATGGATCTCTAAAGAGTCACCAAAATGCGGGGCTCTTTACTTCGTCCCACTGCAACGCTGTGTCCCGTCACCGTCGCCGCTGCCCCGAGTTGCACATTGCTCTCGGAGCTAAAGCAGATAATGACACACACAAAATGCCTTGGTCCTTGCAGACCTCTGTGACTCTATCGTGCTTCTCAACTAACACCGCCTTTGCGCTCCCTGCAGGATGGCCACTACACCCTTATTCACATCCCCCTCGACCTGTACTCGGTACTCCTGCAGCCCATTCTCCGCGTCCTTCTCCCGCAGACCCAGACCCTCAAGGCGTCAAAAGGAGAGCCGGAACATGAATTAGAAGGGCTCAACGCCGAGAGCCAACATGGCTTCCTCAACATTAGCGTCACCCCCATGGAGTGCTCCATCGTCTGCCACAGCTCCTGGGCCAAGAACGTTTTTGAGCCGGCCATCCAGGATCTCCCAAAAGACTTGGCCAAGTCCGTATCAATATCCAAAGACACTTACCTCGTACTCTCCGTCATCAGCGCCGGCATGGATGCCGCCGGCCGTGTCATGGAACTGACCTCTCCCCTCGCTCTCGCCGGGATTCCCATCTTCTTCATCACCACCTATTACTCCGACTTCATCCTCGTCCCCAGCAAGGATAGGCAGACGGTTGTAAAGGCCCTTCTCGCCCGCGGCTTCGAACTCGCCGACAACGACTCCAACTTTGTCAGCCCCGCCGCCTCGATACACTCCCGCGGACCGAGCCAGACCAACGGCAGCAACGGCGCCGGGGCCCCGCCGCTGACCCCGCCACCCTCCACCATCGCCGAGCTGCAGGTCCGCACCTTTGACCTGCTCAAGAAGCGCAGCGTCGCCCCCTACGTCGAGGACAACCTCCTCCTGGTCCAGTGCTCCGGCCGCGAAACCTCCCAGCTCGGCGGCGAGCTCTCCCACACCCAGCGGCCCTCGCTCAGCCGCCAGGTGACCGGCAACAGCCACCGACAAACCTGGCTCGACAACATCGACGCGAAGCTCTACACGGCCATGATCTCCGCCCTGGCTGCGCGCCCGCGCTTTCTCTCCATCACCCTCGCCCAGGAGGACCCGCCTTCCTTGCTGCTCGACAAGTCGCTGCTCGGCCTCTTTGGCGACTCCCTCGTCGGCGACACCAAGACGAACCTGACGCCCATCTTCTTGGACCTCGAGAGCCTGCCGTTCGAGGCTACGGGCATCGTATGCGGCGTGGCGGGGACCCTGGTGCAGGATATGCGCACGGGAGACAGCGCGGGGCTGTCGTACCTCTCCACCGCCCGGGCCGGGGCCGTCATTCTCGATTGCGAGCAGTCGATTCTCGCGCTCGAGATCCTCAAGCCCAAGCTCTTCAAGGCCTGATTTGACATTTGATCGTGCAATACAGGAGGAGGAAACAACTGCATTGCGGAGATATCTGCCAGATGGGGAATCCTTTTAAAGGAAAGAATCAGAGGGACCACTACGAGTTTTCCATACGTTTCGAGATCTAACGAAGTTGCATGAAGGGAACGATTGTACTAGCATGGAACTGGTATAGGCGGGTTGGCAATCTGTCGTTTTTGTGAAAATTTTCGCGCGCGCGAATTCGGTTTGGCATATTGGCGTTTTACGGAGGGCGGCTCTCTGTTGTTCGATACCAATTTTTGTATGTCTTGTCTTGCGAGAGAACGGGACCAATGTCGGTCCCAAAACTCAACCCGAAGCGATTTGTTCTCCACTTCTTTGGTATCCCCTCTGTGACATCTGCAATGCCTATCTTGACGCGGGCAGCTCATGAAGCTCTCCGGCGACGTCCTTCCGCCATTCGGTCTATGACCGACCTCGGTTTCCCCGCCTACATCAATGCTAGAAGTGACGTGATAGGCGATCCTCTATATCCAGAGTTCCCTCACTTGCCATGCCCCTTCTTCTTCCCCTGCCCCGCCTCCTCCGCCCACCCAGCCTTGACAAACGCATCCCTCGCCGTGCTATTAATCAGCGCGAACCGCCTCGGCCCCAGCTTCTGCCCGCCGTACCACCTCGTCACGACGACCATGACGTCCCACAGGTCCATGAGCTGCATCAGGTGCAGCAGCCGCCCGCCCGCCGCCGTCTCGCCGTCGTCGTCGCAGTCTTGGAAGCTCGTGCCGTTGGGCCCGCGGATGCGCCACGCCGTCATGTTGTGGCTTGCGCTGCGCACCTTTTTGTCCGTGGCGATGAGGTGCTGGACGTAACTTGCGGCCTGCTCGGGGGATGTCACGGGCGCGGCGCGCGCGAGGAAGACGGATTTGAGTTCGACAAAGGGGTCGGAGACGATCCAAGGGGGTTCCTCTAGCATGTAGGAAGGCAGAGAGTCAGCTTCTTGGTTCTGGTTCTGGTCCCCGTGCTCTTCATCAAGCCGTGTCGTCGATGCCGACGCCGGCGGAGAGTGTGGGTTGGTGGGTGGTCCTGACGGCTCAGCTTCCGAAACTTCCTCCACGCGTCGGGAGAACTCCTCCACGGCGTCGAAGAGACAGACAGCGCCCGGCTGGTAGACGGCGGCGACGGCCTCGCGGAAGAGCAGCAGGTCGCGGGCGCCGGCGCCGCGGGGCGCGTTCTCGCCGGCGCTGTGGGTGCCGAGGATCTCTGGCGGCACGTCCGGGTACGAGTCGGCGAAGCGGAGGGTGAGCGAGGAGGCACCCAGGCCGCCGGGAAGCGTGAGAACATAGTTGTCTGGTGGTGTGTGGCGGAGGGTGTCGTCTCCGTAGATTGAGTTGAGGGCTTCTATCTCGTCTTTGAGATCGTCTGACATTGTTGTGTGTGCGTGTGCGGTATGAGGTGTGTGGCGTACCTCTTGATGGGGGATATGATAACGGTTATGTGAGGTTGTTGGTTGATGAGAGGGGGGTTTTGTGGTTGCTACTCTCGTGAGATGAGTGCCGTCTTATTTCGATTTTCTCATCCTATAAGCATACGACTTTTCAAAGGTTTTCATATATATAAAGGAAGTCTGTGTATGATCGTCAATGCTGAGGTTTAAGATGAAATTGAGAGAAAGTTACATTGAAGTCATCCAATGCTCCCCACCTCCAATCATCTCATGATGTGGGGCCGTCCGACGTCGAAGGCCCGAGCTCCGCAAATACTCCACTCACGTTGACCTCAGTGCTCACTCACACTGGATGAACCTCACAATCTCACAGCTGCAGCTGAATGTGGTATCGTCGTGGCAAGCGCTGACCAGGGACACACGGTACAGACAGAGTGGCTGTCGCAAGCGGAACTTGATGCCGGTGCCAGCCTATCACAGGCAGTTTTGATTGCAGCTCTGCAAGCTAGCTGCCGAAATAAGGTGGGCAAGATGGCGTCTCTTCATGTCTCAACATTGGCCTCGCACCTTGACTTGAACTACACAGCGACATCTAAACGGCTTCTGGACAGAAAGCGTCTTCTCATTCTGGACTTGAATTCAGAGTATTGTATTAGCGAATCCATGGACGGGACCAGACTTCCACCAACGTAGACGACTGTTTTGCAGACGACTGATTCCCTAGTCAGCAAACATGCCAGCCATAGGCGCACCCAAAGGGCACGTAGACTGCCTCCCTCCCCCAGACAACTTATGCCCGACGTGCAGCCAACTCAACCTCTCAGCTGAGAAGTTCCTCCCAGGCCAGCCCAAGGCCAGCTCCCTCCCAGGCTTCCTCGCCCGTCCAATCGACCCCGTCGGGCTACAACCGCGGGAGCTTGGCTACCTCGACGAGATCTACCGGAGAAGAGACGAATGTCCCTTGTGCTGGCTTCTCTTCAACGCAACGCACGCGACGAACGAAGAAGGCGCAGATCGTTTCGAATGGAGCCGCCCCAACGTCCGCCAGGCAATCGGCTACGATGGCCTCACGAGGGATGGCGGCCGCGTCCGCTGCTCCGTCGAGTGGCAGCTCGACGGCCGTTTCTTGGAACCTTCTGCAGGGCCGAGAGACATGACGCATGCGCCGCCGACCCGCCGCTTGAAGGTCTTTAGCCCGGACGAAATCTTCACCGAGGCTTACATCATGCTGCTGGCCACGGAACCTCACACGACGTGGGACAAGACCTTCCTGGCCCGGCGAATTTCTCCTCACCAGGCCGACGTAAGTCTTCTCCGGCGCTGGCTCGACATATGTAGGACACATCATGGCAGCGGCTGTCAGCCCTCCCCACCGGATGAAGTCTTCTCGCTACTCGAGAACCTCAAGTTCATCGACTTGGACGAGGAGAAAATCGTCACCAGCGCCCGTGGCGGTGTCCGAGTGACTGAGTACGCGACTCTGAGCTACGTATGGGGTGGGACACAACCGCTTGTTCTGACGAAGGAGAATGTATTTGAGTACTCCTCAAAGGGATCCCTCGGTCCCAACACGCCAGGTCTACCGAATACCGTCCGCGATGCCATGATGCTAGTCAAAGCGTTGGGCATCAAGTATATCTGGGTCGACGCTCTCTGCATCCTTCAAGACGACACGGAGGAGAAGTTCCGTGTCGTCCCGATGATGGACCGCGTATACGGACACTCGATTCTCACAATCTGCGCCGCCGCCGGCAGCGGCTCTCACCACGGAATCCCAGGATCCCCATCGACGCCCCGCGAGGCCCGGCAGCCGAAAGTCCGGTGCAACGGCATCGACCTGGTGACCACCAAGACGGTCGAGGGGCTCGTCGAAAACACAATGTGGAATAGCAGGGCCTGGACGTTCCAGGAACGGATGCTCTCCAAGCGGTCCATGATCTTTGTCGAGAATCGCGTCTTCTTTCAGTGCCGCCACGCGACGTGGTCCGAAGAGGTCTTTTCCGAGGTGCTCACCCCGTCGTGGACCCTGGAAATGATACGGTCTCCTCTGAAATCGTTTGAGAAGAACCCGGTCAGGCTGTACTTGGAGTGCGTCGAGCTCTTCAGCGGCAGGCTCATGACGTTACAGAGCGATCGGTTACCGGCCTTTGAGGGCATGGCGGCCATCCTTTCTCCCCCGCTCCGCGCCAACCTCTTTTACGGGATGCCAGACTCCTATTTCGACTTTGCGCTCTTGTGGGAGAAGAAGATTTACGGCCTCAGGCTCGAAGACTTGGGTGGTCGATCGCGATATCCCAGCTGGTCGTGGAGCGGCTGGCATGGTGCGTCGACGTGGCGGCTGTCCATGGTCTCTGGTATTTTGTTGAATCTTCACGAGTGGTTGAAGTCGCACACTTGGGTCGTATGGTATAAGATGACACGAGATGACCCCACGGGGAACCGTTCACTGGCAACTGGCAAGGCCAGCAAAAAGTCAACTTTCGAAGTCGTGTGGTCATCGGGTGAAATCCACCATAATCCAAATCGATGGCACGGATACGCCAAAGCCTCTGCAGAAGACATCCCTTTCGGTCGTCAGATTAGCCAGAGCGATGAAGAGCACCCAGAAGAGATCGCACATGCACCCAAACCAACCATGCCCACCGCAACCATTTTGCGAGAAGATTACCTCTACTTCTGGACCTACACTGCCTTCTTTCAGCTCTCTAGAACAAGCCGCAGCAGCCCGTCCTTTGCCTCCAAGCTCGAGGCAGGCCTCCACCGCTTCGGCCTACTCGATGCCCACGGCGACTGGTGCGGCACCGTGATCCTCGAAGATACATGGTTCGCCCGCGTGGGCGACGTCGTCGAGCTCGCAGCCATCTCGGACGCCCGGGACTTTTCAATGGAGGAGCTGGATAGCTGGAACTACTATGTGCCCGAGGACCGCGAGGTGTCCGAGTGGCATCTGTACTACGCGTTCGTCATCACCTGGAACAAGGATCGTAGCGTTGCTGAAAGGGCTGGGCTGGCGAAGGTTTATCAGCGGGCGTTCGACGTGGCTTCTTTTCACCCGGGAAAGGCGTGGAAGGAGATCACTCTCGGATAGGTAGGGAGTGGGTTGTTGCTTGAAGGGTTCGGGGAATGCTGACAAGAGATCCGAGACAATCTTCGTGAGTTGACATTGAGTTATTATGACAAGAGCTGGCTACCGTACATGACGCACAAGACAAACTTGCGTTTGAGGAGATGAAGAGTCTATGGAACTATCACCCCCCATTCGGGAGTGACATCTGTTTGCCAAAAAGCCAAGAGTAGTTGGGAGAAGAACTTCGAACAATACCCATATCCCAATCCTACCCCCAAGAGGTAAAGCATAGTGAGAAACTGTGCAAGCAAGAAAAGAAATAAGACAGGAAGACGATTGACGCTCAAGTAACCCCAAAGTCTCCCCGTCAACCGCCATGCCTAAATGAATCTGGACGGACGAATAAGGGATAACCTCAAAACCCAGCACTCGAAAGAAAAAGCCTCCATCCAGAATGACCAAGTTCCTCCCTTCCCCTTCCCCTTCCCCCTCTTTAGTAGTAATACTTCTTCACAGTCTTCTCAACCAGGACCCGCCTCGGTCTACATAGCGCAGGCCGGCCGTACCGGTCCCGGCAGATGCTCACGCCGTCGTGGCGGTACCCTGGCCCTTCGAACCGCAACCGCTCACAGTAGGCGCACCGCTCCGACCCGTAGCTGCCGTAGCTCGAGCCGCTGTACCCCGATCGGTAGCTGAACCTGTCGTCGAAGCGGTCTCGGTAGCCGTAGGACGAGCGGCAGCGGTAGCAGACTGTCTCTGTGAAGGAGTTGTGCCAGTCTATGATGTTAAATCAGGACGTTAGTCTCAGAGGTCTAGGTGGGTAAGGTCATCGGGAAAGGGGAGTATGTCGGGAGAAAAGGGGCATACCCCCCGGATCATCAAGATTCAAAGGGCGAGAGAATGATGACGCTCGTAGATGAGACATGCCAGAAAAACCATAAGAGACAAGTGTTACTCACAGCGCCGACATTGCGTGCAGAGTTGATACCCCGCCGGTCCAGGCCCATATCCGTACCCGTACCCCGGACGACCGGGGAACACCTCGGTGGTGGTGACCTCGTTGATGACCTGCGCGCCCGCCGGCACGACAGCCACGTCTCGTTCTCTGTTGGCGACAATGATCTCGTTGTTGACGGGTCCGCGGGAGACCTCGTTGACGACGACGGAGGCGCGATCCTTGACTACCTCGGCGACAGCCGGACCGCCACCGCCGTGACCTCCGTGACCTCCGTGACCTCCGTGATGTGAGGGCATAATTACGAGAGAGTGACTTGTTGCCTTATTTTCCCTTCCTTTCTTTGTTTCTCGAGTCCCCCTTTCCCCTCCCTTTATCTTGATCGAAGCGGATTTGGTGGTTTGTTTATGCTTGAGTTCGGTCACTTCGTGTCGTTTGAGAACGTTGGCGAGGGAATACCGTAAGGAGGGGCGTGAGGAGGTGTAGTTGTAGTTGTGATTGTAGTCGCAAGCTGAGGGCTGAAATGTCCGAGGGGAGCTGAGTGCCGACGGCTGAGTTCCGAACGTGACGCCGCCAACAAACAAGTGCTGATATGTTGAGTGAGTTGTCCTTGTGATGTCTCTAAAGGTAATGCAACGGGCAAAAAAGGGGGTGGTAACCCCAGGCTTCTATACTACCTTACCTTACCTTAGGTGAGAGTCAAAGGGGGCAAGCCCAAGATACACACACCAAATAACAATAGACAGGGAGGTCTCCAATGACTGACCACCTTGCTCTTACTTACACCCTCCCCCTTCCAAGCGGTTCCAGAATCATTCTTTCCTTGAACTCACATTAGACTGAGGCAGTACCGTTACTCTCTGTTGATGGCTTGTCACCCCCAAAGCTTACCTTGACCGTCTCGCCTGCCCGGATGACCACCACTAGCGGGACTCTTTCACCCAACGCATGACGTGAAGGCCAAGACGGAACTGGTGAGGTCACAGGCTCGGAGAGTAAAAAAAGGGATTTAAAAGTGGTGTGAAGGGGGAGGGGAGGGGGACAACGATGCTAGCTCCAAAACCAAAACACCAAAAGCTGACCGCGTACCCTGCGGGATTGAAGCTAACGATGCACCCAACACGGCCTAAGTTCGACTTAGATCAGACTGCGAGAACGTGGCAGAGCCCAACCCAACAATGTCACAACCTTTTTTGTCTCTCTTCTGCCTGCCTGCCTGCCTAAAACGATGGCGGGCAACTGTCTCAGGGTGTAGGCTGCGCTGCGGCTGCGCTGCCCCTGAACCCCTTCGGAGGGGCTGAGCCGGAGAAGGCATCCTCAACTATCGTTGGATCCGGGCTTCCGGGACCCTCATCGGCGTCACACGTGGGGCCTCTGATCACACCTCTTTTTTCTTCCGGGAAATCTAGAACTGGGCATAGGTCACCGTCATCTTGTTCTCATAGGTGCCGCCAACAATGATTTGTGTATTAGGGGATAGAAGGACGTATCGTACACGTTTGCAGCGTAAGTGTTCTCGCCTCCGATCGCTATTTAGTCTGGACACAACGCCCAGACGCCCAAAATGTCATACCTGCCCCATTTCCAACCATGATTTTCCGTCGTGTCCTCGTGTGACTTTGTGTGTTCTTCATGACCTTCCGGGCCCGTCGCCCTTCTTCGCTACTTCTTTCCGCGGCAAGATCACGACCTTCCGGCTAAGTAGCTCTCTTAACTCGGGAGTAATAATCTTCTTGACCTCGGGCTCTTCAGTTGCCTTGCTCTTGTCCTTGCGTGGCGATGCTGGACCTGCACTGCTTTGGCTCTCCTGTGGAGTTTTGTCGGTAGATGCCGACTTTGAAGGAGACCCCGGGTCGCGGATTCTCGGTCCCGGGAAATTGCCCTTCTTATCGACGGCCTCAACCAGGCGGTGGAACCGACGGAATAGCGCCTCCGCGCGAATTAGAGTTGAGTCAAGATCCATTGTGTTGGAAAGCTCGTTGACTGTACCAGATTAGTATGACGAATTGACAGGAATTTCAGATGACCACATACCGTATTTAAGCACCTCATCAAAATGCTGCAGGTGGGTCATGATGACGTCGCGGTGCTTCTCCAAAATGGCCAAGGCCACAAATAGGTGGAAGCTGCTGCTCAAATAGTCCGTCCACAGAGTCTCCCAAAGACGCAATACGTCCATCCACTCGAACTCCCGTTTATACCAGACGAGCAACATGCGGAAGAAGAAGAAAAAGTTTGTGCTATCAGCAGACTGGAGGTGAGCGTAAAGCTTGGGGTCCATGAACTGAACGAGATGATCAAGAGTCAGTAGCTGAGACCGCATGCCAGACTGATCTCGTAGGAAATTGCGCTCCATGCGGTCCATGAAGTGCTGGAAGCCCCAAAAGGCGATGGCATCGTCCTGCATCACAGCGTAGATAGGAGCGAGAAGATCAGACATGCCCTGCACGTAGCCGAGATCCTTATTGTACTCGTTGTACGTCAGGAGCATGTCCTTCATCTGCTCAAGATGGACATTGGTGCCGACCTCGGAAAAGGGGGAGTCGGGATCGGGGTGCGGAATGTCTTCTCCGGCGAAGATGGGCACATTACGATCTGTCCGGTGGACATCCTTTTCTGTCATGATATTAGTCGCGGCTAGATGCGAAGGAACAACATAGAGACTTACCGATTCGACCGCGTTGCTCACGCCACCACTCGCCCTGTTCGCCCTCGCCTCCCAAGTCTACTAGTCTCTCCCACCATGCGCCCTTCAACTTAACATATTCGTCTCGTAGGGACGCGAGATGGGCTTTTCGCTCCTCGGCAGTGCTATACCAGTCGTGAACTCCGAGAATGAAGAGCCATGCCTCTTTCCTCACACCATCGTCAGGGTCCAGTCCTCCGTGAAACACCCGTTCTTTGACTTCGTCAACAGTGACAGAAAGCCTTCCAGTTCGTGGATCAAAGAACGTGTTCCATTCTTTCAGCGTCACCGTCTTTCTTCTATCCTCCAACGACATGGTGCTACTGCCGTCTAGCAGCTCAAACTCTCCAACATCGGTATCCTCGAGCTCCAAGACCTCCTTAGCAGTCCATATCCTCTGGCTCCGATCTCGCTCACTTTGTTCGGCAATTCCCATTGCCCAGCGCGCCAGGTATATCCTCGCGCTGTCAAACTCATCTTGAAGAGTCTGAACCTCTGGGTTGCGAAGAAGCCTCTTGACTTGTGGGGGAACATTCGGATTCTGTATGACGTCTTGAGCAGCCCGTCTGGTGAAAGTGGTGACCTTGCTGAACTTCTCCATGATGTTCCATCCAGTTTCTTTGACAAATTTTACAAAGGGGTCCATCTGCGCGTCACCACTGGGGCCAGCGCCGCCGGCTCGAGTCCCCGAACCATCATTTTGACCGGCCTGAGCACTGGACGTGAGCTTGCCACTGAAAGCCTCGCTATCCTCCTTCGAGGGCTCCACCAAGTAAATGTTGGGCTCGGCGCCGGATCTCTCGATCGGAACGTAGCGCCGCAACCATCGCAGGACCTCATCGCCGCCCCAGAACATCTCACCCCGGTCACCGAATGGGTCGAAGCTATCCCTCGTCCGCCTCTTTCTCTTAAGGATGGTGCTCTGACATTCGCTGTCGTGGAAAAATAGCGCGGGAAAACTGTCACCAGCCCTCGAGTTGATGATTAGAGAGCCGAACCACCAACCCAGACTCGGTGGTCTCACGAGAAGCGAGTATATTGCGCTGACTGGAATGGCGAAAGCATATGTGCCTACAGAGCCTCTGTGGGATGTGACCGTCGGCGGAGGGGGTACCAGGTACGACTGCTTAGGCGGCGAATCACCTTCACTGAGGTCGACCTTGACGTAAATACTCTCGGATTCGCCGAGAGATGTTTCGGGGAGCCATGCTAGGAGCAGGTTGGAGGGAGGTGGATTGCGAGAGTCTCGAGACGAGGAGGAGGTCGGTCGTTCGCTTGAGCCTCCTTTCTGCTGGAGTAAGGCTATGTAGCCTGGGATATTATCTTTCGCAGATGGCGTGGGGTGAACATAGACCTGTGCCGTTGCAACATTCCCGTTAGTTCCGGTCTTTGTAAGGTGTGGGGTGGCGAGAGTGGTTCCTATGACATACCTTGCTCTTAGAGAATAGAAGCTTGACGCCCCGTCCTGTTTCTGTATGCGTGATTGTGTTGTAGTCCCCTTCCTCATCGTCGCTCAGGGCATAGAAGCTCCCCGAGGGCGAACGAGGTCGCGTCGGTGGTGGAGCGTTGGTGGCCGGCGGGGGATCTGAGTCTGAGGTCATCGTGCAGTGCGCCGCCGATGATGTAAGCTGGGATGTATGGGAGGCTTCGGCTCCGAAGGCCTGCTGTCGTCTCGGGTGAAGCTATTCAGGAAACAGAGCTATTGCGACAGTGGCTCTACTGTTAAAGTTTCCGGTAGAAAAATAAAGTGACAAGAGCGAGAAACAAAAAGGATGATCCGGGGAAAGTGGCATGTGAGCGAACTGTGGCTAATGATATGGGACGTTGGGGGCGAATAGCCCAGGCAAGGTGCTGCGCAGTCGTCGCCGCGCCCTCTGAGGGGCGTGGCCACCCACTTCCGTCACTGAATCACCCCGCTGCGAAAGCTTGCATCCATGTCTCGGAGGGGTTGTTCCCACTGTATCTGTACCGCGATTTAGGCAGCCTTTTAGCGTAGTGTGGCGGTACAGCTACCCGCGCATCAAGGTGAACCATGTCATCTGCAGCATGCATGCGTCGTCATTCGCACCTCCGGTTGGTCCTTCCGAGGCTACGTATTGCACGCGCAAGCAACTCGCTCCATCGTCGCTAGATTCGGCCTCGCGAGACAAAGCTTCATCGCGGACTCGCCGTTCCGTGTTAATGAGTTTCTAGGTGTAAACATCGTGACTCACTCGAGCTCACTATTTCGCGCATCGAGGCGTATTCCATGACGACGGAAGCTGGCGACATACCTGCAACTTTTTGATGAAGCCCAGCAGATCGAACAATACATCAAGGCCAGCGACTTCAGTCCAAATGCATGATTAGTAGTGTGTGTATTGTGTGTATGTATGTGCCTCAGCTCTGCTCTCGCACCTTTCCGGATACATGTCTCCAAGCAACATCCGCATTCTGCCTTGCCTCGAGGGTCTGCTATGTCCACCGTTTACATACGGTCCGCAGATCCTCACACTAAGCCGACTGTCGACAACTTGACTCCGGCCCGCCAAGCATCTTGACTGCGAACGCCCGCATCATAATGAAGAACCCCCGAACAAGGACCTATCATCCTCAAGGCGTATTCTCGCTCGCGTTCCGCGCACCGCTTGATCCCATCCACTTTACCTCATACGAGGACCGCTTGGGAGACCTTGACGTCTTGGGCCAGCAGGCAGTCCTGTTCGCCCACCACTGCCACCGCCGCCGCCGCTTCCTCCACCATAGCCAGGATCGTTGTTCGACCACGGAGAGTTGGATGCCACAAATGGCCTACCTCCGCCTCCTCCACCACCACCGCCGCCGCCTCCATTCCCATCGTACATGCCGCCGGGAGCAAATCGGTCTTCGTAGTCACCGCTCCCGCCTCTGCCCGTCGGTGGTTGGAATGGTCCTTGGCCTCCAGATGCCGGACTGGTTGTTCTCGCACCTCCCCATAGTCGCTGCTTAAGCCGATCCTGTGCTGAGCCGCCCGCTGAGCTGCCCGGCGGTGTGTTCGTCGTGTCTCTTCCATATGCCGCACTTTGCTGATAACTGCCCGCTCGCTGACTGGGCAGAGGTCGTGCCTGCACCTCTTCGCGTCCATTGTCTCCGGCTCGGGCAAAGGGGCTCAGTCGCGCGGGCTGCTGCTCGGCGCCTCGCATCGGTGGGGGAGCTCCGCGACCTTGCCGCAGGCTCATCGTGTCCTGCCTCTGCTGCGCGCCGCCATTATTGTCCCACAGAGAGCTCAAGCCCGTCGTAGGACCAGCTTGCTGTTGCTGCTGCAGACCTCCGTATCGTGCGCCGACTTGCTGGGCTGGTTGGGCGTAGACGGGCGCTGCTGGGGGTGGTGCCTTTGGGTCGGGCGGCAACCAGCCTGGGAACGGACGGCCTTTCTCGGTGTAGTAGCCTCTAAGGACTCTGCACACGTGGGTGTCGTCTTCAGTGTCGCCGTCGTTTTCGCTCTGCAACAAGCGACTCTGCAGGTTCGAGATCTGAGAGGTGGTGTTGGTGAGGATCCTCGAGTACCAAGATGACATCGTGCCTTGTTCCTTGCCGCGAGGATCCTGCGGGGCAAAGGCAGAGAGGCAAAAGGCGCTGTTTTCGACTGTTTTCGGACGGGTTGGGGTAAAGAGCTCTGCTCCGGGGCACGAAAGCTACTCGTCGGGGCTTGTGTCTGTGAAATCGCTCGCTCGCTATCGAAGTAGTTGAGTAGTGAGAAAAAGGAGAAGTTGGGATACCAAATGCCGGCGGGTGGTTTCGTTGTGCTGTTTTAATTTTGGAGGGTTGCTTGAAGTGGTCCGTTTCAAATAAGCCGGTCTTGAATGATAGGGAATGGGAAGCGACCTGGGTTGACGGGTCCGACACTTGTCGCCCGACGGAATGATGCAGGCTGGTGGGGCCTGGGCCTACCCGCATTGTTCTAAAGGAACTTGCACTAATTGAGGTGCTTTGTCTTCACCGAACGCCCCCCGGCTCGAGTAAGTCTCGGTGAAGCATGGATCACTGCTCCAGGCCGCATGCAAGTCACCTCCTACCTCAGTCTCCAACCTTACGTACAGGAGATTTAGTACCAGATATTGGCACATACATGCAGCCTACCAGGCAGTCGCCTATTTGCACGACTTTTTATTTCAAACGGTCTATAGTGAACATAATTAAAGTAAGAGAACTGGAGTATGAATAAGGCAAACGTGAAAAAATATATGAGACAGAGGACAAGCACGATATGCCATGCACGCAAAGAACCACAGTGCAGGAATATTAAACAGCCATTTGATATAATGTATATCACAACACACGGTGGTATGCACAATGCCCCCAGTTTTTGATTTTCCGTCCCGTAATCAGCCGTAAAGGTATCCGCGCCAGACGCCATTGGAATTCCACGCGAGCCTCTCTCACCAGGTCAATTCCTCCGCAATCTTGGGGCGCTCCTCCTGCTTCTGCTTCAGCCTCTTCTGGTTCATCTTGACCGCCCGGCCGCGCTTGCGCTTGTCGCCAGCCTTGCGAGCCGCCTCCTCGTCGCTGTCCTCAGAGTCGTCATCCTCCTCCTCCTCGTCATCATCCTCGGCGTCATCGTCGCTCTGGAGCCAGTCCTCAATGTCCTCGAGCTCCTCTTCACTCTCCTCAATGTCGGAGACGTACTCGACCTCCTTCTCCAAGTCGTCCTCGGACTCGTCCTCTTCCTCGCCCTCCTGCTCCGACTCCATACCGGGGTCCATGTCCTTATCACGCTTGCCAGCGCCCTCCTTCTCCATGGAGTTGAGGACTTTCCTCCAGATCGACTCGCTGACGTTGAGGGGTTGGTCGCCGTAGGCGCCGGAACGTAATCTCTCGACAAGCTCGCGCTCAATGGTACGCTCCAACTTGGCGGCGGCCTCGGCCTTGCGCTCTCTGGCCTCCTCGCGGCGCCGGATCTTGGGCGCCATCTTCGGTACCAGCTTCTCGCCCATGCGCTCCTCCTCGGCGGCGATCTTGCGCATGCGAATGTTGACTTGTGTGAGACGGGTGAGACGCTGTTTGCACTTGTGGACGAGGAACTTGGGCCAGTAGATGAGCTTGTCATCGAGCATCTCCAGGGCCTTGGCGTAGTTGTTGGGCAGCTTGATGCGCTCCCATAGCTTCGAGGGCATGTGCGCACGTTCGATCGTCTTCATGTAAAGGTACAGCGTGTCCTTGTTCGGAGCGCGTCGAACGGTGGCATAACGGGAATTTGCCAGCGGGCATGATTGTCTGTTGCAGAGACCTGTGACATTGTTCTCGTTTCTGCAAAACGTCTGCTTCTTCTCTGTGGAAAGTTTGAAACTGCAGAACTGCTGGTTGATGATTTGCCTAGGGCGGGGTGGATTAGGATTGAGGCCTGCAATTAATTCTGTTAAATACAGACTCACCAGATAATCTCGTCGGACGCCATTGTGACGGTTTTTGGCGGAAAATGGACGAGGTTGAGAGTTGTCAAAAGGCCTTGCCGTTCGTCGAGTGCTGGAAGAAAACCGAGGCGGCGGGGCGCTTCTAGGTTGGTTTTCCTCGCTCTCGACGCTACAAAAAAAATTCCATCCAACAGGCAAGTTGCAGGGGTCCGAGCCTTATCGCGATAAGCTCGGGGGCAAAGCGGCCCGGCCGACCAATCGAACGTCTTGAATTGCAATAGCTCCCAAATCGGAACTTCGTCAACCTGATCTGCTCAATCGTTCAGTGAACAGTTCGTTCCCATCATCTCATATAATATTACACTCATGTATTTTTGATCGCAATGCGGATGTAGTTGTCCTGCACATAATAGCTTCATTGATTTCTTTCGATCCACTGTTTTACTAGTCCATGCATGCTCTCATTCGATCGACGAGGAGCCTCGGCCGAAACCTCCCCTTACGCACTCGAAGATGTCTTAGTGATCGAGGTTACAGCTCATTGAGAGTTCGGCCCCTGGCGTTACCATCAACTGCTTTAGGCCTTTTCTACCAACGAAATATACCACAAAACACGAGTGCTCAGTCACGATTCATCACATCGACGTCAGAGGTCATCTTCAAGGAAGACACCATCTATGCCTTGTCAACAGCACAAGGCCGGGCCGGCATCGCCGTAATACGCATTTCTGGTCCCGGATGTATAGATGTGAGAGCATTTCCAGCAATTGAATGAGAACTCGGCACTAAAACTCAATCTTAGGTCTACAAAGGCCTATGCCCGAACAAGGCATCGCCAAAACCTCGATATGCATCAGTGAGAACCCTCGTAGACGGCCAAGCCGGCGAGGAGGCAACAATCTTGGATTCAAACGCCTTGGTGCTGTACTTCCCTGGACCTAAGACAGTAACCGGAGAAGACGTCCTAGAACTACACGTCCACGGCGGCACAGCGACAGTCAAGGCAGTCCTCGCCGCGATCCCGCGATGCGCCTCCGCCTCCGAAAGTAGCAGCAGCAGTATCGTTCGCTACGCCGAACCAGGCGAGTTCACCAAACGAGCCTTCCTCAACGACAGACTCGACCTCGCACAGGTGGAGTCCCTGGGCGACACTCTCTCCGCCGACACGGAGCAACAGCGCCGGGCTGCCGTGCGCGGCAGCTCGGGCAGCCTAGGCCGGACCTACGAAGCCTGGCGCGAGCAGCTTCTCTTGGCCAGGGGCGAAATCGAGGCCCTCATCGACTTCTCCGAGGACCAGCACTTTGACGAGTCCCCCGCGGAGCTGATGAGCAACGTCAGCGCGCTCGTCGCCGACATGCGGCACCGTATCGGTGTCCACGAGCGCGCGGGCCAGCGAAGTCAGCTCCTCCGAAACGGCATCCGCATCGCGCTGCTTGGTCCTCCCAACGTCGGCAAGAGCTCGCTGATGAATCTCGTTGTTGGCAGGGAGGCATCCATTGTCTCGATGGAGGCTGGCACGACGCGGGATGTTGTCGAGGTCAGTCTCGATATTCGGGGGTATCTCTGCTCGTTCGCCGATACGGCTGGCATCAGGACGAGGCTTGCTGCCGGCGGCGGTGGTGGTGCCAATTCCTCTGAACCTGCGTTGGGGCTGGTCGAAGAGGAGGGTATCCGGCGCGCGAAGCAAAAGGCCTCGGAATCCGACATCATCATCGTCTTAGCGGCCGTCGAGCCCAGCCCCGGCCCCCAGGGCGGCTTCCGCATCAACTACGACGCGGAGACGCTACAACTGGCGTCCGAAGCGCAGGCCTGCTTAATCGTGGTCAACAAGCGCGACGCCGTCGACGCCGCCACCTTCTCCAGCCTCCTTGAGGGCTTCAGAAACGAAACAGCCTCTCGGATACCAAATCTCCGCACAGTGGAGATCATTGCGATCTCCTGCCGCGAGGCTGAAGCACAAGCCAAGTCTCCCTCCGCCAGTGGCAGCGCCGGTCAGAAAGACCCGGGCGCGATCCACGGGCTCATCGACCGCCTGGTCGAGTCGTTCGCCGGTATGACGGCCCTCCCCGTGGACCAGCAAGACCTGCTGGGCGTGACGGCCAGGCAGACGCAGCTGCTCGAGCAGTGTCGCGGGTTCCTAGATGAATTCATGGCCGTCGCGCACTCCGAAGAAGAAGAAGGAGGATCGAGAGACGGCGAGGAGCCTGATATCGTCCTGGCGGCGGAACACCTGCGTTATGCGGCAGATAGTCTTGCCAAGATTACGGGGCGCGTCGAGACCGGGGATGTAGAAGAGGTTCTAGGGGTGATTTTCGAAAAGTAAGTCTTGACTATTTTATCTCCCATGGTTCTGTTTTTGGCACGTTTCACTGACACGTCTTGACGTTTTCAGGTTTTGTGTAGGAAAATAGAGATTAGACTACTATCGAATCCCGGACGGTGAAGTCCTCATATATCTAAATCTAATCTGTCGTAGACAAAGGAGAAACCGGAGAAATGGAGGAGTGAAGAAGAAGAGAAGAAGAGAAGAAGAGAGATCCGAATCAAACCCCGTCAACGCCGAGCCAATGCGACAAAGGAAACCATTCCTCTTCGAGAAGAGGCACGCCATGCTTGCTATGCAGTCCCAAATTCCAATGAAAAAGAAGAGAGAAGGAGGCGGAAGGAGTGTGATCCGTCGCGATGCTACCATCTACCCCAAACTCCGGCCCAATGCATGAGATAAGAAAAGAAGAAGAAGGATCGCCGCCGCCAGCACCCTTTGAAGCCCAAACCTTTCATGCTCGCGCAAGGGAAGGGAAGGGCGAGGTGGGCGGACGGATGCAAGTGATGAAAACGCCGGTCTAATGCTGATAGGATAGGAAATTTCGAGCTCGCAAGTCTGATGCGGCGGAGCCCCTCGTCTTATACAAGACATTGAAGCTTGGGAAGGCAGCCGCAGCAAAAAGATTGAAGGATGCAAAGCCGGTAACCGAGAGTCCTCAGGGGATCAAGGAACCCAGGAGAAGAAGATGTGCGCGAAGGAGTGGTGAGACGCTTATTTGTCCTCCTCGTCGTCGCCATCCTTGTTGTAGCCGGAGCGGCCCTTGTTCTGGCCCTCGTCATCGTCATCGCCGTCCTTGTTGTATCCGGAGCGGCCGCGGTTGTCCTTCTCCTCGTCGTCGCCGTCCTTGTTGTAGCCTGAGCGTCCGTAGACGGCAGTGGCGGGAGTGAACAGAAGAGTGAAAGCGGCCATTGTGGTTGAATTTGTGGGTTTTGTGTGTGTGTGTGTGTGTGTTGGAGGAAGTTGAGCTTTTGGTGGAAGGCGAGGTAGATGGGTTGTTGATGGTGTAAGTGGTTTGTGTTTGTGTGTATAAGAGAGGAGACGTGAGATTGTTTTGAGATTGTATGAGAGCTGTGTCTAAGCTTGTGATGCCGGATTGTGAGTGTGATGATGGATTATATTCCTGCCTCAGATGGGGATGTATCAAGGAGTTTATATAGGCCTCAAGGCATCCATATTCTCTCTCATATCGAGAGACGGGGCTGGGCGTTGATGAGGCTCATCGTGTAGGGGTGAGGTACCTTAGACAGGTACGGAGTGAGATCCCAGCCCTACGTACCTTTACGATTTACCTCAGGTCAAGGGGGGGCAGCAGAAGAGAAACCCGGCCATTGGTACCTCGACTTGGCATCTCAGCCTCCGTGCGAGGAGGCGCGGACGCCCGGTAAACGGGTATCGCAACGGCTTGGGGTTGGAGCGTTGGGCTTGTGTGGGAGATTGAGATACCTGCGATGCTAGTTTCGGCACGGCCCCCACGGCTTCTCTGTCTCGCTCTCTCTAGGCAGCCCTTTTGCTTTCCAAATTTGGGACATGTGGAGGGCGATGGCATGTACCCAAGGCAACCAAAGAAGAATACGACCGGGGGCGGGTAATAGTTTGAAAAAAAAAAGGACCCCTGAAGGACAAGTCTTAGCCTTCTTTCTACTAAGGTACGAGGAAGTATCGTAACACCTTTCCTCTTCCCTGGGCAACATGAACGAAGTAAAGATGACATCCATCACTGCCCGCCGCGCGCGCATGTGGTATGCGTGTAGTGTCTGCGTGTGTGTCACTGTCATCGGTCTGCAGACCACTCGGCATACGGCAGACCAGAAACCCGGGCGACGTGATGGTGGGTTTCGCAAGGTTCCTCGTCATGATGTGAGATGCAATGTGCGAGGCGAGGGGGGAACGCCATGCGCTGGAGTGCCGCGGGCCTGGCTTGCGGTGATCTGGGCAGATGTGGCTCTCAAATCAGTTCCCTGTAAGTAACCCAGCAGCTCCGCAATAGGCTGTCATATCAATGGCTCATTTCCGTTTCTGGTCGTCAGAGGGCCAAGGGTGTGGCTCACTGGCTCGTCCTCCGAACTTTTGGAAACAAGAGGGACAGGGACGAAATCCAAGGCGACGGGTTTTGGTTACACGGACTGGTGCATCATGATTAGTCGATGCGCTAAAAGAGACAGGAAAAGATTGTGAGCAAGTCTTGTTTGGCGAATGGGAGAGGCGCCGACAGGGAAGAGGTCGGATGTGTAGGGCTGAGTAGACCAAAGGGAACCACCTGTGCAGAGGAAAGTAAGCACCAGCCAAGCTTGCCTAGAGAGACGTCTCAGGTCGGCCCGGATGAGATCGCGTAGCAGCCACAGGGTATGTCTCTGTCAGCATCTTGGAGGCTGTGCAAATGTTCTTCTTCTTTCGAGTTTCTGAGTAGCGAGGACGGAAGACGCTCGAAGGTGGGCCACGGTAGAGGGTCGATTGGAGGGGATGGAGGCTGACATAAGGGCAACCAGCGCATCTCCATTGAGCAACTGACCGATGAGACAGGCAAGTGATCTAACCGCCTCAGCCAGCTTGACGGTCACCCGTGTAATTTTGATTCGTTGATTGCAGTGAAGGCTGCGACTGCCTCCGGCGGTGCCCGTATGTCTCTACCTTTGGATAGGCGTAGTAATTACAAAGCTCCGGAGCTGCTCGGTGTTTGAGTCCTATGGTCGGTGAGCAGCGGACGGGTCGGTCATGGCCGTTGATCCCGTCATTGGTAAGACACCGGCGGTTGTTCCCCCGACAGTGATCGACACTGCAGGTGAGCAGGCGAAAGAGTCACCGGTGTCGTAGGTACCTGTATATGAAATCGCCTTGTGAGACATCTCATGTGACGACGAACGCGAGGCATCGCGAAGTGACGGGCATTGAATCACGGGCATGGAAGCGGAAAGATGGGTGATGCCGGAAACTCCGCTCAGTGCTCGCAGCAAATGACTGCCTTGGCTCCGTGGGGGCCCCGTGGAGCATCCGGAGAGACGGCAGAAGGCGGTGCTGGTCCGCACCTGGAGATGACCTAAGATCCTTTGGCCTCAGTCGACAAGGCATCGAGTGGTCGCTGTAGTCATCATGTCTGGTGTGTGATGCCGAAACGGATGTGGTCCAGCTTGAGTCTCTTGACCGAGAATACTCAAGACGGTCTAGGGCGCATCAGGGATCGGACAAGACCGAAGTGTGAAGTCATTGGCAGTTGTGATTGCAGAGGTGCATCGCATCGGTAGCGTTGGGCGACGGATATGACAGAGTACGGCTGCTATTGCCGCAAGGTTCGTGTTTCGGGCAAAGAGGTGTACTCGGGTGCAGGCCCATGATCCTTCGAGCGACTCGAAATAATAGAAACCACTGTGAGTCAGCGGATGCAGCGCAATAGTGCCTTGAGCCCTGTTGCAAAGTCTAAATCAGGCTTTTCGATGGGCAGACTAGTCTCTGCGGTTCTCGTGTATTTTTTGAGTGCCAACATGTTCGCATTGCCTCTGATAAGATGGTTGTACTCCGTAAAGGCTGCTTTTGAAGAGATGTCGTTGTTGAAGGCGTATCCGTAAGATGGGACGAGATGAACGGGGATGCGACTGGGATGTTTGGGTCCAAAAGGGGCCGCTCAATGTTCCTGAAGCAGCTGCCTAAGGAACTTTGAAGTTGCAGTGCCCGGGTGCGCTCGAAGCCACGTGCGACATTTCACCCATTGTCCGCCGCCGGGATGGGAGTTGGGGGCCATGGGGCCTTCCTTTCCTGATTTCACTCCAAGGTACGTGAGTACCTACTGTACAGTACCTAGATATTCGTACGGAGGGATGACTAAGGAGAACGTGGGCAGCAAAAGGTCTGAGCTTTGCGCCCCCTCAGACGGGAAGGCACAGCAGAGGTTCGCACTTTCCAAGGTACGCAAGGGAAGGAGGCAGGTCCTTGCTAGGGGCCGGCGCCCGGACCTTCTATGCGGCCCATCCAATCCTCCCCCTCCAACGTCTGGACTTCCAATGGTTAGAACCCAAATCCTTCCCGCCTACATTCAACTACCATCGAGCATTAGCCATAATCAGCCACTATCGTGTCGGAAACTCCAAGTGACGATAGTGTTGAAAATGTATGAAAGGATAGAGCAACAGAAAATACGTCGCCTCAGATAGGTGCGATAGCGACGGCTCGTCCTCGTCCTTGTCCTTCCAATCCCGGCGTTTAATCTTGTTTGCCAAGTGACAACCAACAAACAAACAAATAATAACCAGCGCCACCAACAGAATGCTCCAACACAATGCTGGGCCGTCAATATGGATTCGGGTACCTGTGCCGTACGGTTACTGGGTCAGGAGTTTCACCCGTATCTCGTCCATCTTCTCTTTCTCTTATCCTCTTCAGAATTTCTCTTCCACTTCCACGAGCCGTCTCACCTCTCTTGACCTTGACTGCCTTCTTTGCCCCGCGACGAGTCGAAATTTTGCGCAATGGAGTCTCTACCTGTTGAGGTCCTTCAAATGACCCTGAGTTACCTCTGTATGCATTGCCGAGACCCCACCGGCTTCCCTCACGCAGATACACAAGAGGTCCGAGACGACAAGAGAGCATTGGCTTTCCTTTGCAGAATCTCAAGACGCATATCTGCGGTAGCCTATCCGATCTTGTACCACTATTATGCGACGGGAAACATGCATCTGAGACAGACAGTTATCACCAGGCAAAGGCCCATCAGAAATACCCCCGAGCCGAACCTGGTTCAGAAATTCACCCGTACCATCCGACAGCGACCTGACTTGGCCTCATACGTCGATGCTATGCAGGTTGCAAGCTGGGACCTGGAAATCAATTATCGCCTAACCTCACCGGACTCATCCAGCTCCGACAGCAGTGTGTCGGATTCAGAAGTGCCCCCCGAAGTGTGGGAAGCTGCCAGTACATTATACGCTGAACACTCGAGGAAGCCACAGCCACCGACGCCAATAAAGGACTACAGCATGCTAGAAGGCGAAATTCCAGATTTGATAGCGGCTATCCAGTCATGTCCTCGTTTGCAAAGTCTCCTCGTCAGTTACAGTGACCACGACCCCATCTGGCCCGAAAAAAGCTGGCTGGGGCTGAGAATGCCCTCGATCCGTCGTCTGGGTGTCATAGTCGGCCTATCCAGGCAATGCACACTCTATATCAATTTCGCCGGAATGCAGAACATGTTTCCCAACGTGGAATCTATCCATGCTAGCACGGGAGGCCTTTGGATTCTTCAGCGCGGCACGCTTCCGACCAAAAACCCGAAGGACTTTTTGACAAAGTTGAAGAGCCTATCGATTGCGGGAATGCGGGATCCTCACTTGGAGGAGCTGTTGACATGTCTGCCTGGTCTCGAACGCCTCGAAATCACCAACCAGAACTACGATTGCTCCTGGCGAAGGGCCCTCAAGCCGGTGCAAAACCGACTCAAGAGCCTTCACATATCCTACCACCTCAAGCCGCACCATGGCATGAAGCTGTGGGATGTCAAGTTTCGCCACAGCGAACGGTTTAGATTATGCGGCGCTCTGGAGGAACTCTCGCTCGACTGCCGGTTAATCCGGGACGTCGTCACGCCCTATGCTCCCGAAGCGAGACTAGCATCGCTGCTACCGCCATTGATTCGCGTTTTTAGGATTCGGTATCTTCATTATGTCATGTCAGGGACACTGAAGTACCTAGCAGACATGGCACCCACCCGCTTCCCGCATCTCAAGCTCATCCACATTGGGGTGAGCGAATGCGAGTCGCCCGGGAATGAGAACATGGTTGCGGCAATGGAGGAACCGACGCGCCGGCTCTTCGCGGCGGTGGGCATCGATTTGTTGTGGACGCAGGATCTGGTTTGGGAACAGAAGAGACCTGGAAGGTTCCTGGGGTCGGGGATAAATTTGACGGCCGACATACCCCTTCCGGTGGTACCCGAGCATATGATCATTCATTAACGCAGAAAAGGGTGTGCAGAGGAAGGAATTCCGGCTGACCGTCGTGAGAAGCTCATGTGTTGTCAGTAGTGGTGTACTGACAACGTCGGTTGGGGTATGCTGATGGACTCGGAGTCGAGAAGAGAACATGTAACGGTGACAACGGGTTTCTGAAGCAGTTGAAAGCACGAACCAGGGGAAGCCTAGCAACATGTCGGTCGGTGTACATCTGCTCACTGCCTCCACATCGACTTTGAAGTCGATAGTCCTATTTCACTTAGCTAATACATCACTTACACGCCCATGAGCCAAGAGGCTCGATGTACATACTTCGTTTATCTACTATTCGCCCGAGCAATCAGCAACGGCAGGATAACAAGTAAATAATGTATGTACATCATGCTTCACAGCCCCTAGTGAATCCCCAACGCCACGAGACATAAGCTGAAATCGTCCAAGAAAGGCTTGGGAATATGAAACATCCACACACCTTCCTGTCCCAAATTCACGGCTGCCTGGTTTGGAAACACAGAGGCTAACCTGATTTAGGATATCTCACTTGAGCCGCACCAGCCTTACGACCTGCATGTAACCACCACCTACCCACCATTATCAACATCTCTCCTGCTGGTCTGGTGCTGACCACCGAGCCAAGACTTGGGTTCCACAACAGCCCTGCCACTCGGTCAGCGAAAGTAGGAGAGGCGCACATACACAGCCTACTAATGCAATGCAACCAGAGCCAGAAAAGGGCGGGAAATTGCAAAGAGAGAGACCTCGTGGTTGTGGAACGTGAGTAAGAGACAGAGCAACTCTGTCCCTCGTCAAACCCCCCCCCCCCCCCCTTGCCAGCCTTGTAGATCTCTGAAAAGGGAAATAGAGCCAACCCGGGGTGTGACACGGAGGCGTGTAGGTGTGTGTCTGCATGGCAAATTTGGGAAATCATGTGTAACGTACCACGCTTAGCAAAGTTCACGTCGGGCGGCCGCCGAGGTCTGCGGACCCGCGGCAACCATTTCTGGGTCCGCGGCCCTCCTCACCATCGAACCGACGAGGTGCGAAGAAATAACGGCAGATAGACTAAGAATGCTATGCGAGGAAGGAGGGAGGTGGTAGCATGGCTTAGGACTTTGCTAAGCCCAGGGCTTACTCACTCACGGACCAAGAGTTCTGCTGAGGAGGAGCCTCTCTCGAGGGCTTGGCAGGCGGATTCAGGGTATCATTAAGAATTTCTTGTCTTGGATCCTTCACTCGGCTCGCTCCTACGCGGGCGGTCCCGTGTGTTGAACGACGTGTTTTAACCCCCCTGAGGCGGAATCGACTCTGGAGCTTTGAGGTGCCTTCGTCTACAGATATTCACGCAGCGGAAATAACTTTTCTCATGAGCTGCGCGTTCCGAGTCGTCATTGATGTCTATGTGCGGCGAAAGGGGGACCCTTCGCGTTTGTCCAGACTTGGAGAAAAGGACTATACATGGATGGTCTCACCTAGGAAAGTTTGGATGGGAAGGTTACGTAGCCAAATCTGTCAGGCAGAAGCCGACAATGTCGAAACGATGACGGACGCGAATGCTTTCGCCGTCGCTCGTCGCTTTCTGCTCGATTCGGTCAACAGGGACGGACACGGTGTGTGTGCTGACTTCAGTCGAGGACGGCTTACATATCCCCTTTTCCTTTTTGGTATCTGTGGGCTTACGCTCCTCGGCCGAACGTAGAATTGTCAGCACACCACACACATTCACACTTACATGCGACTATCAAAGTTCAAAATCCGGCAAGGCCGAACCAGGCATCTCGTCCTTCTCCGGAAACACGTTCGAGGGACCTGGAAAAAAAGGGACCTTGCATGTACAACGAATTCAAGCCAGCCGAACAGACCGGCCTTTTTGCATAATCTCATTCCCCGGACGGGCTTCTCAAACCAGCGTGCCGCCCGAAAACCACTCTATGCTTTTTTCCCTTTTTGCTCTCTTCTTACTTCGTACATGCATTGCCTCTCCTCGATGCGCGCGCTTCCGTGTGATGTGACGAACAAATAAGGTACGTGATTTACAACTCGTCCCTAACGTGCCCGCCGCCGCTGCCGCCACCAGACTTGCTGGGCTCCTCCATGGCCATAAGCTTGACAACTAAGCTCGTCCAGCCGGTGAAGTGCTGGGTGCGCTGCCCCTCGCCCGTCTCCGGGTTGTACTGCTCCCAGGCGAAGCCCGTCTTTTCCCAGCTGTTGTAGACGGTGTCGACGAGGTTCTTGCGAAGGCGGGTGAAGAGGTCCGCGGCCTTGGCCTTGTAAGGGCCATCTTGGGAGGCGACGTTCTGTGGTACTTGTTAGTGATGGGTGATTCTTGTCGGGAGGAGATGGGTCGGTGTGACTTACTCTCAGTTGGGAGACGGCCATGTAGTTGATTGGCATCCACACGGGGCTTCTCCAGTAGTTCTCGGCCGTGCCATAAAACTCATCCTGCTTGCTCAAACTCCTCAGGCCGTGGGGGCTGAAGAGGTGCTCCTCGTCGCCAATGAGGTCGAGGAGCTTGCCCAGCTTGGGGTCGTCGGCTTCAAGAAGACCGACCAAGAATGGGAACAGCGAGATGTAGCCCTTGTGGCAGACGAGGGTGTTCTCTTCGTAAGCATCGATCGTGGCATCGCAGTAGCAGCCCTCCTTCTCGGACCAGTGGAGGTCGTTCAGGTTGCGGCGGATGGCATTCAGAGTCGTCTTGAACTCGTCAACCTGCTCCGCCATGCCAAGAGCGTCGGCAATGTTCATCAACGACTTGGTCATCAATCCAACCCAGGACATGAGGTCGACGTGGAGTTCGCCGGGGTGAGGGGGCTGGGGACGAGGGTAGTCATCGAGACCGCTCGTGAGAACGTGGGTCTCGGTGCGGCCGCGCCATCTGTAGCCTTCCTTGTTCGAGAACGCGTCGCGGTCGTAGGTCTTCAAGTCTCCTCGCTGAGTCTTGCGGAACCAGTCGTACTGCTGGCGGACGAATGGGTACAGCCTTCGGAGGAACTCCTCTCCGAGCTCGACATTGTCCAAGTGGGCGGTCTGCAGGGAGGCCTGAGGGCCGAGATGCTCTTTTTCGGCGGGCTGGCTACCGTTGGTCTTGCGCAGTCTCTCCATGAAGCCTTCAATGATGAGGAAAAGAGTGGGAGGGTTGGCGTAGTGCGGGTACTGGACCTGGAATTCCTCGGGTACCTTGCTCCGAGCCTCGAGACCTAGAATTTGCTCGCGAGGGATCCATCCGTCTTCGTCCATGGTGTTGAACCAGCTCTTGACGATCTCCAAGGTCAAGTCAATGTCCCAGTCGGCGATGGGGATAAGGTGATAACCCTCGTCCCAAAGGAATCCTCGAGGGAAGAAGGGGCGAGACGGAACAGCCGTGAAGAGCTCATACGGGCCCTCCAACTCCTGCTGCTTGCGTGCGCGGGCAGCAGCGGTCTCCTCCCAGAAGCCCTCGTTCTCTTCGTCGTACTCGGGAGCGTAAGAACGATCAATCAGCTGAGACCCGTGGAAGTATCCGATGCCACCAAGTAGGTTAGAGAACATGCTCTTGGCAAACTTCTTGTATTTGTCGGCAGTGAACGGAGCCTTCAGGCTGAAGATGGAAGAGAAGCGTTCTCCAAAGAACTCGGTGACCGACTTGATCTCGCGCGTGACATCGGCACTTGTGAGCTCGGGGCCCGCAGAGGCAGATGAGAAGATGACGTCAAACTCAAAAGCTCCCTCAAACATCTTCTGGACGACGTGCGTGTTCCCTTCGCCGGGCTTGTTTTCGATCTGGTAGGTGAGGTATGCCGGAGGCGGCTCGTTCATCTCGTAATTCTCCTGGACAAACTTGACGCTTTCCTGGATGAGGTTGAAAACAACACCCTTGCCCTGCCACTGATGCTCCTCAGGAACTGTCAGAGATCGTACCGTCGTGCGATCGGGGTGTCTCTTTTCGGACAAATCGTGGCTGCTGGAAGGGTGCTTGCCCTCTCCCTTAGTGATGACCAGCTTATACTTGCCGAGCTCCTGGGAAGAGCCTCCGAATGCAACGTCGCCGTCGAACCCAGCGGGGTCGTTCTCACCGGAGAATGCGAGCTCTGCTTCACTGTTGTCTTCGGCGATGTAGTAGTGGATCATGGTCTTCAGATCAGCGGGTGCACCCTCTCTCGGAACACCCTTGATTCTTGCAGCCCAGCTACCGCCGTTGGCTCCGCCGGGGACCTTGACAAACGAAGTGGTGATGTCAATCTGATTGCCTTCATCGTGGATAGACTGGATACCTCCCTTCCGGGCATCATACTCGTCCCATCCATAGCCATGAAGGCCTTCATGCTGTTCGCATGTGTAGCGGAAACCTAGACTTGTAAGCCTTTACATATGTATGAAGACGCCGGTATACAACATACCTTGCTGAACGTCTTGGTAGTTGTCGACTCTAGACCACATCAATCCAGTCCACAGACTCTTGGGGGATCGGTTGCGGACGCCAAAGTACAGGTTCGACTTATAAGGACCCCAGAACAAGCTTTCGTTGTTGAGGCGACCGACCTCGGAGGTCAAGATGGAAGCTGAGCCGGGACCATCTTCCGCCGCAAGGGCTAGCTGTGCCCCAAAGATATTGAAGAGGGAAAGCGTGAGGAAGACGGCCAATTGCGTTATGCGGGCCATCTTTGCGGTGTGTGAGTGATCATTCAGCGCTCATCGGAGCTCTGAGGGGAATAATCTGACACTCACACAACAGCTCTGTGAAATTGTCAAGCTGTGTGCGTCAGTTTGTGTGTGTAATGTCAAGTTTGAAGTAGAGAAGTGAACGAAGTCGGGTGTAAGATGAGAAAGAGGTAAGTATCAATGTACCTCTGGCCAACGCTGCTGGAGTGAACACGTTGGACGACTCGCAAGCTGCCCGGGATGGAGCTCGGATTGAGGCTGAGGTGAAATGTGGCTTTGACAGCTTGGTTGACGTCGGCTGCCAAACGAACCAATCAAACCCCTTGGAGCATGTCAAGCTTGGGCCAGCTTATGTGTGGCGGCGGGTGTTTTAGCGTCAACCCCGTTGTCGATAGCTGCTACGATCCCTGAAACTTCAGCAACTGTCGGTTGTCCCAATGTACTCCACTGGGCCTTTGGGGAATGGAATGTTGCGCCTACTTAACTTCCTCCACTGAAAGCCCCCCTGCCGAGTCGCACACCGTCAATTGCTGCCAGTGGCTGCATGTCAATTCCCTCCCATCCACTCTGACCTCTCTCTACCTCACTGGTACATGCTCCTTTCCACTGTTCACCTGCATCAAGTAGCTCTTGTCGACCTGCAGCCCATCCTTGCGCTTGATCACGGAAACGCGCACGATATAGCCATCGCATAACCAGCTTGACGACCTCGGGGGCCACCTGTCGAGCTTCGCGCACTTCTGTGTTCCCCTGGTGTGGCACCAAACGCACTAGACCATCGCGATATGGCCACATAGCTCGCCCGCAACATACTTTGAGTTGAAGATGCTGGACGAGAGATACACATGCTAGGATGAGCTTGGACTCGCTGTTACCCATCGCTCCCGCGAGGGTGAAGGCATTGATTCTACCCCTGGGCCAAATCAGAAGTGATCGTTTCTCGTCCTTCATTGAACGCCTGCGGCCTGAACATGTCGTCTCCTTGCGGGATGTCAGCCCTGATGGGCGGCCAAACAGGAGCACGTCCTTCCATTTCCCATATTCATTTCAAGAACCCTCATACTGACCGTCAATCTATAGATATGTTTTCCCCTTTGGCCTTCCCTGACGGCGCCGTATTCTACGAACTCATAACCCACGTCCCCCCACCTTCGCATCTCGCGCTATCGCCGTTCGACTTCTACCGTGAACCCCTAGCGGTTATTGCAATCGCTGACGGAGAGGAACTCAGCCGAGTCACCTTCAGCAAGAGACACTCTGGAAATGCGCCCACCGTTGCCGAACAAAACATCCGAACGCTGGACCAGGAGTTGGAGGACTTGAGAGACCGCTTCGGAAGGGCACTGGTTCACCGAGTGCTGATCTTCGACCATGCGCTTTCGAAGGAGAACCCGGTACCTTTGCCCGAGGGACTCATCGCTATACCACCGCCGGACGAGTGCAAGCGGACGACCATGAAAACTATAATGTGTGACATTACGTCGCAGCTCCTGGCGGAAATGACAAGACTGGCCAAGTCGTTTGAAGCCTGGAACTTCATCGATTCTCCCGGACAGTCTCAGTCAAGTAGACAAACGAACGGCGCATCATGGGGCGCAGATGATTCTGGTTCGGTAAATAAGAGGGCGTCTCAATTCGTTCCTGGTCCGCAGAGATCGAGCTCGACCAGTGGTATTCCAGATCGGCACATGAATCGCATGTCTATGCCGGTTGCGCCTATGAAGCACAACTCGGCTGTATCGTCGAGCAACTCAACGCCCGCTCGGCCATCAACTCCTGTGAAAAGCGGACTGTCGAACCCTCCTACCACTTTTGACGATTTGACTTCCGGCATGAGTAGTGACTCTTCGACCCCTGACCGAAATTCAAGGCCGGGTGCTGGAGACCACTTCAGGTCAGAAAGTTCAGATCGAGTTTCGGTGCAGGGCTTCGGCCCCGGTGGTCTCAACGATCGCTTCAGAGCGAAAGGCAAAAGCAGAGTCAAGATCCTTATGGGGTCTTTGTATCTGCAAGCAGGTCGCTGGACCGATGCTTTGAAAGAACTTATAGATGGCGCAACAGTAGCCAAATCGATAAACGATCACATATGGCATGGCAAGGCACTTGAGTTGATCACTCTCTGTCTACTGCTGCTAGGCTGGGTCAAGGTCGACTTTCAGGTCCCGTCTATTTGCCTGCCCCCACAAGACAAATCTACGGCTGCTACATATGCCGCCCTAGAAGCAGCGACCCCAACTGATGCAGGCCAGCCCAAGCATATTCGAAACCTTCAGATTATACTTCCAGACCTTTTGGACCGAATCGCCGGGCTGTATTCTCGTATATCTGCTGAGCATCTGCCTCCCTTACCCCTGGCGGAGACGACAATTAGATTCTCCAAGATTTTGTCTGCTTTGCACCTTGCTGACGGAAAGCTTGGAGAGCGTGCCTACGAGATCATGATCTTTGGAAAACTGCCCTCGACCCCTCTGACAACCTCGCCCCGGTTGACCGTTGTCCCGAGCCGACAGTCAATCGTCACATTTCTCTTCCGCGCGTTTCCTGCCTCTTCGTCGGAGCTTCTCACCATCGCAGATAGAGTATCGATTCTAGCAGGAATCGCGTCCGTTCTTGGACCTCTCGGTCATCATCGGAAGAAAGCAATGGTAACTAGAGAACTCGTTTCCGTCCTAATCAGCGGACTGGTTGAGGCGCGCACTCGTGGTGCTGCAGACATGGGTATACACCCTGCGGCAGGCCTGGTAGCTCTGAATGCTGCCAATGGACACAGTAATAGCGCAGTCGCACTCGAGCTGGGCGAAGGCGACGTTGAACAGGGAATCGAGGCATTTTTGGCTCTTTTGTGCAAGTCTTACGGTGTTGTCGGCTTTGACATGAAGAAACAACCCGCAGACGATGCCATTTCGACAGAGGACTCGGACGCTGCTGTCATCGATAGAATTCGGGGACAGGCAGCTGCGAGATTCTTTGGGTTCACCAGTGTCAAGCTGAACATACTGAGAGCATGCATCAACTTTTCTGAAGCGTTGCCTGACTTCAATGGTGTCTTGAAGTTCTCCAGTGATCTGCTTCGCACCGCTGGCTCAGGAGTTGCCCCTGGCCCTCGCAAAGAAGATGCATCACCGGTCATTACTCGCGACGAACAGACCCGGCTCGCCACAAATATTTCAAAGACATCGAATCTCGCGAAAAGATTAGGCCTTAATCAGCTCGCGGCGGAGTACTGGGACGAGTTCTTCGTCCGTGGCGTCGCCTTAGAACCACTTCCGATTACCAGAATTCCGGTCCCGCATGCCAAGAGTACACTTCCTGGAGCAGTAACTGCGAGAACTTCTCAAGACGTCAACCCTTTTATATACAACCCATTCCTTAAGCAGCCCGATAAAGCTGCTGACCACCTTCTCGTTGCGAACGAGCCCGCAACCTTTAGAGTTACTCTTCAGAACCCATATGACATCGAGGTGGATGTCGAAAGCCTTCGCCTGGACACCAGCGGCGCAGAATTCGAATCAAGCTTTGAGAGCACCATTATTGGCCCGTACCGAACACAGATTCTCAAAGTCTCGGGAACACCAAAAGGACCGGGTGCCTTGAAGGTAACAGGCGCAATCATCCGTGTCCGCGGCTGTCGCGAGAGACGATTCCCCATATTCAAACAGCCATGGACGCCGCAAGCAGATGTCAAGGTAAAGGCTACCGGACTTCAAGCCTTGGAAACCACCCTTGCCTCAGGAGCCCTTGTTGGCCAACCGCTGAAGGTAGAGAGTGTCGCATTGAATGTCATCCCTAAACAGCCCATTGTTATTGTCAAGTCGACAACGTTACCCCAGGCTTCCGTCATGGTGCTCGAGGGAGAGAGACAGGTGTTCTCTGTCACGTTGCAGAATCTCTCCCAAACAACTCCAGTGGACTTTATGCTTTTCTCTTTCCAGGACTCCACGCAGGGACCGCTGCAGGCAGGCATCAACAACAGAGATGCTACGCCAGCCGAATTGTACGAATACGAATACATTCTGATGAGGCGCCAAGGTCTTCGAAGGTTGAACAAGAAGGAACCGGAGAAGCGATACATTGCTCCAGGAGGCACTGCCACATTTGATTTCGAAATCCTAGGCAAGCCTGGGTTGACGAACGCTGCCATTCAGATCGACTATGCCCATCTCGGAGTGCCTCCCGAGGAAGTGACGGACAAATTCCATACCCGACAGGTCTCGCTGCAGTTGACGGTCACTGTAAATGCTAGCGTCGAGCTCACGCGACTCGATATCCTGCCTCTCAGCGGACCCGTACCCAAGCCGCTTCTCAGTCTTACAAACCTGGAGTCCAAGGTTGATCCTTCGACATTGGCAGATGAATATTGTCTTTTGTCTATGGATCTGCGCAATGCTTGGCCGAACAATATGGAGGTCGAAATGGATGGTGAGGACGGTATTGTGATTGAGGAACACGTTCTCCCGGGGAACACCAGTCGCGTTATCGTTCCCCTACGGCGCATTTACCTCGAGGACCCTCACGCATCGATCCCGGCACTCAACCCATCAAGACAGCGGCAATTTGTTGTGAGCACAAGCAAGATTACGCCCGACATGGAACGCTCGAATCGCGAAGCATTCTGGATGAGGGAAAAAATACTGGAAACGCTCACAGCCAGGTGGAAAACAGTATCTGGCCCAAAGCGAAGCGGTTACATAGACCTGAGAACCATTAGGCTTTCACCCAGGATGATGGACGCTCTCAGGATTGATGATGTCGGCATCGAAATATCGGTACAGGACCCGGGCCAAACTGTAGGCGAAATGGTCAAAGAGACGATACTCGTCGACAACTTTGTCCAGGTCAAGATTGGTATCACCAATCGGTCAGCCAAGCCAGTCTATCCGATGTTGAGACTGATGCCGGCCTTATGCCACCGTCCGTTGAACGTGGCGTTGGACTTTACGCGAAAATTTGCCTGGAACGGTACCTTACAGCAGGCACTTCCGCTGTTGGCGGCCAAGGCGACTACAGAAGTGGAGATTCAGGCCATGGCACTCTGTCGAGGAGAGTTCGAAATAGGGGCATCCGTTGAGGAGTACCAGATTTGGGAAGAGCCTAAGGGAAAGAAGGAGCAGGAAGAGACACAAGAGAGCCGACAGCGATCGGACACTCAGACGATGCTCAACGCGATCATTGGTGCGAAGGAAAGGCGCATATGGCACTCAAGGCAACCCTGTATCATCAAGGTGGTGGATCAGGACTAGCGACTCGAGCCATTCACATGACGAACTGTATGATGGTGGACATGTAGAAGAAGTGATTCACACCATGGTGGAGTTGGCGATCGCAGCGGCCTCCAATAAGTAGATAATTGACTTCTTGATAGACGACTCAAGCCGCTACCAATTCTTGACTAGCTGCGACGGGTTCAAGCAAGGCCCAATCCAGGGATAACTCGATCAGCCCGGCGATCGAATTAAGCTCATCCCTGCGTCCCGAACAAAGGGCTCACGGGCGATTCATGCGTGGGTCTGACCGCCTTCTCGTTTCTGCTGTTGCCACCAAATTTTCCTCAGGGAGTCGCTTTCCGGTGCTAGCCGACAGCGGGCCTTTTTACCAACCCAAAGAGATCCGTTTCCGCCGTACAAGCTTTGGTCAAGCCATTCCCGTTTTGCGAGCGTTGCATTCGAGGTTGTCGCTGTCGTCGTCTTAAAAGGAAAATCCGGGATCTCACTAATAACCAAGGATGACGCGACCTCAGATTCTGTTTTTTGATGCGTACGACTCCTTTACGAACAATATCGTATCCCTTCTCACAACGCTGCTTGACGCCGATGTACACGTTTTGCCGATTGATACGCCCTTGCTAGACCAAAAGTCGCCGACTTTCTCGGTCGATTTTCATCGGGAATTATCACGGTATCATGCAGTAGTCTGCGGACCTGGGCCTGGCTCCCCCGAGAATGAAACGGATGTTGGGCTCATGAGATGTATTTGGAGATTGCAAGATGAGCATATGCTGCCGGTTCTTGGTATTTGCCTTGGGTTTCAGAGCCTCGTCCTCAGCTCGGGTGGTAAAGTAAGGAGGCTTCAACGCGGGTTGCACGGGATGGTTCGCACTATTCAGCATGAGAAACCTGAAGCGACGTGCGCCGAGGACATCTTTGATGGCGTCTCCGAGTTCAAGGCAACCCTCTATCACAGCCTCTGTGCCGACATCGGACAAGATTCCATCTCAGATTCCACTTGGGCAGAGTGCCGTTGGCGTACCCAGAAGACAGCTCTTGAGCTGTTGCCTCTGGCGTGGGTGGATGAAGAAAGGGATAGCGGCCGCGAGAGAATCCTCATGGCGGTCAAGCACCAGAGCAAACCCTTCTGGGGCCTTCAGTACCACCCAGAGTCTGTATGTACCCAGCCGGCAGGTCATGCGGTCATCAGCAACTGGCTTCGCGAAGCCATGACGTGGAATTTGAAGGCGAACAGGACTGTCTTGACCGGAGAGCGATTCCTGGCAAGGAACGCAGTGAAGCCGAGTCTCCTCTGTGAGAACCGTGCCGCGGCTCAGCGAGGGAACGCCCCGATCCTCGAGTGGACGGAGATGCCCACGCCCCTGGCGACCGCCGGACTCGACTGCGAGTACCGATACAAAACCATCAGTCTTCCGGCGAACATCAAGGTGCCGGATATCGTGGAGATACTAAAGAGTGGCAGGACGGAGCACATCATTTTGGATTCGTCCAACTCGAGCAACATGGCGACGGGAGCTGCCGACGTTCGGGGCCGATTTAGCGTCATTGCTCTGGATGTGGAGGAGTCACTGCGAATCGAGCATCATGTGGGAGACGATTTCGCCACGGCCCGGATCCCATCGATTCAGGGGCTGCCCGTCGACCTGGTGGAGACCGTCCCCTTCGGGTCGCAAAGGAACATTTGGCATCTCCTCTCCGGTTTCCTTGAGAAGCGACGCATCCCGGCCTCGGGGGAGCTCCAGACACCGTTCCGAGGAGGCTTCATGGGCTACCTTACGTACGAGATGGGACTAAAGGGGATCGACGTGGAGGTGGCTGCTGAAAGAGGGCATCAGAGGCCTGACCTGTGCTTCGCTTGGGTCACTAAGAGTATTGTGGTCGATCACGTCAAGGGCTTGTTGCATGTCCAGCACCTTCAGAAGCGCAAACTCAATGCCGACTTTTGGATCGACTCCGTGGTGGCATCGTTGCAGACGTCCCACTTTTGGCAGTCACCGGGCAAGACCACCGTCAACGGTTCGGATGCTTCGACGGTAGCTACGAGGCCCGTTATTCGGGTCCCCGCCGCCGACGAGTACGAAGGCAAGGTCTCGCGCTGTCAAGACTTCATCGCCGCCGGCGAGTCCTACGAGCTGTGCCTGACGGACCAGACGACAATCACATTACCCGGACGCTCAACAAAGGAACACCAAAACGGCCTCGCCAACGGACACCTGTCTTCAGAACAGGTGCAAAACAAATCCGCACACGTTGCGCCCTGGAGGCTCTACAAGACGCTCAGAGCCCGCCAGCCCGCGCCCTTTGGCTCCTACATCCGCCTCGGCGGCGCGACCCTGATCAGCAGCTCCCCAGAGCGCTTCCTCGAGTACGACGCCGACGGCTTCTGCTCCATGCGGCCGATGAAGGGCACCGTCCGCAAGTCGAATCAGGTCGCCACGCTCGCGCAGGCCGAGGCGATCCTGCACGTGCCCAAAGAGGAGGCGGAGAACCTCATGATTGTGGACCTCGTCCGCCACGACCTGCACGGCGTCTGCGGCTCTGGCAACGTCACGGTGCCGCACCTGATGAAGGTGGAGGAGTACGCGACCGTGTTCCAGATGATTACGATTGTCAACGGACAGCTACCGAAGCCCAAGACGACGACGACGACGGGTGCCGATCGTCAGCACACGGGGCTCGATGTCCTCGCTGCTAGTCTCCCGCCGGGCAGCATGACGGGAGCCCCGAAGAAGCGGAGCTGCGAGCTGCTGCAGGAGATCGAGGAGCACAGGGAGAGGAGTCTGTATTCTGGCGTGGTGGGGTACATGGACGCCACTGGAAAGGGGGATTGGAGCGTCACGATCCGAACTATGTTCAAGTGGGATGATGAAGCTGCGCCGCCGGAGGAAGGCGAGACGGAGCCGAGAGAGGTCTGGCATATCGGAGCCGGCGGTGCCGTGACTATCCTGAGCACTGCCGAGGGTGAGAGGGAGGAGATGTTTACCAAGTTGGCGGGGCCTTTGGGCGTCTTTGCGGAAGCATGAGCGGGTTCGGGATTTGGGGATAGATTGGGAGGAGGGGGCCTCGCAATTTTTGGAATCGGCTTACTGGCGTTTACTATGTCATGAAGGGGGATATTCATGGTAAGGGGGATTTTTGGTTGATACCTCAACGTATCTGGGATATTAGACTCTGGACCTTCACGGGTATTAGACTCAACTTTTAGACGACCCGGATCATCCACACGAAACTAGTAGAAAAAACAAGATCATTATTAAATAATCCATGTTTACGCTATCAGTTTTCCGCAGTCGGTCATTGGGAATTAGATGGTTTTGTCGTTGCATAACAAAAGCGAGAAAAAAGAGGAAACGCCCGCCTGACGGAATGATGCTGGATATACATGTGAAGCCTCCAAGTAAAGCGCACCCCGTTCCAAATCCCACTTTGCCGGATTCCCGAACCCGAGCGCCACAATGGTTTCCGACCTCGTCTCGTCGTACTGTACACGTCTGCCGCCAATTTGGTTGAAATGCGTATGCCCTCCATCACTGCTTCTGCTGCTGCTTCTGCTGCTTCTGCTGACACTACTTCCCCATCGCCTGCTCATAGCCGTATCAATTGTCCCCGGTCGTTGCTCCCGACGCTAGTCAGAAGTCCTGCTCCTCCTGAAAGAACATGCTAAAGCTGATGATGGTTCCGTAAATGAGGAGACCGCCGATTATCGACATAACCATGGCCTCAACCTGGATGAGATCGGAGTGGGCGAGAACGATGGGCAGGGCTGCGATAGAAGAGCATGGTCAGCAACACGATCCTCGCAATGATCAAAGACAAAAGAGCCATAGGGATTGGGATTGGGAAGGGGGGGGGGGGGGGGAAGAAGCTCACCAATTCCCATAACCACCATGAACCCAGTGCAGAAGCGGCCGAGGTCCAGCACGGCGGAGCCGGAACCCTCGCCAAAGTCATCAGGGTTGGTGCATCGCGAGCAGACCCAGTTGGGGATCGGGGCCAGCACGTAGGTAGCGACAACGAGAAGCGGGTAGTAGACCTTCCAGAGGGCGCAGGAGAGGATGACGAGGAGAAATCCGACGGCGAGGACGAAGGAAAGGGCGATGATGGTCTTGAGCCCGGCGGTCGGCATCTTGAATATCGTTGGAAGGTGGGCTGTGGTATACTTGTTTCGGACGGGTATCGAAGTCGGAGCTGGGTATAGACGGCCCCGCCGGGGGTGCAAATGTGTTCCTTCGAAATTTCCTTGGGAGTTCCGTTGAGAGCTTCGAGCGACGATCGTTTCTTGCGATTAGGCTGTCTTTTGATTAGTCGTGGGGAAGCTTCGTGGTGGTGGAGGATCAATCGGTCGTGTCGGTTGAGTAGTAGTTCGCGGCTAGGCTGGCAGGCTGAGCTGCGATGCGATGGCGGGTCCCAGGCCTGACGCACGAAGACCGTCGTCAGCGCACGGCGCAACCTTGTTCCAGCGGCCGGACAGCCTCCAATGACAAACCGCAAATAGTGGAAGGTCTCCACTCGGAAAGACCCCGGCTGTAAGTGAGGTCAGGTACGGGGGCAGGAAAGTGTACGTACCTCAACGAGGGATGCACGGAGCACCTGGCACCCTGGCACCTGGCTCCAGGCTGAGAGAGTGCTACGAAAGCTCGACCTGCCTTGAGCTGGGCCTGGCGTGCGGGAGGGACGCTTTATTATCCACCAAGCTGTCTCTCGCTCTCCCATCACCGACCTGCTCGCCCAACAACCACCCCGCGATCGAATCTCTCCCTCCCGTCTCCCTCAACCATCCACGATTCGCTACACGAAGACTCCAAGTTCCTTCCGTTTCCAGAAACCGCCGAACCGCCTGACGAAGCTACGAATCACCCCTCACGCCCGCCATGTTCAGAAACAATTACGACAACGACTCGGTGACATTGTAAGCTGTTTGGCCCGCTTCCTCGGCCTTCCCTTCCAGTCTCCCCGACTCCGCCGTGAAGAAGGCCAGCATAAAGATGGAGTGCTAACCTTCAACGTCTCATAGCTCGCCGCAAGGCCGGATATTCCAGATCGAGTATGCAGCCGAAGCAGTGAAGCAGGGTTCCGTGGTAGTGGGCATTGCCAGCAAAACACACGCCGTTCTAGTAGCAATCAAGGTACGACGTTTGCCGATACCTGGGACCTTTTTCTCTTGCTTCTCCCTACATCATCCGTTTTCAATTGATATTTGTGGACTTTTATTATAGAGCGCATGAAGCTAACATGCCATTCTTTCCCCAATAGCGCAACGCCGAAGAGCTGTCCTCGTACCAAAAGAAGATCTTCACCGTCGATGAGCACTCCGGTATCGCCATCGCAGGCCTCACCTCGGACGCCCGCGTCCTCTCCAACTTCATGAAGCAGCAGTGCCTCGGCCACCGCATGACGTACGGTCGCTCAATGCCCCTCCGCACCCTCGTCGACATGATTGGCGAGAAGGCCCAGATCAACACCCAGGTCTACGGCAAGCGGCCCTACGGTGTCGGTCTCCTCGTTGCCGGCGTCGACGAGCGCGGCCCCCATCTCTTCGAATTCCAGCCCAGTGGTATGACGGAGGAGATGGTCGCCTTCGCCATCGGCGCACGCAGCCAGATGGCCCGCACCTACCTCGAGCGCAATATCGACGCCTTTGAGACGTGCTCCCGCGAGGAGCTCGTGCAACACGGTCTCAAGGCCCTCAAGGAGAGTTTGGTCCAGGACCGCGAGTTGACGGTCGAGAACACCAGTGTCGGTGTCGTCGGCTACACCGAGAAGGATGGTGTCAAGACGGTCCAGCCATTCAAGCTGTACGACGGCCAAGACGTCAAGGAGTGGCTCGACAGTGTCGCCGCTAGCGAGAGCCAGGGCGGCGGCGAAGAGGGCGGTGAGGGTATGGAGGTTGACGGCTAAGCGCTGCGGAAATCATGAATTCAGGAAAGATGCGCGGATGGGCTTCTACGCTGCGTTGCGTTGGGCTAGGCCGGATCGTCGCCAAACAACCTCCTATCCGGGGGTTTGGCTGACTGGACACGGCTATGGGAAGGAGACTCACCGTCCTCAAACGCACAGAGCCGGTCCGTTTAGACTTGTACCAATACACTGCAAAAAGGAGATTCAATGGCCCAAAAATGAGCTGCATCCGATGACTCAAGAGACAGGAAGACACGCAATCTATGTGCTCACTGATGATCCGGAGCCTGAGACAGGTACCTGAAGATGCAGGTTTGCTTTATTGGGTTGTGTAACTCATGAAGGTCTATCAAACTACAATACGTGCAACCAACACCGATGTGACATGATAGATAGCCGAGCGATCCCCCGTTCATGCCCCTTTCTTTGAATGTCTTATCCCGCGTGTCACCAACGATCGGAATGGAGGAAACAAGACTCACTTTCCTCGCTTCGCTTCATTTTATCCAACCCGACCACCTACCGAGCCTGAACGTATAGGAGTTGGGAAACACGAAAGGGCGCCAAGACTCCGATACGCATCCGCTTTTACATTGCACACGCCATCTGTCTTTCTCCGTCTCTAGTTCCTGCACATGAAGTTCCGTTTTCTGGAAAGCATTGCCGACGGACTACCAATGTGACCTAAGAGTTGGTCCAGTCGAGCTTGAAGGTGGCCGCAGAGACCTGGTAATCCCTGAGCGCCGTGATGGCACCCTCGGGGGTAGTAGCGGTGACGAGGATGTCGGCGTTGGCGGCCTTGATGAAGCCCTCCTCGACGCTCTTGTTCACCCACTCGAGGATGCCGTCGTAGAAGCCGTTGATGTTGAGGAGGCAGATGCCCTTGTCGTGAATGCCCAGCTGGTTCCAGGTGGCCGTCTCGAGAACCTCCTCGATGGTGCCGTACCCGCCGGGCAGGGCGACGAAGCCGCTGCCGGGGCCGCCGGCGAAGACCTCCTTGGCCATCATCTGCTTGCGGGTGTGCATGTCTTTGACGACGGTGGTGCGTCCGTAGACGGTCTCGTCCGGGACGTACATGTTGTCCTTGTTGACGGTACCGTAGGTGCCGTCACGCTCATACTTGACGAGGGCCTCGGGGATGATGCCGTGGACCGAGTCCGGGCCGGCAAGGGAAACGAGTGTCTTTGCCACCTCTCCCATCAGGCCGACGGTTCCACCACCGTAGACTGAGATGTTTGTTAGTACATCATGAACTAGAAACACATTGGTAGAGGTTTTGCCTCCTATGTTTCATCTTGTCTGAAAAGGGTTGCGCCACATGTTGTCATTGATACAGTGACTCGGACTTTATCGCTGCCCAAATCGTGGATGGAGATGGGGAGTCGACAGGTTTGAGTGAGATAAGGAGCGTGAGGACAGTGACTCACCAAGATCAATGTTGTTCTCGGCCATGATTCTTGCTAACTCACGAGCGGCTTCCATGTGCTGAGGCTTGAAACCGGGAGAGGCGCCGCAGTAGACACAAATCTTGGTCCTCTTCTGCACGCCATTCGTGGTACCGTTGGTGCCGTTGGTGTTACCATTCGTGGTTCCGTTGGTGTTGGTGCCGTTGCCACTGGGTGTGCCATCCCGGGATGCCGGGAATGATGGCAGGGGGGAAGGGCCGCCGGACTGCATGATGTTCGTTGCTTGCTTGATTTGTGATGAAAAAGGGTTTTACTATAGGATGAACTCCCAAATAAAGTGACTCTTGGGCTTCGAGGTAGAAATTTTTGTTGAAGAAGGGAGAAAATGCTAGAGTAAGTAGTTTGCGAGTGAGATGGTACTCAGTCTTTACACTAAGAGGTGCAGTTATTGGAGGTGAAGATGACGGAGGATTTGTGGAGAAAGATAGTATGAGGTTCCGTTCCTGCCAAGAGACAAGAGTCACAACGGAAAGAAAGTACCCGGAAGACGCCGCCTTTTTCTGCGGTATTTCCTCAAGGTTCCGACTTTGGGCAACGAATCCAAGTCCACAAAAAGATCAGAGAAGCAGAGCCCAAGAGAGAAACTGAAAGTTAGGGGAATAGGCAGATGGCGGTGAAAAAGAGCGCTGTTATATACGTTCCTCTCGAGACCCAGAAAGGGATGCTAGTTTGTCTTGTTGGTTGGTATGGGCTCAGGGCAAGTGGACAAGTGTGTTGTTGGCGAGTTGGTGTATCAATTATCCTAGCAACCACCTGAAGGGCAATAAGAAACAAAAAGAAAAGAAAGATTGGACGAGGCGAGAGGAAGCACAGATGGCAATGAGACAACGAGATGTCAGTTACCGCCACGGCGCATGGCGACGGGCCGAAGTTCTGGGTTTAGCGTACTAGCTGGGACAATCAATGGCTTCGAAGGGTTCGCTCGGGGATCCGTGGCTCCAGTGCCGGTACAGTAGTGTAGGCTTTAGTCGATGCGTGGTATTCCAGCTGGGGAGGAAAAGCAAAGCAGACTCCAGACCCAGAGAGCCCCCTTCCCCCTCGCTGGTTGCTAAACCAGAGACAAGGAACGGGGTCGGGTGACGGTGGTTGACATGGACGTGGACTTGGGACGGTGACGGGGGAACCAGAAGACGGATCCGGGACCTGGGTCTAGTACCTAGTAGCACATTGTACCCTAAGATGGAGAGGTACCTTTGTAGAAAGTCTGATACACTTTTCATCGACTCTGTTGAATTCGACTGGTTCAGCCGTTTCCGAGACCTGATGGGTTCGGGGGCACCCTAGTTTGCCTGCGTGTTTGGTTTGTCAACTTGTTACGCTGCGACTGGCCCGCACCAGTGAAGTGTCCAGGTGACATGTCGGAGGCGAGGTCCGAGTCCAATGTAGTGCGTAATTCAACCTCGACGACTCTAAAGCTGGGTTTGGCTAGGTCCGTCCCGCGGGGATGTCCATCCGGAGCTGGAGAAAGGGAACCAGGAAGACTCCAGTCATCGATCGAAACTCAAGAGCCTCAATGATCAAGCGTTCCAGGCACCATTCTCCGTGAACTATCGACTTTCAACTATCCGAGTAGATGATCTGGGAAGGTAGTTGCAGTAGTGTCAAAGGTGACGAAGAACGGAAACTGGGAGAGACAAGAGAAAGTACCTAGGGTAGAGACGAATGTCTCTCGATTCGAGGGCGGTCGCGTATGCTCGGTATGACAACGACAGACACCCGCGTGTGCAACGTGCCGCTGACGAATGGACGGAATGGACCACGGGAGGCCGTGTTCGATGTCGATTGGACTGGTGTTTGATTGTACGTGTACGTGGGTTGTCAAGATGATGGAGAACACGATGTGCAAGAGATCTTTCTCGGTGTCAATGGAACCCAATCAATCGTTCACTACTTCCCAATCAAGCAAGGATGGAACACCAAAGGTACAGAGGTTCAATGCCTCTTTGGCAGGTGCATCTAGCATCGACATTGCACTTCCAGCAGCCATTTGTTTTCCCTTCAGCGTCTTGGCCCCCTGTTTCCCCCCCAAGCCTACCGCGCCATTCTGCTGGGATCGTGGCGGCGCCTCGGCCGTTGATTCGCCCGCACAGCACGCAATTTGTCCCGCCCGCCACCCAGCCTCCAGGGTCCAGTTTGCGATCCAGTGCTTTCCAAATTCCGGGGCCATGTCAATCCAATCTCCGTGAAGACTTTCCGACTTCACTCCTCCAGCACCCGATATCGCTGGCATACTCGGTATCTGCGCCGGAGAAAGACACGGTTTCACTTGCCATTCTACTTGACGAGTTGCTATCATTGCAACTATCAGTAGCCGAGCTGCCATACGCCATCGGTAGCCGAGTCCGCCGTGCGACGTCCCCGCATCGCTTCTCACGAGCACACGATCTGTCCTCCGCAGCTTCGCGATTTTCAACATCCTCTCTCTAAAGACATTGTAGCGCATTGTGCAAGATGTCTCAACCCGCAGCAGCAGCCGGCGCTCGCCCTGCTGGCCAGCAGCAGGAGCAAGGCGTGAGTATCTTACCCACGCCCACCGCGAATCGCGCCAAGAGGCCTTGAACTAATGTACCGTGATCGCAGGGCATAAGCTTGACGCAAAAGCTGCTACTTGGAGCTTCTATGTATTTCGGCATGAACTTGCTCATGAACAACATGTTCTCCAAGACGCAATCCGGTACCCAGGTCAAAGATGCCGACGGCAATGTTGTCAACGTACCCGCGAATACCGAAGACATTCCGCCCTACCTGCTCCGCCCCAAGGAATTGGACGAGGGTGCGACCTGGAGCCAGATCCCGCGCAAGTTGGCACCTATATGGCCAATGGATAGCTACATCGACGTGACCGTCACTATATCCGACACCTTTGTTCCGATTCCTCTGGCCCAAACGCCCTCGGAAAAGGTTGTTCTTAAGGAGGAGAAATTCAAGATTGGCAACTACAGCGAAAAACGCTCCATTGATACCACTATCGAGGTGCCGCCCTCCGTGCAGAACAATGGTACTCTTTGGGGCCACTTTTACGTTTCACTGCCCGGTAGCCAGCCCGATCCTCACGTTGAGACCTACGACCCAGCCTCTGCCTACTACTTTGCGTTCCCTCTCACTCAGTACATCCCCAAGAAGAAGGAGTTCAAGACCAGATCCCTTCTCGAGGGCAAGGCCGAGGAGGAGGTGGAAGAGGTGGCCGAGGAACAGGAGACTGGGCCCGTCATTGCCAGTTACTACCACCCGAATGCCAGCTTCTCCATCATCCCCAACACTGGAGTGCTCGATTATCGCCAAACCCATCCCGCGATTCGCCAGTTCCTCCATGTCGAGCCGACTGGTGCCAGAGATGGCTCCGGCCAGCATTCTTGGTATTGTAAGTTGCCCTTTGCGCTATTCTTGGCGAACAGAACTAACTGCCATAGACCCTATCCTGTTTGTCAATACCTTTTGGCAACTCAAGAGTCAGATGATCCTGCTCAATGACACCGTCACGTCTGTTCCTCTGCACATTGATTTGAACAACATGCGTTCATGGCAATTCAACACTCTGGCCGCGATTGAGGCTAGCGCGAAGGAGTCGGCACGCCAGGCTGCTTACGGTGGATCGCTGCCCGGTGGCGGCGACGGCTCTGAGATTGAGATGGTCAAGGAAATCTTTGGCGACACGAACCCGATTCTCCTCGGCATTACCATTATTGTCAGTATTGCACACATGATCCTGGAGACGCTTGCTTTCGGTTCCGACATTGCGCATTACCGCAAGAAGAAGGATAACGTCGGTATCTCGGTCCGTTCCATCCTGGCGAACGTTTTCATGCAGTCCGTGATCCTGCTTTACCTCATCGACAACTCGCAAAATACCAGCTGGATGATTCTGGGTGGCCAGGGTATCGGCATCGTTATTGAGCTGTGGAAGATCACCACCATTGTCAACGTTGCCGTCAAGGCTGCGCCAGCAGGCTCATTGCTGCCGTTTAAGATCGTTGTCGAGGACAAGCACAAGCTCAGCGAGACGGAGGAAAAGACCAAAGAGTACGACGAGATTGCCTTCAAGTATATGTACATGGCTGGTGTGCCTCTGCTCATCGGTTACGCCATCTACTCGCTGGTCTACGAGACGCACAAGTCTTGGTACTCGTACATCATCGCCACGCTCGTCGGATCGGTGTATGCTTACGGCTTCCTCATGATGGTTCCTTCGCTTTACATCAACTACCGACTCAAGAGTGTTGCACATATGCCTGGCAAGGCCATGATCTACAAGTTCCTCAACACCTTTATCGACGACCTTTTTGCATTCACCATCAAGATGCCGTTCCTCCACCGTCTGTCCACTTTCCGCGACGATATCATCTTCTTCATCTACCTCTACCAGCGCTGGGCTTACAGAATCGACTACTCTCGCGTCAACGAGTTCGGCCAGGGTGGTGAGGATGAAGAGGACGATGCGGCTAAGGCCAAGGCCAAGGAGCTGCTTGAGACCGACCCCACTCTCGAGAAGGTAAAGCAAGCGGCGGGTAAGGCCACGGGTGCCGAGACCGGCAAGGCCAAGAAGAGAAAGTAAATAGATGATGTTATACGGCTGAGGAAGAGAGTGCAGCCAATATCGTGTACATCATGGAGTCGGGCACAAGTAATACACATGAGCCTTGGCAGCTACGTGTCCAGGGTACTGCCTAATGACTAGCATGGATGGGACATAGCTAGTCGAGACATGAGGCTACAAATGTGATCAAGTCCAGTCTTCATCGCAATTCACATCTCTCGCGCATGGTGCATCTCATCTGCAAAAGCACATCAAACTACCGCATGCACGCTTGGACAGAGGACGAGACGACTAAGAAAGTGTTGAGGAAAAGCAACAAGCAACTGTTCAGCTGAAAAGGGGGCTCCGCATGTCTGTGTACAAGGGAGACCGGACAAGCCAAGTCAAGTGAAAATCTGGGCAGAAGATCCAACAGACATCCGTATTCTATACGTATAATTACTACCTCAACACGCTTGCAATATCCCACCGGAGAGATCGTTGATTTGCCTTTGTAAGGTTCACGGCCCACGGGTAGAAGAATGGCCCCCCCCCTTTGCGGCACGGAAACTCTTCTGAGGGTCGCTTCGCGGCTAAAGATGCCGCTGAGAGACGTGACAGACTACTTGGTAAGGTAAGAGTGCCCCCCGAACCGAACAGGGGCCCCGGCAGAAGAGTCGCTTGGCGGGGGGTTCGCAGCTGTCGGAGCCCCGTGCCTGGTAGGGCAGAGACAAGCTCGTATGTCACCGCGCCTATCAGAGAGTTCCATTGGGGAACCTGGAAGGGCCCGAAGAGGGATGACGCCAGGTCCCCTTCCAACGGTTGTGTTTTGGGGCTAGGACGGTGCCAGCTCCACGTTCTGCTTTGCTCCTGTTCTTCGATTGAGGTGCCTCACCTTACCTTATACACTAGGCTATTCATACCTCAAGGTAAGATGCTGGTATTCGTAGACGGTAATTAAGCACGTTACCTTAAGGTAAGGTCAGCACGTAATAAGGTAGGGTACGGAGCACCTAGGCATCCATTGCTCATCCCCTACCACCTAGTACCCGAGTTATGGACCATGTGGCATGGAGACCTTTTAGTGTCGGTCTTTCGTCAAAAGGTGGAGAATTGCGGGATCTGTATACCGAAAATAGTTCAGAATGATTGCCGTCGTTCCTGAGCTGCATAGCAAATAGCTCTTGGCCTCTCCTGAACTCGGTTGATCGGATCGTGTCCACGCAATGCAGTGTTTGAATGGAATGGATTCGAGGTGAAGGCAGAATGTGTATTTCGTAAGATGAACGTGAGGTGGTTCTGCAGGTTTCATGGAAGGCGACGGGATTTGGGAAGCAAACAAGAAGGGCACTCCCCGTCTCCCCTTGGACCCTCTCCGGTTGGGGCCTTGCAAATGTCATCGACAATACGAAGAGTTAAAAGTTGCCCAAAGCAGTCATGGCTGACCAGGTCATCCACTCTCAGAGGCACCCTCAAAACCTAAAGTTCCCTCGACCTTCCTCCGTCTTTGACAGCCGCATAATACTTGTCTTTTAGAAGTTAGGAAGATTGGATCCAGTCCGTTCCTTCCTTCGCCCAGCCAGCGCAGTCAACTAAACACACACACCGGGACCAACCAACCAAGGGAAAATAAACGACCGAACGCAATCTTTCTCAAACTCTCCAGTCTCTTTTCTTTCGCTCTGATTTCCGTGTCCTTTTGTCTCGTATCTTTTCTTTTCCCTAAACTTTCTTTCCACATTCCTGCCTGCACTACACTTTCCATCCTTTCACCACGTTGTCCCTCGACGTTTTCCTCGTTGCCGTCTCGTGGGTCCTCCTCTACCTATTCAACCTCCATCTGAGCCTCTCGGTCCCTCCGTTTGTCACATGCCCGGGTTCCCCCGTCCATCACTCCAAGTTCGTCCCATGCGTCCGCTCCGGTCATGACATACGGACGGCCGCATAGGGTCCCCCAGCAACAACCACTTCGAGAAATTTACTTTGAGGCCCGCCTAGCACGCTTCGAAGAGCACAAGCACAGGCACACAGGCACACAAGCCACACCCAAAAGTTCGCCGGACTACAGCGAACGCACCCGCCAAGCAGAGCTCCGGACCTTCGGTTCGATCGACGGGGATTCGAGGTCCACGCTGCCTCGTACGCAGTGGACAGTGGAGTTCCACAACGCGTACCTGACGTCTCTCATCATCCCAAATAGGGTCGTCCCCGGCACCCCGTTCGCTCCAAGGGGAGGGAGCCAAGGCCTACTCTACGGGAAACGTAAGCTACAAAACCTGTTCGGACGGTGTGGCCGTGCCGCCCGCGTGCCCGCGCCCGCCGTCCGCCATTCACTTCGCTCCAGCTCCAGCTCCAGCTCCAGTCCCCTGATCCCCCAGTCGGGATATTTTACCCCCCAAAGGGCCCAAAGGGGGCGCTCCTACGCCCATTTATCATTGGGGCGCGCGCCGCACCGCACCGCCAAAATCCGACTACCCCTCGATCCCATTGTTTGTGTCGCCGCCGCCAAGCAACACTCTCCTGATCCCCCCAACGATTCCCTCGAAAAGAACACTTTCGAGGGAACCGGAGGGCTCGCCGAATCATGAGCAGCCCTACCGTCGGGTCCCTTCTGGCTGCCATTGCGACACTCGTCAGCGATGGCCTGCGTATCTTGAAGTTCGCCGATAAGCGCCAATGGGGACCTGACGAGCACGAGCAATTGCGCCTGCTGGAGGATACTCTCGACGACGCCAAGAAGGACTTTCAGGAGCTATCCGTCCTTGTCAACGGACAGCGCTATTATATGAACGACCGCAAAGGTGAGTTCACGAGCACACTTACACCGTTCTTGATTACTTTGCGCTGCCTTGGGAGATTGGTCGAGACTTTCCAGAGCCCTGCCGTACAGCGGAGGGAGGGAGGCCTCTGCGATTACCAGCCAGCTCCCCATCAAATCTCGCTTCGTGCTAGCTCACGTCACGCACAGCTGGTTATATATGAACCCTCGCTAACTATTTCGCCTTCAAGCTCCGTCAATAGCCGAGTTGCGAGCTTTACAGTCCAAGGTTGAGCATCATATCGACAACTTTAAAGATTGGGCGAGAACAGGCGGACCGATCAATCCGGTTTGGGCACGAGAAACGACGCAATTGCGCCGCGAACTGCATCGCGCACAATGCCGAGCGGCTAGGAGGATATTCGGGGCAGAGCAAGAGGCTTCGGCAAGATGCCTGGGCGCCTTTCTCGTCTACAGAAAACAGCGGGAATGGCAGAGTCGGCCAGCTACTTCGGAGGAGGAGCACCACCGACGACACGTGGAAGAGGTAGTAGCATGCAACACGAGTGGCAAGTTCGAGCGGTTTGGCGACGGAGGCATCGCATTCGTTTGCGACTTTTGCGACGGCCATCTTGTATGGGAGGACTTGGAGAGCATGCCATCATTACGGACAGCCGAAGAATCCAGCACGCGCCCAGTACCGCCTGTTTCGCCTACGACCGGGATGCCAAATTGGCAGGCGACCGGGTTCACCGCCGATAAACGAAGAGAGGAGAAGACGGTCATATTTGCGCCTCTAGCAATAGCGAATCATATGGCGCCGTATCAGGGAGACTGGGTAGCTCGACTCCTATGTCCTTTCTGCGATGAGGCGCCATATACCGAGGCAGGCGGTGATAGCGACGATGAAATGCGGAATGCCCAGGACGAATCCGGTTTCGAAGATCTCCAGGCCTTCCAGGAGCACCTGGAGTGGCAACACACAGCTGCATCGATACCCGCCGTCCCCTTGCCCAAGGCAGCCAAGGACTGCGTGGTGATGTGACATCATTAATTCGACAACGATGTCTATTGGTGGCGTAAAAACGGCGGTTCGTTCGTTCGTGTACATATATTCACATTGTGTGGTCTTGACAATGGCGAGGCGTTGGGGGCTTCCAAAGAGGGCGGACGATGTCTCATCCGCACCTACGACTTATGGAATTATTATTTACTTTACTCGATGTCAGAAGGCTTTCCACCTCCTCAAGTGTTGGGGATGGTCCTCACCACCGGTCTGGACAGACCGATGCAGCAACAGAGATACCACAGTCAGGTAGTGCTGGATCACAATCCACATTCAAAGCGCAAAAACCAATTCTTGTTTCGTTGCCCCTCTCCGTCTTCCCCTGCATCCGCCTGAGAAGTCCGTGCCGTAGTTTGATTGATGTACATGAATCAAGAAAGATATACACAGTCGCCAACATAACGCCCAACATCGTCAAAGAACCTTTGCCATTCTCAGGCCAAAGGATCCAATACCCCCAAAGGAAGGGAAGCAAACCGTTCCTTGTCCTCATTTGCACCGCCAAAAGAGGCAAACCAAACCCCGTCCCTCACTTTAGAAGAACCGCCACCAAAAGAAGACGATAACAATGAACCCCAGCGCTCCGAGGGGGCCGTACTGCTTGAGCAGCAGCTCCCAGTTGATCCTCACAGCCGCGCGCCTGTACTTTTTGCTGTCGTCGCGCAGGCGGGAGCTGAGCTCGCCCATGCGCTCGAGGGAGTCGCCGCGGTACAAGAGGTCCTCGATGTTCTTGGTCATGACTTTGGTCACGTCGCGCAGCTCGTCGTTGAGCTTGTCGAGGTTCTGGGAGGCGCGGGCGTCCGAGTAGGTTGATTTTGTGCGGGAGATGAAGGTGTCGAACTCCATAAAGGCGTAGGGGCGGAGGGAGGGGGAGTGGAGCTGGGAGACGGGGTAGGTTGTCGTGAACTCGCGGGCGAGGTCGGAGAGGTAGGTGAAGGCTAGCTTGCGCGGGTAGGATTTGTCTGTTATGCAGATGAAGGTGATGTCCGAGTCCATTAGGTAGCTGTTTTGGGCACAAAGGTTAGCGAGAGTTCCTTCTTCTTCTTCTTCTTCTTCTTCTTCTTCTTCTTCTTCTTCTTCTTCTTCTTCTTCTTCTTCTTCTTCTTCTTCTTCTTCTTCTTCTTCTTTCGACTGGCTCCTCTCGGTGTAAAAGGGGTAGACAGGAGAGGGGTAGACGGACTTCAGGTTGTAGGCGCCGCTTTCGATGCTGGCTTGGGGTTCCGAATTACGGGTGAGCTTGCGTAGGACTTGCTTGATTTGCGACTTGACTTCGGAGAGAGCTGCTTCTTGTTGCTCGTCGTCGACGGAAGCGCAGAGCATGAGGCCTGGGGAGCTGGGTGTTAGTGAAGGGTGGCTTTTGGTAGGGGGATGGGTGCGCGCGCGCGCGTGCGTACCGTCAAGCCTTGCTATTTGAGTTGAGCGGATCATTGTGTGTATGTGTTTGCTTGCGTGTGGTATTTGGAAAAGTATTTGTCGTCGTTCGTAGGTCAAGAGGGTAGGTATAGCAAAGGAGCTGTCGACGGTGGGTTGGTGTTGTATCGACGTGTCCTCTGAGGTAGCTTCGATGCCTATTCTTAGGCTATCCGGATGCGCGGGTTGACGAGAAGTTGTACTCGAGTGGCTTGGTATCTCCGACTGGATTGATCAAGTCACGGGCACTTTTTCGAAGTACCGTTAAGATATTCGTTGTTGTGTCCTCTTTTTCGAGCCAGGGGTGGTCGCTTTTTCGCTAGCAAATAAACCAAAAACCAAGGATCGCCGTCGACGATATGTCCGGGATGTAATAGGGACGGGAGCTCTCCACGTACTAGTATTGAAGATGACACCATGGGCGGTCATCACTGGCCAATTGGAGGGCTTACACGGGGGCGTAGCCCCTGCGCATTTGGTGGTCGATGTGGCGCCCGTGGCTCGGTCCATCCAGCCTTGTTTAGGTACTGCGTACTGAGAGCATGTTACTTTTAGGGGGACCAGCCAACTCACTCAGTACTCTGCTCTCATGGGTTCTTCTTCAACTTTAACCACCTCACTTACACACATTTGAAGGGAGGTGCGGCGGGAACATAAACTCCCTCCGCCATATCATTATCTGGCACAAACCACCTGGGCTATTCCAAGACCTCGGGGTTCCATGATAAGGACTCGATTGCTCTGTTTTTAAACTCTTTAGGGCGCTGTAGTCTCATCTTTGTTATTGATGTTAGAGTGTCGTTTGTAAGTTCTCAACATGTGTTTACTACCTTATTATCTCATGTCCGGAAACCGCTTTGTGGGAAGGAACAATCAGCAAAGGAGGTCCTTCCCATGTTATCAAAACTGCGACTGTGCCTTCCAGAAACGACATGATTCTTTCACCAGGACTTTTAATAGCGCAGTTCTTTGAATTCCTTTTGGCTAATGCCCAGTTCAGGAATCTTTCCATGGACATCGTAAACGTGAACCGGCAAACATCCTCCATCCACCCGGCCACTCACTCAAAATGGGAGGGATCGCATCCGATATAGAGATGGCAGACGCCTGCGCTCCATCCTCGTCCTCATCCTCATCCTCTGGCCTCTCCCCTCCGCCCACCTACAGCTCAGACTACGAGGGACTTTCCCAAAAAGCTGAGAAAGATTCTTCCAAAGAGATTGTCAAAGAGACTGTCGGCTCTCCCAATGCGCGGGAAGACCCGGAATCAGAAGCTATCAACACACAACTTCCCGGCACAGATCTGCCCAACATGGCTCGACGTTCGGCGCGCAACTCGAGTAAGCCCAAGCCCGCGACTGCTTCCCCGCCAAAAGTCGCCAAGAGAAAACAGCCTACCAAAGTGGTACCCAAGAAGGGCCCAAAATGGACAACGCAGAAGCTCTTGACGGATCCCAAGTCGCCGCTTGCCAGCGCGGATCTGAGAGTAAGTGAACCGTCGCAGCTTAGAAGGGATGATTTTATGTCATCCCAGAAATTCTTGTCTCGATTCTGGTACGCTAACTTACCGCGACCCTCTCTAGGCGATACTCTGCCAGCCAGCGGCATGGGACATACTTACGAAGGAGGAGCGTGCCGAGATCGTCAGCCTCTTCCCAGCCGGCACGCATATCATCGACGCCGGCACCGACGAAGCCCGCCCGGATTTTGACGCACTTCGCAATAACAACAACTTTCGCCACGACTGTGCCACGTACGCCGACAACATTTCCCAGGGCAGGCACGACCCTGAGTGGCTCGAGCAGGCGTGGGTTGCACGCGAGCGGCGGCGGGCGGGCGACTTTGACGACTATGTCACGCAAAAGTTTGAGGATGAGTGGTCGTGCAAGGTGCCAGAGGGCTTTAAGCCAAACAGAAGTGGCGATGCACCAGGCCCCGCTGCGCCTGCGGAAGCTGGAAAGGCCCATGTCGAGCAGACGGAGGAAAACACCGACCAGACAAAGGGAGATGCTATCGACAAGGTCCAGGTGGAAGCAGAAGCCATCAAACAAGTGACGGACACGAAGGCTGCGGACACGACGGGTGACGCTAATACGGCAAAGGATAACGATGCGAGAGAAGCACCGGGCGTCGCACTTGGGTCTCCTCTTCCTGAAGACATCTCATCAGCAAAGATTGGCACAGCTGATACCGAGATCTCCCTCGAAGAGCAGGTGCCAGAATCCTCGGAGGTGCCACTTGGAAGCGTTTCTCCTGACGATTCATCCCCAATGGCCAATCACCAAAACTCGAGCAAACAGACAGAGAAGCAGAAGGGAAAGAAGCCGGTAATTACAGAAGGAAACTAACAGAAGCTCATCCGAGGGAAGCAGTATCGTGCTGGCGAGGCTCAAGAGGGTGTGAAGGTGCCGGAGCATCAATGCTGAGAGCTGCCGATGGGAGATACATACAAACGCATTTGTCTGTATGCAGCATCACGAATCATGATTCATGAAAGGGAATGGAATTTGGGCATATCGGAGATACCTATTTGTTGGGCGACACGAAATCTTCTGGATTGTCGGCTGGAGGCGGGCTTTCTTGAGTAGGGCCTGATAGCTATGGAATCTAGCACTATGATTCAAGCCACTTCAAACCCGTCTTCGTGGAAAGGCGCATGATCATAACGGAAGATTCGATGTCGGCTTCGGTGAAACGGTCCTGGTGTTGACGCCCGATGGTGGTAGTCTCGGTCAATGCCCCACATCACCGACAAACCCCAAATTGAGTGGGCGAAAAGCGTCCATCACAGAAATCGCACCTTGACAATCTTTACTCTCAATCATCTTACTACCTATCTCATGCGAGAAGGCTTTTTTTTAGTGCAAGTCATACGTATCACAGTCTTACGGGTTTAAGTCTGGAAAAACATCAACGGCGAGAAGATTCGCGGTTCCAGGCTGTACCTTAGAAATTGCGCAGCAAATTCCCTCTTCCACAACATAGCAGGAAGATTCCTTCCAAGACCTGCCACGATGGCCCCCTCGGCGGAAAACCACAGTCGGTCACATAGCCTCTTACTGTTCCAGAAGCTGCTCAACCTGAGGGATGGCGCGAGCCCTTTGACCTTGGTGCTGGACAGTCTCGAGCAAGGCGCCGCGCCAGTCCTTCGGGAGTTCGTCTCCAGAGCCAAGGTATGCGCTACTAATTTCATGACTCTGTAGATAGACAATATGATTCCTATCCCCAAAAACACAATCATTAGTTTTGGTGTCATGATTCAAATATCTGGTATTAATGAAATATATAGGTTGCAAAAGCCAAAGTAATTCTGCTGTCTTTCGCGACGCTCAAACGCCCACGAGGCGTGGACGTCGTCGTCAGAGCCCGCGGCAAAACCCTCAAGGCCCTGAGAGCAGAGATTCTTTCACATTATCCCAAGATAGACCCTACGGCAGTCAAGGGTGCATCTCCGTCTCAAAGTGAGTGCTGTCGCACCCCCCATCCTGTGACCTCCTCTTCATGGCCTCACCATAACATATCCACCCTCTGACTCACACATCTTCTCGTGACCAGAAACGGTAGTCCTGCTCGACTCCCTCAACGAGCTCGCCACAGCTGCGTCACAGGTCCTGCTCAGCTTCCTCTCCAGCATCATCATGCCCGCCGTGTCGCTGGTGGCCGTCTACCACACCGACGTGCCCCTCGTCCTCCCGCGGGCGGTGAGTGAATACGAGCCGCACCCACTGACGGTGCTCTCTCACTTGGCGACCTCGATCCTGAGGCTCTCGGGCCTAAGACAGGAGATTGAGCGCCAAAAGGCGCGGAACAGGAGTTTGCAGGAGCCCGAGTGGGGGCTGGGGGAAGGGCGGGAGGGCGTCCTCGTCGGGCTCAAGGGCGACGTCAAGTCTGAGGATTATCACGGCGTCGTGGTCGAGATGGAGGTCAGGCGGCGTAGCGGGCGGGCCATGGCGGAGAAGTTTGTTATCTTGCCACAGAAGTTACAGCAGGTTTCTTCCTCCGCCGCTTCTACTGCTGCTGCAAAGGGGTCGAGGATCTTCCTCCTCTCGGAGCACCCCGTTTTCGCTGCCCCTGAGGGTTCTGGAGAGGCAGAAGCAGGTCGCGGAGAGGATGAGGAGCCGGAGAGCACGTTCAACCTGGGTCTCACAGAGAAGCAGCGTAGGGACAGGGAGGGTATTGTTCTTCCTTACTTTGACGCCCAAACGGACATAGGGGCTGGTGAGGGTGGCAGGATCCTGTATGAGATGGGTAGGGAGGATGACTTTGATGACGAGGAGGATGAAATTTAGGCGGCCTTGCCGCAGAGGCAACACACGCTCTTACGATTATGATGTTTTCTCTGCCAAACGCAACATGAAGGTGACATATTCCTGAGGCACCTGAAGAATGAACATGAAGCGCGGCTGGTTACGCATGAACTTTGGGGAGGTGAATGTAAGCTACCTTACCTTAGCCAGGCATCATGACAGATTGAGGCCGTTGCTAAGGCAGGCAGGCAACTGAGACCAACCTGAGGTAGTGGTTCGCCTGCCTTCCCCACTGAGGCCAAAACGTCAAACGGAAGGAAGCAGCGTCCCGCGGCTGCCTCCCATCACCAGGCATCAACCACCCGATGATCGAACTCACCAATCAAGAAATTCGACCCTGCCCATTAAATAATTCGGCACTCACCATGGAAGGTATCTCCAGTACGTATCTTTACTGATGGGGGCCGTCGCACAGGCCATGCCCAAAATCTATAACAACCCCTCCTCCACCCACGACTTTTCACCTTTTCCTTCTTTTCTCCTTAGCTCTTCTTTGCCATTTTGGCTTAGATCAAGTGTAGTATCTGTTCTTTTCAGTTTAATATCTGAAAGTCTCCCAATGGGGGACAATCAATATTATTCCTATTTTTGATCTTCTCGGGGAGCGGTCCCTTTGGCTTGCCATATCACCGCTTCCCACCGTGTCCCTGGTATCACACTGCCTCCAGGCGACGCAAAAGGTTTGGTTATTTCATTGCTTGCTCTGGCTTGTCCAGGGCAGTGAAGAAGACGTCAGATGTTCTTGTGTTGTGTTGATTATGCTTCCTTCTTGTCTGCTTCGAGAAGATGCATCACCTCGGTGGACGACAGCAGTCGATCTACGTGAAGTTACATCGTGATGTCTCAAGATTACCTTAACATGTCGTGGTGTTGCACCCAGTGAACCCGCTAGAGCTTTCCAGTAAAGCTCAGTGGAGCTTTGCCCAGCGTTGTCCGACCACTGGGCTCCTGCAAGGCTCCCGCGCTAAAATTCGGGGGGCGGAAAGCTTAAACTCTGCCCAATTAAGCAACCCTTTCAGGTGCCTGCCGAACATCAATCCGTCAGAAGATTGCCGTGCCCAAAATTTCCTCAGCCTCACAGTGACGTTATTTCAAGTCTAAATAAGAATTTCACACCACCAAGTATTTGCTTCACCCCCATCCCGGTCCAATTTCTCAAGAACGCATACATAGAGATGGGTCGCGGACGCGATAACAGACAAACCTGGGACGAGCCTGACCGGCGCAGTCGCCACGGCGGCGGCGGAGGAGGCGGCCCACGAGACCGAGACCGAGACCGCGAAAGCTACAGAGACCGCGACGGCGGCGGCAGACGAGACGACGGTGCCTCCAGGCGATACCGCTCCCGGTCCCGCGACCGCCGCGACAGAGATCACCGACCAAGATCCAGAGACCGCGAGAGCGGCGGCCACCGCCCCGGACGCGGCGACGATCGTGACGGAGGCGCGAGGCCGCCGCGCAGAGACCGCGGTGGTTGGCAAGGGCGAGATGATAGAGACAGCACCAGGCGGCGCAGGGACGATGATGAACCGGCAATGGACGAGCGGCCTCCGAGGCGGCAGTTTGGAGACGATGATGAGGGACGCAGTAAGTTTTTCGGCCCTGGTTACTTGCTGTTTGACTTTTATTTGGTCGGCGCAACAGAGAGAGACTAACTGACGTTTTTGTGAAAAAAGGTACACCACGCGACAACAGAGACCGTAGACGATCCGCCTCCCCACGCCGAAGCGGCAGTCCACCGCAGCCTGGTGCCTCCCGCCGCGAGCACGGCGGCGGCGGCGGATACACCGAGTCCCTACCCACGCGCACGGTTCAGAGAGGGAAGAAGGAGCAGCAGCATACCATGTCCTTCAAGGTCGGACGACACGACTCGCCGCACTTTGACAGCGGGAGAGATAGTGAGCGTGGTGGAGATACACCGATGAGTGGTGGCGGCGGTGGCGGCGGACGCGGCCGAGACGATCGAAGCGAGGAGGATGACGAACCTGAGCCTGAGGTAGAGGACGACGATATGGCGGCTATGCAGGCGATGCTCGGCTTTGGCGGCTTCGGGTCGACAAAGGGCCAGAAGATTGCGGGAAATAACGTCGGGACTGTGAGGAAGGAGAAGAAGACGGAGTATCGGCAGTATATGAATCGGCAGGGCGGATTCAATCGGCCTCTCAGTCCTGGAAGATGAGTCAACTGCCCGAGAGCGTGTTAGGAATTGATTAATGGGGGTAATAGTCATTTCAAGAGGATGGATCGGCTCGATGGAACAGCATGCCAAGCACGACCCCGTCATGATCGGACAGCACTAGGTATGCTTCACGCTTGTATTGATTTTCCCAGATACCTATAGATGATCGAGAACGAAAAAGACATTTACAACAGCAGAGCCCGTGCAGATCTGCTTGCCTCATATCAACTTGCTCCAGCTCAACCTGACGCGGTTGACGCGGGCGCAGGCGGCGTAGACTCCCTCGTCTTTCCCTCCTTGGCCTCGGCCTTGAGCTCGCTATCGAATATGTCAACAGCCAGACTCGCGTCCACAAAGTCCTCGAGCTCCTCCGTCACCGTCTTGAGCTTCTCCTTGACCGCGGTAGCGCCTTCGAACCCGACAATGTGTCTCGCCGGCGGGTTCTCGTGCCCGCCAATGGCCGTCAGGGCGTGCACCGTCTCCAAGACGAGGCGATCGGTGGCGCTGGGCGGCAGCTTCGGGTACCGCACCTGGACCTCGTCGGTCTCGTTGAGGTCGGGCACGGCGGTGTCCGGGTTCATGTTGAGGACGTTGCCGAGCATGTCGCGGACGCTGGGCGCCGGGTTGACCTCGGCGTCATACCACGGCAGCTGGGGTGCGAAGATGATCTTGTTTGTGAGAGATTGGATCTCCTTGTTGGGCTGCACGATGGTGACTTTGATGTTGAAGGGAGCAATTTCGTAGGCTAGGGAATCGCAGAAGCCTTCGAGGGCCCAGATGGCCGATGTGTAGATGGGCATCCCCGGTGTGCCGATGTGGCCGCCCGTACTAGAGAGGATGATGATGTGTCCCGTGTGCTGTGAGCGTAGCAGCGGTAGGGCGGCCTTGATGAAATTGACCTGTGAGAAGAAGATTGTCTCAAACTGGTCGCGGACTAGGTTCTGTGTCAGAGGATTCGTGGATAACTCCTCCACGCTCCCCACGACGGCTGTTTAAGGGGTTGTCAGCATTGTATCATTGTCATTCAACGGGGGCTCGTCATTAGATACCTTCAGATTTGCAACAGAGGAGGATGTCGATCCTCCCGAACACCTGAACGGCCTCGGCCACGGCGGCGCCGCACTGGCCCATGACGCGGCCATCGCAGCGGATACCACGTATCCTGTCCTTCCACCCTTCGCGGTCCTTACGGTTGCTCTTACACTCATTGATCAACTCTCTGAACTCGGCGCTGCGGCCGTCGTCCTCAATCTCGCTCGGTGGCAGACAGGCGACGACATAGTCTCCGTGGCCCAGGAGCAGTCTGATGAGCCTGATGATGAGCGGCGAGAGGGCTGTCGTCAAGAACCAGGTCCTCGGCGAGTTGTGCGTAGCTGAGGAGGGGGCGCATTAGCCAAGAGATGCGCTGCCAAGGAAAGCCGTGCTTGCTAGTGAAGTGAGGTGAGATACTCACGGAAAGACGCCGCGGGAATGGAATGGGAATGCTTCGCGGCGTCCGCCCCCTTGCGGTCCGCCATGCCCGGCGGCACTTCTGACAAATCCTCGTCCCTTGAGTACGCGAATCAGCACACGAAGACAAACGCGATACTACTACACAATGTACAGAAAGACAAATGAAGAAGCTGCAGGTGTATGTACGTGATGTACGGGATATCAAAAACGGTGGATACGTGGGGGGAGTTTTATGTAGGTCAATCTTGAGAGAGTGGGAGACCTGCATCAAAGACGAGAAGGGGGAGGGATATTAATACATTATCTTATTAACAGCTTCCCGACGAAGAGGCTGATACGGCGATCTCAATCACAAGGGGGCACGTTCGGGAACGGCTAGACGTGCCATTAAGGTCGCATTCCCTGGGTGTAGTCTGCAGAGGGCGTCGATCGAGGGGAAGGGGGGCGTGGCAATCGTGGTAGTTGATCAGTTTGGTGATGGGGTTGAGAGAAACACGGCACGGCAGTGGCAGTGGATGACAGCCGTTCCAGCCCAATCTCTATCTCACACCCCTGTCGAGGCGAGGGGCACGGGTGAGGGTAGCCTCCGTGACGAGGGAAGGAAAGGCCCCCAAGGCCCCCCAAGCTTACCTTACCTGGTACCCCCGCCCACCTTGCTCATGAGGTGCAGCTACCACTCACTGTCCACTAATCCAGTGCTTTGTCACTACCTTACCTTACCTTAGGTGCTTAGTACCTAAGGATGGTGCCTACCTACCTAGTCAAATGCAGTGGCCGAAGCGAGCAATACATAGAAGCCCAGGCCCCACCACGGGCCACGGGTGACGGGCCAGCAAGATGCAATTCCAGCGGCATCCCCACGCTAGAATCCGGGGAACGACCCCTCCATCCACTCACGTCATTTTTTCGCTGTCGTTGTTTCCGACACCGGTGTCTCTTCCGCATTTTGGCGGGGTTACTCGTCTGGAATAGCAACTTTTTTTTCTGGCACCACCGCAACTCCGTCTTCCGTGACTCATTAGAACAAGTCTCAGCCCTACATAAATCTAATTGATCTACCATTCGATTCTCCGTCAAGAACCCTTCCTGTGTCTGTCATTTGTTCGAATCTCGCCCAAACCCAATTCACCCAATTCCAATTGAACCCGCCCGAAGAAACCGCTCCGCCCATCATGCCCTCCCGCGCCGACATCACCTACTTCGGCGCCGGCCCCGCGCTGCTGCCCACCGACGTCCTCGAAACGGCCTCGCAAGCCCTCCTCGACTTCAACGGCACCGGTCTGGGCATTGCAGAGCACTCTCACCGCAGCGAGATCGCCACCAAGATCATTGAAGAGGCCAAGGCCGACCTGGCCACCTACCTTGACATCCCCTCCGACTACGAGGTCCTATTCATGCAGGCCGGTGGTAGCGGCGAGTTCTCCGCCACCGTCTACAACTTTGTCGGCGCCTGGATCGCCCGCCAGCGCGACGCTGTCCTGGCCAACCTCGGTGCCACCGATGAGAATGACGAAAAGGTCGTCGCCGAGCTCCGCAAGGTTGTTGATGAGAAGCTCAAGCTCGACTACCTCGTCACCGGAGGCTGGAGTCAAAAGGCCAGCGCCGAGGCTGCGAGGCTTCTCGGCCCAGAGTTCGTCAACGTCGCTGCCGACGCCCGCAAGATCAACGATGGCAAGTTTGGCAAGATCCCCGACGAGAAGGACTGGAAGCTCAGCAAGGAAGCCGCCATGGTCTACTACTGCGACAACGAGACGGTCGACGGTGTCGAATTCAACGGCTTCCCTAGTGCGCTGGCGCCCAAGGAGAATGGTGAGGGCCCCATTGTCGTGGCGGACATGTCGTCCAACATCCTCTCAAGGCGCATCCCCGTCAAGAACTTCAGTGCCATCTTCTTTGGTGCGCAGAAGAACCTTGGCTCGACTGGTATCACCGTCGTCGTCATCAAGAAGAGCCTTCTTGCCGCACAGCCCTCTCCTGCGCTTATGCGCAAGCTTGGTCTCCCTATCGCCCCCATTGTTCTCTCCTACGAGACCATTGCCAAGAATAACAGCTTGTACAACACATTGAGCATCTTTGAGTGAGTCATTCCTCTATATCTATCCACATTTTCTATCCACTCAACTAATCACCACTCTACAGTGTCTATATCGCCGGCCAGGTCCTCAAGAAGCTTCTCCGCACTTTCCAAAACAAGGTCGACGGCCAGGAGGCCATCGCTGATGAGAAGGCCTCTCTCATCTACTCCGCCCTCGAGGCTCACCCCGACATCTACCGCATCGTCCCCGACAAGAGCGTCCGCTCGCGCATGAACATCTGCTTCCGCGTCACCAAGGGCGGTGACACTGACGCCGCGGAGAAGGCCTTCCTCAAGGAGTCTACTGCCCAGGGTCTCACCGGCCTCAAGGGCCACCGCAGCGTCGGCGGTATTCGTGCCAGCAACTACAACTCTATCCCTCTCGAGGGTGCCCAAAAGCTGGCCAAGTTCATCGAGTCCTTTGCCCAGGCTTAAACTAGGGTCATTCAGATGAGGGTCCATTCAACACCGTCAATATAATGATACCATGTAAGAATATACATGAACCAAAAAAAGGCAGGGAACGGAATTGGGAAATGGAAATAGAGCATATTGGAAATATTTAGGGAGCCATGATTTAATTCAACATTTATGCCAGGGTATTATGGCTTCACGTTGCACACAGTTCTGCCTTGGTGAGTTGATTGTGAGAGGAGAGAAGGTAAGCGTTACCTTGATGGGTAGGTGTGTGAATGGATGACTGAGTTCCACTTTCGCAATTAGGTAGATTGATGGCACATTCAACAATATCTTCCCAAAATGGTAGGTGGTAGTGTCACCGCATGGAAACGCCTTACAAACAGCATCGGGGTTACCTAATTGAAGCTATCACGGGTATACCGGCTTTCACATGAGCCGAGTAACCTCAGAGAGCTTCAAGGTCAGGCAGCTACATCGAGAATTAAGACTACATGATTCAATACGATTTCATTCCAAATTCTCAGCAAGATAAATTGCTCACTTTTCCCCAAGTAAAACCTCCAAAGTGGCTCTTGCAAGTAAGGTAAGGTAGGTAGTTGAGAGAGAGGAATGACTATCATACATCGGCCCGGCGCCCATCTAATGGCCCGTGCGCACCGTCGGCAATATGTCCATCTTGCGGCTCCTTGCCAACTCTTCACCCACACACCCTTATCTTGTGGCTCCAAACAAGAACTAGGTACGGTCACCGGGATGACTCCGGTCCCTTCATCCCGCAGGAGCCGTCGCCGTAGAATCGCAGACGAGGATCGAAAGCGGGCACCTCGGGCCTGTACCCGTTGCAAGGCCCGTAAAAGCAAATGCATTGAGACGACGTCGGGTATATGCCAACGATGTCTTCAAGGGTCACACACTTGCAGCTTCGTCACGCAGCGGTTGAGCATATCCCCAGGAGTACTACAGTCGCCTATAAGAGACTACGACGAATCATTGGCAGAGCTGGGTCCCAGCCCGAGCCCCGATCCCCTTGCTGATGTCCCGGACACCACACAGTCATCACGTCGGGATCTCTGCTCCGACAGTGACGCTCCCGAGAACTTCATGTGGCCACGATTTCTATCCAGACTTAGAAACGCATTCTATCTCGAGCCAAATTCGTCACCCGCCGAGAGAGAAATTGCTAGACTTGAAGCTCGCTCGTCGCGAGCCACTGCCTCTCACCAGTCTGCGGAAGCAATCCGCTTGCAGGCGGCCACTGAAAGCCTCCCACCCAGATCTGTAGCCATCTTTCTGAGCAAGCTCTGTATTCAACATGGAACCGACTGCTTCTTCTACTTTGATCAACCTTCTTTCTTGGCTGAGGTGGAGGAGTTTTACAACGACTTGAGCTCACCTCTTCGACGGGATCCCAGCTTCCTATGTCTTTTGCTGTCAGTTCTTGCTCTGGGAGCTCACTGGAGTCCGCGAGCCCGACCATCCGCTCTGTCTGGGTCTCTTCAAATTCCAGCGGAAGACCCTGGACAGGTATTTTGCGGTCATGCTCGGATCTTGATGGCAGACACCATGGATAGAGTGAGTATGTACTCTGTCAAAGCGGCGTTCGTCCTTGGGATATACCTTATGCCGTCGAGTGCGGTAGGGGCCTCATACCTGTATATGGGTCTTGCCTTGAGGAAAGCCATCGCTCTTGGACTGCATCACGAATCAGAAGAGCCGGACACCGACAGCCATGAGAGGGAAACGAGACGAAGGTTATGGTGGGCTATATTTTCTCTCGAAAGGTTAGTTGACTTGCCAGCACTCAGTTCCATCACGGTGAACCCGGACTGATATCCTCTGCGTAGAACTCTAACAATCAAGCTCAATCGACCGAGATCGATATCTCAGGATGTCATGACAGCTCATCTGCCTCAGCGCCGAGCAACTGATGCCCTGCAAAGCTTCGATAACTTGGATCACCAAGTAGCCAACGCGCAATTTGTCAAAATCATTGACACTCTCATTGAGCCGGCGTGAGTTATCCTTTGATGCATGCTATTGATTTTTCCCACTGACTCGAAATGGTCCAGTACGTGGTCAAGCAATTCTCAACCCCCTCTGCAAGACTTTGAGATTTCACTAAAAACCTGGAAACGATCTCTGCCTCCCAACTTACGTCTCCCAAACGTGGAACCTCGCTCGCCATACTATCGCGCCGTATTCCACCTCTACCTGAACTACTACTTTGCTTGGATTGCGATAGGTAAAACTTCTGTCGTGACAAAGATTCGGAGCCATTTACGGTCAGCTGCATCAGGCTTACCGGAGCCTCAAACGACGAAAGATGATGATATAACGCGGCAATTCAGATCATGTGGCATCGCGGCAAAGAAGATGTTGAACATACTCGAAGACGCTAGTCAATCTGGAAACATGGCCCCAAGATCCTTTACGGACTTTCAGGGTTGCAGTATCGCCACAATCATCGTGATACTTACCGGCATTCTGGAGCGAGACTCGGCCTACGATGCCCGAGTCGCCTTCGGTCTGCGCTGTCTCAGAAGGATGGCTGACTTGCACATGGCTGGTCGAATGGCAGTACGATTTGTAGAGGCACTCATCTCCATCGCCGAGGAGGCACGGGCCAAGGCCAAGCCGTTCGGTTCGACACAATTCGATGGGGATGTCAACCAAGAGGCTTCTGAGTACCTTCTCTGGACAGACTGGCTGAACAGGAACACAGACACATCTGGAACTGAAAGAAATCGATCCAATGCAACCAGACAACGGTCGCGTGCTCATTCAGAAGCTGCACAAGCTGCTTCTGGCGCATCGCCAATGTGGGAGGAAGCTGCTGCATTGCTCCAGCTTCGAAACCCATCTACACCCAACCAAGCACTCGTGGTTGAAGATGTTGCACTGCCAACGGCTGCGCCTGAGTTACCAGAAGAGGCACCGTTCGATCTAGGTCTGGATGCTGACTTCCCTCCGGCCACTTTTGCCGAGAATCACATGCAACTGATGGGTCTCACTGGTATGGACATGTTGGATTTTACATTTGACATCTAAATAAGGTACAGCAACAGCTCCAAAAGCAGCCAGAAGAAGATCTAGCCAGAATCTACCGGCCAATCTTACAGACGCCAGAAAAAGCCGGAATCAAGCCTCATTCGAAGGATATAACACAGTGTCTGCGCCGACAAGGTCCTCCTTCATACTCCTCATGCTGGTAAAGCGTGTCAAAAGATTTACGCTGGTGGCCTTGTCATTGGTACCGCTCGCACGACCACCTCCGAAAGGCTGGTGCCCAACAACGGCTCCGCTGCTCTTGCTGTTGACGTAGAAGTTGCCAGCCGCGTGGCGCAGCCCCTTTTCCGCCGCCTCAATGGCGCTCCGGTCGCGGGCAAAGACGGCGCCGGTCAGCCCGTACTGCGTCGTGGAGTCGATCATAGGGAGCATCTCCTCGTACTTCGCGTCCGGGTAGACGTGGACGGCGAGGATGGGGCCAAAGAGCTCGTTCCTCATGAGCTTGTGGTGGGCTTTGTTGGTCTGGAAGATGGTGGGCGAGACGAACCAGCCCTGGCTGTTGTCTGTGTGACCGCCGGCCAGCAACTCGACTGCGGGGTCCTTTTTGGAGTCCTCGATTACTTCGCGGAGTTTTGTCCACGAGCGCTCGTGGATGACGGGTCCGATGAAGTTGTCGACCTGCTCGGGGGAGCCGACTTTCAGGTTCTTCGTTTCCCGCAAAAGCATCTCCTTGAACTCTGGCCAGATGGACTCGGCGACGTAGAGACGCGACGTCGCAGAGCACTTTTGCCCCTGATACTCAAAGGCGCCCCGAACAGTATTCACCACCGCGTTCCGCACATCGGCGCTGCCGTGCACCAGGTGGAAGTTCTTGCCGCCCGTCTCGCCGATCATGCGCGGGTAGCTCTCGTACCGTCCCGAGGCGACGCCCTCGCCGATCTTGCCGTACAGCTGGCGGAAGACGTCCGTGGATCCGGTGAAGTGGAGCGCTGCGAACTGGGGGTGGTCGAGGACGGCCGAGGTGATTGCTTCGGGCTCGCCGGGGAGAAACTGGATCACGCCGGCGGGCAGGCCGGCCTCTTCAAAGACCTTTTGGAGGAGGTAGCTCGAGTAGATTGCGTAGTCGGAGGGTTTCCAGAGGACGACGTTGCCCATGATGGCGGGTGCGACGGTCAGGTTGGCGCCGATGGCGGTGAAGTTGAAGGGGCTGATGGCGTAGACGAAGCCCTCTAGCGGTCGGTATTCTGTTCGACTGGTAGATACCGTTAGCTCGTGTACGATGTAACAAACTTTTCTCTCCCCTAGGTCGTTTAAACAAGAAGAAGGGGACACTTACTTCATGAATCCGGCATCAGTCAACGCGTGCTGTTGGTCATACAGCTGAGCTGCGTAATGCACATTGAAACTACCGCATCCCATCAATGGTCAGCGAAAGCTTTTCTGGATTGCACGGAGTATCGAATCTGCTTCTCGTAAACGTACCGCAAGAAATCACAACTCTCCGCTGCCGAGTCAATTTCAGCCTGCCAAATGTTCTTCCCCTGCCCGAGCATCGTCGCAGCCATAATGTCGTAACGATACTTTCCCGCAATGAGCTCCGCCGCCCTAAGAAAGACGGCAGCCCTATCCTTGAAAGACGTGTTCTCCCACGCGGGTTTGGCTTCCAACGCCCTGTCAATGGCTATTGACACCTGCTCGGGGCTCGTCTGGGCGTATTCGGCCAACGCGACGGAGTGGTCGCTTGGTAGGTATTGCTTGGCTAGGACTGACTTTGCGTTTGTCTTTGGAATTGACAGAGTATGTAAGTCCAAGAGCCGAAAGGCTGCGAGTTATGGGCGAAGATGCCACTTACGATTTTAGGTGCCAGTGATGGTACTCGCACGGGAAGGTTACTCTTCAGTCGTGAGATCGCATCTTGGAGCTTCTGACGCTCGACTGAGCCCTTGCTATATGATGGCTTAGGGTCGTTTTGTCAGCTGATGCTTTAACCTATCGTGAGTTATGCTTCACTGCGGAATACTTACATTTGGCTCGTTGCGGACTGGAGGTGCCTTGAAAGTGCCAAACCCCCTGGTGCTTCTTTCGAGTGGCCAAGAGTTGACTCCGAAGCGAGAGGATGGCGCTGTGAGCCGGCCTGCCTTTTGAAAAGGGGTCGTGAGACCTCGTACTAAAGAGACAGACATTTTGATGTGCCAGTAGTTTCGGAATTGGTTGTAGGTAAATTCTAACGTTCAAATGAAAGCAATACGAAAATCGACTATGAAGATTACATTTATATGTCTTGGGAGCCGCAATGCAGAGCTCCGGCATCGCGATACCGTTGCCGACACTTGTGGCACATTGCCGTGAGGTCGGCAACTTGACCAAGCGATAGTGTCGGTAGCCGATCCGTTGACCGGAAAGGCCCCCACCGCTTCTTCTTATCCTAATGCATGTCACCAGCGGGGGAGTTCCATGTCCAGACGTCTTTAACTGATATTGATTTACAATTTGCTTGCGCCGTGCATACCAGTCTTACTTGGCTTGTCAAAGCCACCGAGTTTCTGCTGTCCAGCCCCTTTCGTTAATTCAACAACCGGATCTCCAATCGCTACCATGGGGACTACGGCCCTGGATTCATTCAAGGATATAACCTCGGGAGCTGCAGGAGGTATAGCGCAAGTTCTAATAGGTATGTAACTCGCCGTAATGAGTCTTGCATCTTGTAGGAATGGACTTGGCTTACACTGTCTTGCATAGGCCAACCTTTCGGTAAACCGAGCCCTCTGCACTTCTACCCGTCAAAGCCTCTTGAAACGCCATGAGGCTGTGGGATAAGTTCAGTTACTTACCAAAGACTCTCAGACCTCGTAAAAGTGCGCCTTCAAACCCAAGGCGGAGGAGGAAATGCCCTAGGTCTAGTCCGCAGCATCTGGACTAAAGAAGGGCCTTTGGCTTTTTACAAGGTCAGCTTTGACTCATTATAGTCTATGAAATCGGTAGTTGACGCTCGAATCCAGGGTACTCTAGCTCCGTTGCTAGGTGTAGGTGCTTGTGTAAGTGATATAACCGCATTCAGGGAACGTGCTTCAGTCTGACCACATCGAACATTGAATAGGTCAGCATACAATTCGGCGCCTTTCAACTCTTCCGCCGGCGACTCGAAGAGTATCGCGAAATCTACCCAGCCAACGCTAAAACAAACAGCAAATCACTCTCCCTATCTGACTTCTACCTCGTGGGAGGAGCCGCGGGCCTGACCAACAGCATCATATCCGGACCAATCGAGCATGTCCGAATCAGGCTCCAGACTCAACCAAACGGCCCAGCCCGTCTATACTCTGGGCCCTGGGACTGCGTGCGCAAGATCATGCAGCACTCCGGTATCAAGGGCCTGTATCGTGGGCAGGTCGTCACTCTTTTCAGAGAGTTCCACGGGTACGGCATCTGGTTTGCCGCGTATGAGGGATTTCTCAGTATGGCGATGGCGTGGGAAGGCGTCAAGGACAGAAGAGAACTAGCTAGCTGGAAGATTGCCGTCTGTGGAGGTCTTGCGGGCGAGGCGCTGTGGCTGGGGAGTCATCCGCTCGACGTGATCAAGAGTAAGATGCAGAGCGACGGGTTTGGGAGAGGCCAGAAGTACTTGACTATGCGTGACGCTTTCCGCCAGACTTGGAGAGAGGGTCGGTTTCGAGGACTATTTCGAGGACTTGTTCCAGCGTTGCTGAGGGCGATGCCTGTGTCTGCTGGGACTTTTGCAACGTAAGTGTTCTTGGCCAGTTCATCATTCCGTTACTGCCATTCCTATACACGCTTTGGTACTGGCTAACACACACTTGCAGGGCTGAGCTTGTAAGAGGGGCTCTCAGTTGAAACTCCATGATATAGAGTCGATCCATGTGATAGATATACAGTAGATCAAATCTCATAAAATCAGGCCTTAAATAAGTTTCATGTGTTCTTTTTCTTTCATGGCTTGAGAAATTACTCACTGCCTCCAGACTTTTGTATAAGTCCGCTGCCCTTCGAAACGTTGGCTATATTATCATCCCGCACTCTAGATGGACTGTTCAGTCAGGAAATGACCTTAACCGTTGCGTACCAATCCCTCAAACTCAATTATTCTTCTGATTGTTGTTAATAGAGAGATATTATCCCACAGCGCGTTACGCTTGCCGAAGGCTGCACTGGGAAGCGATTGGAATATGTCGCATTGCCGGTGGCACAGTGCCCGAAATCGGCTACGGTACACATGTCCGTCCGACGGTATCATGAGGGGTTGCCGCATCTAGATGTAGGATACCGAAGGTATTCAAATAGGCTCGCCCTACAATTTCTATCGCATAGTATCGAGTGAACCAAATTTCGCCGGATGCGACCCCAGTAGCGAACAATGTCTCTGTCGAAACCTTACAGCCAGCGGCTCGCAGCTCTTCTGAGCCGGCGACATCCAGCTATTCGCTATGCCAACAATGCGTCTCTTACACGTTTCCAGTCGCGATACGCATCCACCACTTCAGGGAACCCAGAAACATTGCCACCACACTCCAAGCTGCCCTTGAAGATTCTCTTGCGGTCCCTGTTGGTGGCGACCATTTCTTCCCACCGGATCTTGCTGGGCCCGTCTCTGGCTATTCTGAAATTCCTAAACGACTCGCACCGAACCTGGGTCTTTGACGTGCAAAGGAATCCTTTATTGCACGCTATACTAAAGAAGACCATGTACAACCACTTCTGCGCCGGCGAGAACCGACACGAGGTGACGTCGACGATTGCGGAGATCAAGCGCATGGGGTTTCGGGGAGCCATCCTCACGTACGCTCGCGAGATTGTGGTCGACAACACGACAGAAGAAGAGAGCGGTCGGGGGTTGAAGGAGATGGATTCCGCTTCAGAAATCGAGTCAGATGCTGGGATCGACGCCTGGCGTGAGGGTGTCTTGGAAACGGCGGATATGCTCAGTGAAGGAGATATCTTGGCTCTCAAGTAGGCGCCCCCGAACACATCAATATGCATTCTCATGATTTGCTGACTTTCTCCTCAGACTGACTGGTGCCGGTGCCGCCGTTTCAGAGGCGCTCACTTCGAGGAAGCCCCTGCCAGCGCAGATGGAGTCAGCTCTCGCAGACGTATGCTCTCGCGCGGTGGAGCGTGGAGCACGCATCTTCATGGACGCCGAACAGATTTCAGTACAGCCCGGAATCGACGCAGTAGCAATAGACCTCATGCGCCGCTTCAACACGAAAGAAAGAGGCGCCGTCGTCTTCAACACCTACCAAGCCTATCTCAAGAGCACACCGGATACCCTGGCTCAGCACGTGGCGCTAGCTCACAAGGACAACTTTGTCCTCGGTATCAAACTGGTGCGCGGAGCTTATATCAGCTCAGAGCCAAGGCACATGATCAATGATACCAAGCAAGCAACCGACGACTCGTATGACTCTATTGCACGGGAACTCTTGTCACAAGGTTACAGAGACTATGGCGTGCCGGGCGGGAAGTCATTCCCGGGCATCGAGTTGTTCCTTGCAACGCACAATAAGGACAGCGTCCTAAAGGCCAATGAGCTTCAGCAAACTCGCGCCAAGGAAGGGAAGGCCGTGATCAAGATTCAGTATGGGCAGCTTCTGGGCATGGCCGACGAAGTCAGCTTCAGTCTGCTCCAGCTTGCAGACCAGGGGTCCGATGCAAAGGGATCGGGAAGTGATGCCCCTATAGAGGTCTACAAGTGCTTGAGCTGGGGCTCTCTTGGTGATTGTACGTCGTATCTCTTGCGGCGGGCGGTCGAGAACCGGGATGCGGTATCCCGCACAAAGTCGGAGTTCACTGCGTTGAAGAACGAGTTATGGAGGAGGCTTACATCTTCCAATTGATCATAGCAGGGAAGATAGAGATATAAAAGTCGCTCCATCGCACTCTTATCATCGTGAGGTTGACTAGGAGAGCCCATCGCTCTCTCAGTGTAAGTGAGAGATTGGTGAAGATGAGAATCAAGGGGGAAGAAAGGCAACATTTGGACTACGTAAATAAAGTAGTGGTCGGTGCTTTGACCAGGGAACCTTACCCCCCGGCTGGAGAGCTCTCATTACCCGTACTTTATCCGAAAGAATGACAGAATGGAACCGAAGCTCCCTCTAAATGAGGGGCTCTCTCCACAGCCTGGAAGAGGTACCTGACCTGCCACCAAGCCCCACCATCTCAACTCCCAAAGCCACCGCGCAAGCTACAAAACGACATCGTCACATCTCACCCAGCGCCCTCACCTCACTCACCCTCCGACCACCCCACTCCCTTCCGAAAGTCGACACCTAGACGGCATTCCCGACAACCCACCCAACATGGCAGCCAAAGGAGACAAGATTGAAAAGATCATCACGCGGCTCCAGGCCCGCATCGGCGAGGGCCAGTTCTACGAGGCCCAGCAGCAGACCCGCGTCGTCGCCGCCCGCTACATCAAGGCCGCGAACTGGCCAGCCGCCATCGATATTCTCTACAATGTCGCACAGTCCCTACTGAAAGCCGAACAGGGCGGCAGTGGCGGCGACCTGGCCGTCATGCTCGTCGACGTCTTCAAGCAGGCCGAGCTCAAGCCCGACGCCGCCAACAAGGGCAAGCTGCTCACCCTCCTGCGCCTGTTTGCCGCCCAGGAGCCCACGAGGAAGAAGTTTATCGGGGAGATTATTGCGTGAGTACCATGGATCTATTCTTCATGGGGCAGTACATCGGGGGGGTAGAAATACGATTAGTTGTTTCTAACTACTAGGGCTATAGATGGTCATCAAAGTTCGGCGAGTACCCTGCCGGCGATACCGACCTCCACCACGTCGCCGGATCCCTCTACGCCGAAGAACACGACGCCTACGAGGCGGAACGACACCTGGTGCTAGGAACAAAGGACTCGGCCGAGGTACTTGCAAAGATGGAATACGTCTGGTACAAGGAGGACGACTCGCACACGGCGCCACTCTACGCCGCCCGCGCCATCTTCCCCTACCTCCTCGTCGGCAACGTCCGCGCCGCAAACACCTGCTACCGCCTCTTCGCCTCCTCCCTCAGCGATGACAACAAGGGCCTCGGCGTCCAGGACGTCAGCAGCAATAGCGCCGACCTGCGCATCTTCCCCGGCTTGCCCCTCCTCAACTTCCTCGGCCTGCTCCTGCTGGCGATCCAGCGCGGCGCCCCGGACGCCTACAAGCAGCTCCTGGCAAAGTACTCGTCCAACATTTCCGAGGTCAGCGCGTGGAGCGAGGCGCTCGAGATTATTGCCGAAATGTACTTTGGCATCTCGCGCCCAAGGCAGAGCAATCCGCTCATGGACATGATGGGCAGCCTGTTTGGTGGCGCCGGTGGTGGTGGCGCCCCTCAGCAGAGACGTCCCGCAACAAGACGGGTGGAGGCACCCGCGGCTGAGGGCTTGGATTAGATGAAAATGTTTTCCGTCGATTCGGCGTAGATGCCCACCGTGCGTAAGAGCGCGCTTCGTAATGAACCAGACGTTGAAAACATGTGTCGTCGAGGTAACGACCAGGATATCCAGATGGGAAACGCCGGGCATCGTGTTCAGAAGCCACGGGGCAGCTCCGGCTCGGCCTCGTACATCCAATTGTCGTCGGCGAGAGCCGAGACTTTGGCTCGTAAACTGGCTTTGACGGCTTCGAGGAGCTCTATTTCGTACAGGAGCCGGTTAGGAACCCCTTTTTCCTCCAATGAAGAGTTGGACACAGAAGTATCTCGCAAGGAGGGACTCACCTTCGGGCTGTTCACGGACGGCGGTATGGTTGACTTGATGCTGCTTCACAGCCTCTGCAAGCCGCTGCCGCTCTTCTATAAAAGCATAGTTAGCATTACATACAAAAAATCAATACCCCTTTCAAAGAACTAGAAAACAAAGAGAAAATTGAACAAGAACAAGAACAAGAACCGTGAATAATCAAATCAAAACAAAAAAAAAAAGGGGGGGGGGGGGGGGAGAAAAAAAAAAACATACAAAAAAAAAAAAAAAACACACCAAAAAAAAAAAAAAAAAAAAAAAAAAAAAAAAAAAAAAAAAAAAAAAAAAAGAACAAAAAAAAAAAAAAAAAAAAAAAAAAAGGGGGGGGGGGGGGGGAGGGAAGAAAATAAGTCTCACTCTTGCTCTCCTCCCGATCATCCATCGCAGCAGCCTCATCAGCCTCGTCAAACACCAGCGTCGGCAGATCCCCGAGCTCGATCTCCCCGTGCTCGTCGCGCACCACAATCTCCGCGGGTCCCATTGCGGACGGCGGCCCGCCGTCAGAGAGGACATCGACATCGAGGCGGAGCGTCTCGCCGCCCCCGACATGACCGTTGCCGTTGCCGTGAGTAGCAGCAGCAGTTGAAGAGCTCCCGCCCGGTCCCGCTCCTCCCATCGTCGCAGCAGCAGCAGTGGCAGATACAGATCCCGCGCCCACAGTAGAGGCCATGGGCTGCCCCGTCGTTCCCGTCGTCGTAGTCCCCGTCGCTCGCCTCGTAAGTCCCTGGAACAAATTCCGTCGGACCGCTCGTCGCGGGGCGCCGGGCGGTGGTGGTGGTACGGCTCTCGAAGTCCTGTCTGCCATCTTTCTCCCTCGCCTGCTTTTCCGTCTCTTGTTGGAATAGTATGCTGTAACGGCGATAAAGAGTCGCTGATCTCCGATCCTCCTTCCTTGTTTTTTCTGATACTTCCTCTCAGTTATAACACGTGTAGTTGCCAATGCAGGATAGTAGGCGTCTTCCTGCTGTTACAACTCAAGAATCTCAATTCGTAAAATAAGACAAGGATGTTGGATGTTGAATCTTCTCAAAAAGGGGGATTGAATATTGAGTCGGCAGGTATGGGGCTCGTAATGTGTAAGCGCAGGTCGCCCCTCTGTTTACATTTGGAGGGTGAGGTCGTCCAGGCACCGCAATGCAGTGAGGTAGTTATCGATAAGGGGCAGTGCGGATTACCAAGAATACAGGCAAACACAGTGCCTCATGTAGCACCTACCTCATCACCTCACCGAGCTCACTTCGCACCTCACTTACACGGTCAAAACATCGCGACCTGGAACAACCAAATTGAACATCATTTACTTCATTGACTGCATTTTCGCGTAAGCTTTTTATGTTACAGAACCATCCTAGCCTGGACATGCATGATTCCCATTATGTATCGTACATTAGAAAAACTCCCACAGCCGTGACGAAGACCTCCAACCGATCGATACCCAGTTCCCAAATACACACAAAAAGAAGAAGATAAGAAAAAACCGGTAGAAAAGAAAACGCCGAGATATGCATACCCCGAGCCCACCCAGTCATAACCGCTCAATTCCCTTTTTTTCGACATTGCCTTCGCGCATTTCAAATCAAACAAAAGACAAACGACGCAGTAAATCGCGGCATGATCATCCCACACATACCCACTCGGCAAAGACGCACCAGCGGGCGGAGCGGTCTGCCAATACCAGCCCCCTCCACACTCCCTTCTCAGAACACTTGATGATGGTCTCCCACGTTCCACCATCACTGAGATCCTCTTCAGCCCCTCTACTGCCGACACTGACTCCTCTGCGCTCCTCTTTCCTCATAAGACGGAGAATTTTGCCGCCAGGAGTCTGAATCGCCAACTTAGCCGGCTTCTTCCCACCGGCAGCTGCTGAACTGAGGTTCGAGCCGCTGGCGCTGGAGGCGGTCATACTCATGGCGGAGCTCGGTCTTATAAAGGGGATTGGGCTTGCGCCTCCAGGATTGGATGACGGTGTCATCACCGAGCCGACCGCGCCCGCAGAGCTGGGATGCTGCCGAATTGCGAAAACAAAAGTGTTGTTCAAAGCCAGACGTTGACATTGAGGCTGAACAACGTAGATATCGTGACGCTGTGCATGAGGCGTCGGGTGCCGCGTCACAAACTCGTACGGAGGGTTCTCGCCCGTATGAATGATGGGCAGCGCGAATGCCACTGGATGAGGAATGTCTTTGATGCTATGCATCAGACCACGCTTGCCGGCATAAATCTTCAAGACTCCCTGGCCCTCATCACCAGGCAGCAAAGCCTTGACGGTGTATCGTTTGGTGCCGTTGAACCACTCCGCTTGAGCCAGCGCTCTCTTTTTCACAACTTCGCCGCTCTCGAATACGTCACCATCGACATCTCTGGTGTAGCCGCGGACTTCGACTTCAGCAGCAATCTCGACGTCAGGTGGAGCGTTGAACTTGACATGTACCATCTCCAGATCCTCGATGCGAGTTGCTGCCGTATTGTAATCGACCATCTCGAGCGTGTTCTTGAAGAAGGGAGGGCAGGCGCAAGGCAAGTTGAGGAGAACTTCATGAGCCTGTGGCGGGCACATGTGTTGTTGAGTGTGGTGTTCAGGGATATGTGTCCAGCAGAGCTCTGTCGGCCGCGTGAGGAACCACCAAAAGTCCGCGGCGCTGTTGCTAGCACTCGAGTAGAGATGCCGCCTGGGATATGAAGGGCTGGCCATGCAGCAGTCAATCATTCGCCAGTCGTTGTCGACCAGAACCGCATTCCACCAGTGATTCGCCCGAGGCATGATATTGTGCTCTGGAATCTCGCCGGGCGTCTTGAGGTACCCGCGGATGACCTCGCACTGGATACCAACGGCGGAGCACATTTCGTACACAATGACCGCATACTCTTCGGCACTCGCTCGCTTTGACTGCAGTACCCTCCGAGTGTCTACTTCGCCTTCAAAGTCCTCTTCCCAGACAAGCTTCTCGGATACCCAAGTAAAAATTGCCCGCAGTCTCTGGACGTCGCTGCGGTATGGTCGACATACATAGGTTGTTGCCAAGCTCTGTGCTGTCGTCGTTGGTGGAAAGCTAGCCACAAACCTCGAGTTCTTGTCCACCTGGGTGAGATTTATTGATTGGTAGTCGATGGGGTCCTCCACAGGCTGACCGTCGGCGCCCTCGTCACCCTCCATGCCTTCGTACAACTCATCGACTGGGTTCAACGCAGGGTAGTCGAGCATTTGGCAGCGATCTTTCCGCTCGTTCCTCTCGTTCTTACTCAGAGAGTTGGATCGATTGACGTCTCTGCGGACCTGAACCCAGTCCACTCCGCTTGCAAGCCCCATTTCCCTGGCTGCTTCCCTACCGAAGCCAGTGCTACCCAAGTTGGTCAAGTTGGATACGCTAGCACCAGCTTGAGCGGCAACATTGGGCATGGAGCGAGCAAAAGGCGACGATCTGGGCGAGTCGGCACCCATGGCAATACTACTGCGCCCGGATGCCACCCCGGTCTTGGCTGTGTCGAGGAGCTTCTTGAAGATGTTCCTCTTTGGGGGTTTTGGGGTGACGAGGCCTCCAAGGCCAGCATCTTCATGAAAGCCAGCTTGCGACTTTGGCCGAGATGCTTCTGAGGCGTGACTGCTGTGATATGTAACCCCGGTGAATGGCGTTTCTGGGCGCTCGATATCAGCATCACGCATGCCCAGGGCACTCTGGGCCCGCTTCTGGGTTTTGCGAGCGAAGCTGCCAGCGCTCGTTGCGCTAATAGCGCCGGCTGACGACCCACTCATCAAACTCCTGTCGCTGCTTTGCGTCGTCGAACTCTGATTGCCTGAGGAGGCGCTGGTAGAGTTGGTCTTCGTCGTAAACGTCCTGTTCAGGACGTTGCGGCCAATGTCGTAAGCCGACTTGCGCCCGCGAAGCTTCCTCTCCTCCGGTCCACCCATCGAAGACTTGGGTCTCTCGTATAACTGGCCTTTGGGGGGTGGCTTCGGTGCCTCATCCTCAAGGTCAGCCATACTTGCGCTATGTTGATGCATTTTTTTGAGACGACTTTCCATACGTTCGACGTAGTTACTCAGTTGAGGTAGCTGCTCTTTATCCTCCCGATGTCCGTTATGATAGGATTGGTCTCGTGACGATCCGCCGCTCCAGGTTTCGTACCCTTCGTCCTGTTGTGCTATGCCCATGGATGTCTGTGGTCTTTGGTAAGTGTTCTTTCTCCTAGCGCGGTCATTCACCATATCAAACGACTCGGGCGACCACGGATCCAGTGGCGGCTCTGGTGTCGGATCTCGAGGCATTCCCAGTGCGTCCAGCTGCTCGATCACGCCATCCATTGCCTCTCGCAAAGGCGAGGGAGTCATATGGCTTGCTGATGGCGAAGGTGGAGCTGGGGAGTGATGCCGCTGAGTCTGTATCGGCGATGGCCGATGAGCTTGGTATGAAAGATGAGAGCCGTGCCTGTCCAGAGGGGGATGGCGGTTATCATATGAGGCGCTCGAGTCCTGCCGCACGACATCGAATCGCTTGTCAAAGGAGTTACCCGACCCATGTCGACTGGAAGTAAAGCGGTTGTCGAATGAGCCGTGCGAGTCCTGACGAGAGCTATCGTGCCTGCTGTCGTAGGATATGCTTTGCTTGTGCCGTGAAGCCGCTACATGTCGGTGCGGAGGTGGGGCCGGGGGTGGAGGAGAATCCACCTTTTCTCGTGTGGGAGGACGGTAAGGCTTATAGCTGACTGAGGGAGCCGGTGACGGGCCTCTTGAGTGGAAGTTGTGGGATGGCGGTATGGGAGACGGGCCCCGTTCCGTGTTGTAAGAGTTCTGTCTTGATCCGTGGCCGTGGCCATAGTCGGGGACGGGCGTTCTTTCTCTAGGGGGTATTGGTGTTCTCTCCCTTGGAACGGGTGTTCTTCCTCTTGGCACAGGAGTCCTTCCTCTCGGCATGTACTGCTGTTGCGCGCCATCGTTGAACGAGTTACCCCGCGATACGTAACCGGTTGGGGCTGGCGACGTGTATGCTCGCATTCTAGTCGAGGCGGTTTCATTGAAAGAGTTCTCTCTCGAAAGGAAGGCTTCCGGGGCCGGTGACCGGTCTCTTCTGGTCTGCTCCTCCATTGCACTGTGAATCGACTCTCCAGAGTGCCCTCTAGGCCTCGGATTTGGGTTCGTCCTGTACACCTCGGGCTGTTTCGCAGCGGTGTAGTGCGGTGCTTTGGAATAGGCCTCGAAAGGCTTTCGGAAAGTCCTCGACTTTTGAGGTGTGCTTGGACTCGGTGTGTTCTCTGCTGGGAGAGGGCTGGCTGACCTCGTCGTTGGTCTAAAGTTCGCGGGGAGGACCTCGACGAAATTGGAGGGAAACACTCCCACAGTCCTTCTGTCGCGCCATAGTCTTCCTGTCCACCATGAACCATCTCCAGCGTTAAGACATTCGATCAAATCACCCTCGATGAAGCCGAGATCTCGTTTAGACTGCGGGAAGTCAAGTCAGTACTTTGAAAGCCAGTCCTCTCATCGAGGCTCGAATAGCTGCAACAAACCTCTCCGCCCCAAGAGTAGACTGCTCTGCACCAGCACGGGAACCGTGTCGGTAGAGATTGTGGTGCAGGCACCATGTTGAAGATTCGGCAAATGCACCTGCAATCGGGAAGGCTGCTGGTAGGAATGGGAGTGTTTGCGTGTTGATGTCGAGTGCCTCAGTGGCTGTTGGCGGAGCGTGGCACTCGGCTCACGCAGTGACAAGTTGATTTGACGCGATTGTGTAAGTTGCAATGAGGTATCGTAACGGTCATGCAAAGGCGTGGACGCGCGCAAAGGCTGGTGGCAAGGAATGATGACAAGATCGAGGTCCCGCAGCGAAGCGAGAGGCAAGCGAGAGAGAGAATTCAGGGCTCGTGGGAATTTTTTTGCAAGCCTCTGGGAGTTTGTTGTTGAGGAATGCAGGTGAGGCTCGCGTGCACGGCGACAATGACCTTGTTTGAGTGGGTAAAGGCAGTTGGTAAATGCGCGAGGTGGGCGTGGGCATGGGAGTTGACGTCGGGTGTGGTGTGGGAGATGGTCAATGTTGGCGGAACAAAGTACAAGTCGGGTGGAAAGTCGATCTGTCGGACACGACTTCCAAGAAGGGGATGCGGTGAATGTCAGCGAAGCCGGGGGTGCGGACCCGGGGCAACCAACAAACAGAGGGGCTCGTTGGCGGGGGGACATCGGGAGTCTCCAGAGGGGAGTCTAAACACTGGCAACTGGACGCAGTAAGGTAAGGTACCTTGTGTACCTGTAAATCAGGGCCTAGGCTTACCTTACCTTACACAGTACAATAGGTATGTACTTGCCGTAAGTCAGGGCAAGCTTGTAACGGGTTGCGACCTCCTGTGCGGCTGGCGCATCTCCACCGGCGACTAGTGGGACCCTCTCAGTGCCTCCTTGGCGCGGCGCTAAGCCTGGCATGGCACATCTGAGGCCCCTGGACCTTGGAGAAGTCTTGGAAATCTTTCGGTCACCGCCTGCGATGCCGAAAGCAAGGACCACTGACCAAGTATTTCGCACCTTTCAGAGCACTTGGATTCGGTACCTTGAGGCTTGAGGTGGGCAGAGACCCCGTCATCTTTCCCACTATTAACCTTCTCTTCAGCTTGCCTGATCCAAGTCGTGTTATCGCCCAGCTGCCCACGGAGTATTACGTCGCAGATACACAGATGCGTGGAGACTGGACTAAGGTAGATTCTCCCTTGCAGTACGTATCTAAGTACCTTGTTATCGAAGAAAGTTAATTCTTTCTGAGTTACAAGTACAAGAATACAGTTTTAATAAAACAGTATAGTACCTACCTAGCACTTGAATTAAGATGCTTTTTTAAGCTCGCTATAAGAGAAAGATGACTATACTACTGACTACCTACTATCGAGGTTCGTAACGCTATAGTTTTAACCGTGATAGCTTCGCCTATAATAGGCGAAAAGTCTAATTATAAGTCCCTTAAAAACCTCTCCTTAAGGGCTATAAGAGCCTCCGAGTTAAGTTAAAATGCTTACTAAGATATTAATAACCAAACTAACCCTACGATAACGGCTTTAATAGAGAAATTGAGAGACGAACTGAGAGATAATGCCAGAATCCTCGCCGACGTTGGGCACGATCTACGAAGGGTAGCAACGCGGCCGCAGAGCGTATCACTCGTTAAGATACGACTATCTATATACTGCGTAAGCCTGCACATTGTCTTGGCCAGCTTCGGCAAGGGAGAGAGGAATCCAACCCCGGCCAGCTTTTAAGAGAGTCGGTAAAAAAAAAAAGGCTTGTCTCCTAGCAGCAAACCTGGGAGGACCTGGGATGACAGCAAAAACGAGAGACGAGAATGAGGCGTGAGTGAGGATGTTCTCTGTAGAAAAGCAGGGGCACTCGTAGACACGTCGTTTTAGTGCGATGAACAACGCAGCGCCGTCTCATGGGGAGGCCCTGCATACCTTAGCTTAGCACCATCGCACACCAAACACATTGTCTGGCGCCGACTCACTTGCCGTTGGCAACCAGAAATCTGCAAGGCAACGCAGCTAACGTTTGGCGCGTCGAATAAGGTCGCACGAAACTTGGATGGCAAGACAGACTGACGGGCGACAAGAAAGTCTGCAAGCCGGATCAAGGCCAGATCAAGGTCACGCTCGCAATCCTTCCATCTCTCTGGCATGCAAACGACGCAAGCACTCACACGACAGCTATCAGTGAGCACACCTCTTTCTGATCACGTAGCACACTTTGCATTCTCGCCCTCGCCCGTTGTATCCGTACGTCTCTTTCTCTCACTCCATCTCTCATGCATATCAAGGAAGCACTAAACACCAACCACTCCCACATCTTATTCTCCTCCTCCGCTTTCTTTCTTGTTCGCGATTCTCACGATGCTTCAGAAACAGCGGCTCTCGACCGATCTCTCTTCGCTTGCTTTTTTCGTCGCAAGATCGGCTGACTCGCCCCGGTTCATAGTACACTACAAAGTACCCCCCCTGGTGCTAAATTGCGGTTCCCCGGAGCTCCCCCAGCTATACCAAAACGGAAGAAAGTAAACAAAGGGCCCGAGCTTTGCGACGAAGCACCGTCCAACGCCCAACTCGACACTCGACCACGGCACCACAGTACCACGGCCAAAGTGGGAGACCAAGGGGGAAAAAAAGACCACTTTCACCTTGGACCAGGCCCTGGACTCCCGCTCGACAAGCGAACAAGCGAACAAGCCCGCCCGCTACCGCCGCTGTCCCAAGCAACCAGACTGCTGTCGATCCGCTTGCTTTATTAAACCCAATTGCTTTTGGTCCGCCCTAAATACACAAGCCAGGCCGTCCTGACTGACACACGACAGCCCGTTCCCTGGATACCCATTTCTTCTCTCGAAACTCTCCTAGCATACTGTCGCTTCGCCTGCGCAACTCTCTTCTCGAAATCCCTCGGTCTAGGACTCCCGGGTCGACCGTCGCCAGCTCCTCCCTCCCTCCCACTCCATCTTTGCTGCAAGGAATTCTGTTGAGCGAACAAAAACGATTCAATGACGTCCAAATCGGCCGCGATGGCCGACGAGGGTGTCGCCGAACACTATCAAGTTCTGGAGGAGCTCGGTCGTAAGTCTTGCCATTGTCTACGTCCTTTTGGAAACAATTGCGCTGACATGATGTCCAGGTGGAAGTTTCGGTGTCGTTTACAAAGCCATTGAAAAGGCCACTGGCGAGACGGTCGCCATCAAACATGTAAGTCGACGCATCGCATCTTCGACCTGGTGTACTACGAACAACAGACTAACAAAGGCCTGCGCAGATCGACCTCGAGTCAAGCGAAGATGACATTCAAGAGATCCAAGGCGAGATCGCTGTGCTGAGTACATGCGCGAGTTCCTTCGTCACGCAATACAAAGGCAGTTTCCTGCGCGGCCACAAGCTCTGGATCGTCATGGAATATCTTGGTGGTGGTTCATGTCTCGACTTGGTATGTCACTTGGCGCAACAAGTTTGCCGGAGTCCGGCTAGCTAACATTCCTCAGCTCAAACCCGCCAATTTTGCCGAGGTCCACATCGCCATCATCTGTCGAGAGCTTCTTCGTGGCCTCGAATACCTCCACGCCGAGGGCAAAATCCACAGAGATATCAAGGCTGCCAATGTTCTCTTGTCCGAGGCAGGAAAAGTCAAGCTGGCCGATTTCGGCGTCGCCGCTCAATTGACCAATATCAAGTCCCAGCGGAACACCTTCGTCGGCACTCCTTTTTGGATGGCCCCCGAAGTCATCCAACAGGATGGCTATGGTTTCAAGGCAGACATCTGGTCTCTCGGAATCACTGCCATGGAGATGGCCAACGGCGAACCTCCCCTGGCGCACATTCATCCGATGAAAGTTTTGTTCCACATCCCAAAGAACTCTCCTCCACGACTGGAGAACAACTTCAGCAAGGACTTTAGGGATTTTGTTGCACAGTGCTTGGTCAAGGACTCCGATCGCAGGCCTTCGGCTAAAGATCTCCTCCGTCACCGATTCATTAGATCGGCGGGCAAAGTTGAGGCTCTTCAGGAGCTGATTGCGCGCAAGCAGATGTGGGATGCGAACCAGAACCGGAGGTCCCATCCCACCTTTTACCAAGAGACCCTGCATACCATGTCTTCCAGGGACGACACGGACGAATGGGTGTTTGACACGGTCAAGTCAGTGGCGCCAAAGCGGCCGAATGGTCATGCACGGAAGCCTTCCTACTTTGCGGCAGAGGAGGCCATGCGCCGGCTCGACCCCAAGGACGCGCCGCTCGGCCCTTCGTCACCCGCCCCCGGGACAGTTCGCCGGTCGACTGTGCGTCGCCAGCCCTCGAGCCGCCAGAGTTCCGGCATACAGATCCAAACAAACGGCTCGCCTCGCTCGACCGTCGCTCGACGGCCTTTACAACCAGACATGTCGTACGGTAACTCTGGGTCCTCCGTGCGGCTCTTCCGCCGGGTCCCCTCGGATGGCTCCGTCACCGCATGGGAGGACACTTCGCCTGAGGGTACTATGGGCAATGAGAACAAAGCACCGATGCGGGCAGCCGCGATTGATACCAATAGCAAAGAGGCGCTGCTTGGGCGGCGACTCTTTAACAGGGTCCTGGACCCTACCCTCGCCGAGCTCCACGCGCAGACGTCAGGCATGCAGAGGCGGGAGGCGCTTGCGAAGCTCACCGATGCCTTCGCGCTTTTGGACTCTGTTGATCCCGAGGGTGCCTACCACCTCATGCAGAACATGATGACAGCTGTCTCCCAGGATCCCAAGCTGAACCAGGCCTTGATGCCCCAGCAATCGGTCAAGATTCCGTCGGATGGCACTCCTCAAGGAACGGTTATCATCAGGAGCGCCGCTCCCACGCCATCAAGCAGCCCGACCAAGCTGATGATGGCAGCAAACAACCCGCACCTCAAGAGCCATAGGAGGCGAAATGGGTCGATTGCGACACCCGAATCTGCCGAGAAGGAACGTAGCGAGAAGACGGCCGTGGAAGCCAAGTATCCCGGTCGCCCTCCCCGGCCCGGTATGGAGCACTGCAAGCAGCTATCGGACGTGCTTTACGGCCGGTGGACGGAGGGCTTGAGAATCAGATGGCCAGCGGTCTAGATCCGATCTCTGTTTGACGGTCATCTGAAGGATATGGGTAAAGATTGACACAACATTGTTATTCACGAGAAACATGCTGTATGATGAGAAGTGTATGAACACGTCGCAGCATACCGGGTTGGACAGCACACACAAAAAGCATTGGGAGAGAGTTTTCATTTCAGCTTTTGGCAGATTGGAGAGTTACCCCTGAGGGTTAGGCTTGGTTTTCATTTTCTATCCGGATGGAAGACGCTGATGATGGGACTGACTTTTTTCCGTTGATGATCTTACTTTCACGACGGGATGAGTGTCTACACGCGGCCGATTCGGGTTTTCATGTTCGCTCTTCTGCTTCGCATTGGGTTTGGCGTTTTTTGGTGTCTTTATTTGGTAGTAGTTAGATACCTCCTAGGTAGCGTTAAGATTGCGTTTTTTCAACAATGAAGAGGCATTGGTTGCGGTATGATTCATGTTCCCGTTTGCGTGGAGATTGTGTGTAAAACATCGTGATTGATATTTGAATTAGCCGATAAGTAGTAACCTATGGCTCCTCCGCCAATGGGACATTCTTCATGGAGAGCTTTATTCTCCAGTTGATGAAGTCGTCCGTCAAGAGCTCCCCGTGCCCGGCCTCGTCGACTTTGAAGACTTCAATGGTGGGCTCGCCCGCCCGCCTGCGTATCCTCCACACGCCGTCATCGTTGATCGTCTGCCGAAGCCCTGCGACTGAGGGTTAGTGACGGCTTTATTCATACTCAAGCAGCTAATGTAGCAAAATTGGCACGACAGAAGGTAGGTTTAGAGGAATTGTGGAAAAAGGAAAGTAAGAGAGTTCGAGATGAGAAGGGAGTAAGGGGGGCAAGGGAGGAGAGAACTCACAAACGAGAAACTCGGCGGCGAAGTTGACGCACATGTCGCCATTCCACGTCGCTTTCCCGCGGCGCAGGACGGTATCGGGTATCTTTTCAGTCTCAATCTCCTCGACGTCGGTGAGGGTGCCGTGGCGGTTGCGGAAGCCGACGATTATTTTGGGGACGCCGAGGAGGAAGGACTGGATCCAGAACTTCATGAGCTTGCGGTGGAAGTTGTCGACGTCGCGGTCGTCGCGGATGGCGAGGCTGGTCTTGAGCTCGACCCAGTTTGTGGGGGCGCCCTGCTTTTGGGGCTTCGAGTCCCAGACTTTGGAAAGGGTAGCGTAATGTCAATAGGCGATGACGATAAGCTGAGTGGGCGAGATGAGGGACGACGTACCGGCGTCGACTTCGCCGCCTATGCAGATTACGGTTTGTCCTATACCAGTCCTGACTACGGAGCAGTATTGGGCCTTGTTGTTCACCACCTCGACGTCTCTGCTCTCGATGTATTCTCTGGGCGTTTCGCCCCAGGTGTTGGGGAGCGTGGCCAACGTCTCGAACTTGTATCCTGGGTTTCCTATCAGCATACTTCATCTCCCTGGCAGAGGAAGAAGAGAGGCTCTGGTATACCCCAGAACTGCATCACTTCGGGCGGGATCGGTCCCCGTCTCTGCTGTGCGTTTTGCTGCTTCTGAGACGCCACTTTGTACTCGTGATTCTCTTCAATGTAACTATTCCAATTGTCAGTCTGGCTGGAAGGGATAGAACCGTCACGACGATGCTGTGCTTGCCGTACATGCAGTCCTGATTTATGTTTTTGGTCAGCTCAATTGTTTGTATGCGGAAGTTATGGGAGTGTGTTCATGCGCACTTGGTACAGCGTTGCGTTCATTTCAAAGCTAGCTGTGCTGTCAGCCCCCAATCATTTGAGTAAATCTGCAATGGTGGATGCAAGACTAACCCATCACGATCCTCAAAGGGCGAGGCCATGATCTGTTTTTCTCTTGGTTAGTTGAGCCTGGGACAGGGATAGCAGGAGTAACTTCATGCCTTGGTCATCATGCCACGCCATGTCACGATTTGGGCGTCAATCTTTTGACCCGTCTCCTCCTCGTGAGCCTTGATCGTCTTGAGAAGAGCTGTTAGGTGCTCGGGCTGAGAGTCGTCGTGCTTAATAAAGGTATCATAGCCTTTGGATAGGTCGGCGCCGAGGGTAGGTGGGTAGTAGTATCTCAATGAAGAGTCGCCTAGATGGAACTCATGGTTGTCGTCATATGAGAAGCAAGCAAACTCCTGATACGTATTAGTCAAAATATGTTAAGTTATTTCATTGATACATGAGACTCTTGTTGACCAGATATCCACCGCAACAAGAAATCCGGGATGCATACCTTTGGTCGTTTGACCGGCTGGCTTGCGGCATAGAAACGCCCAATAGGCTGGATGGGGAATTGTTCCGACATGACGGCTGATGATGCAGCGTAGCACTTGGATCCGAATTTCAGAAGGCGTCGTGTTATTCCAGCAGGCATCCCATTGTTCAGGAGTCGGTGTGAGTAACGGGCTCGGTCGGCAGCCCCGGTCTCAAGCTTCGGTGTCGGGAGTTGAGAAAGGAGCATCTGCGGCGCAACGGCGCGTCGAGACGGCAGGGCGGGTCAATTGGCATGGAGTCCGTCCGGGGTTGGTGGAGAACTGATGTCGACCGCTGAAGCGAACCACTGAGAGCCCTAGGTGACATCCAAACATCGCTGAAACATGCATGCGGACGGCTGGGCTAGAGCCATCCGGCACCCCTAGCTGCAGCGGGACGCCAGCACCTTCCAGGTTGACAAGCCAGCTCCGTCCACTTCAACCACGAATACAACTTCATCAACTTGGAATCCTCACCCCCCTTCGCCCGGTCACCAACAGATTGACAGCACGATTGACTCGAGAATAAGCGCCGCATCTCTCCTTCGAGCCGATCATCGCTCCCTACCGATACTTGCCGGTCCTCACTCCCTGACGGCCCCTCGTTCGCGATGCGATTCCCCTCCCTACCGACCTAATTCGCTACACATACCTGCTCCCGCACCATGTCCAATCGGTACGGCGGTGGCGGCGGCTACCGCAACGGCAACGGATATGGCAACTTTGGCAGGCAAGAAGAGGATCACGATCCATACGGGAATGGATATTCAGGCAGCGACAGAGGAGGCGGCGGTGACCGATACGCTGTGGGATCACCGCCAGCGATGAACCCCCGATCACCACCTACACTTCGAAGCGGCGGCCCACCGCCAGTCCGCAGCCGCGAGCGCATCCAGGAGACGAACGCGGAAAGACAGATTGGCCAGGTCCTTGAGCGCGTCAAGGTGGAGTGGCCGGCAATGTGCCAGACCGACTGCGTGCCCGTCCAGCTCGCCCTCCAGCTCCTCGACACCAGCTCCGTAGGCCGCGCGCACGACTACAACCAGTTCCGACAGACGCACGACTATCTGCAAAATTCCCTCAAAGGCATCGTCCACGAGCACCACCAGGGCTTCAACAGTTCGATCGGAACGTTCCACAAGATCCAGGGGAGCATCCAGGCCTCGCAGAAGAGGGTGCGCACGCTCAAGGACTCCCTGCTGACGTCCAAGGTGAGCCTCTGCACGTCGGACCCGGACCTTAAGAAGCTCTCGGCCACATCTCAGGCTTACGATGAGCTGCTCACCACGCTTAACGAGCTGGAGGAGCTGCGTCTGGTGCCGGATCAACTAGAAGCCCGCATCTCCGAGAAGCGCTTCCTAAGTGCAGTCGAGGTCTTGCAGAATGCTCTGCGCAAACTGAGGAAACCAGAGCTGGACGATATCGGTGCTCTGAGCGATCTGAGGGGCTACCTTGCCAATCAGGATACAGCACTCATGGACATCTTGGTTGAGGAGCTTCATGAGCACCTCTACCTCAAGTCGCCGTATTGTCAAGAGCGGTGGCAGAACCTCGCCAAGACTCAAGGCGCTCTCAAGGAGGGCAACTACGAATCAATCACCATTGCTCCTTTCCACCAGGTCTTGGACGCCATGGATTTCGAAGCATCAGCGACTGAAGATCCGGCCAAAAACCCGGAGGCTGACACCTTCTCATACGTGTCACTGCTCGTGGAGTCCCTTAACAAATTGGGAAGATTAGAGACGGCTGTTGACACCCTCAAGCAGAGACTACCTGTCGAGCTGTTTACCATTGTGAATGAGACACTTAACGAGGTCGACCAACGGCATCCTAGCTCATTACGCGGCGGCTCGACCAACTCTCAGGGACTGCACATCTACGGCAGTCGAGAGACCCAAATGAGAGCAGATGTCATTTACGATCTCCTGTGGACGCTTTTTGGCAAGTTTGAGGCTATTGCTGAGGGTCACCGCGTGTTCCACGAGGCGATCAAGGCCCTCATCCGACGAGAAGGCGCTGGAAACAACAGCGCCCTGTTGGGTAGCTTCAAGGAGCTTTGGAATCTCTACCAGAACGAGATTCGTTCTTTGCTGCACAACTACGTCACCACGGACGCCGACGTGTACCAGTTTAGTACATCACCAAAGCTTGGGACCAATGCCAATGGCAAAAAGGATGCCGCTAGAGAGCACCTATTCAAGTTTTCTGAGGGCGACCCCAAAGCTGTTGATATGACGACTGAATACGAGGCTCTTGAGAGCATTATCCGATCTGCCGTTCCCGGCTTGACTGACACTTCTCGGAAGGCCGGGGCTGACAAGAAGCGACCAGTACCCGAGGGCAGCACCAAGAGAGGAGGAGGCGCTACAGGTTGGGAGAACAAGCAGACAACTGGTACATACAAGTCTCTGGTCGAGCCCAGCGTCTTTAACATGAGCTTGCTCCTCCCTCCTACTCTTGTCTTCCTTCAGCGTCTCAAGATGATTGTACCACCGGGCTCAGATCTTGCCACCAGCACATTGACGTCCTTCTTGGATAACTTCCTGGTCAACGTCTTCCAGCCTCAGCTGGATGAGACTCTCGGAAAGTTGAGCGATACCATCTTTGGCGAAGCTGATACATTTTTACAAGACCAGGAATGGACTCAAGTTGCCAGACGCCCCGTCTTCAAGGGCACGACAGCTTTCTTTGCCATTGTCACAGCTTTCTGCCGCATGCTGGGCACCATCCCACACGATCAGGCTTTGAGCACGC